CCAAAAAAACCAAAAATCCCACAACCCTGAAACAAAACAAAAACCAAAAACCCAAACCTTAAAATTCCCTTGGAAGTGGCAAAAATGAAATTGGAAGAAAAACAAAAAATAACAGCTGCATTTAATATTCTAGGCTAGGAAAAGGGTCCATGAAACAAAAACTTGCAGGTTGGTGAAGTGACTATTTACAAAGAAGAGAATGCAGAGGAGATGGAGTGAAGACAACAAAAACCACAGTAAGCCCATTTCTATCTCAGGCCTCTCAAGGTTTGTTACAAACAAGCAGCTCAAGGAGGGAGATCCTGGGAATTGTGGATAATGACCTTATCTATGGGCCACATATATGGCTCATGTATTGGCTGCACTATTATCATAGAAGTTATTGCAGTACTTTCTTTTTAAGGGCAGTTTTAATGTAAAACAAAGAAAGAGCACCGAGTCCTGGGTATGCCAATGAAACTAGGAGTTCCAGCGTGAGCAGTCTTGTGAGGAAATTCAAAAACAAGACAACTGTATGACAAGTTAGATGGAATATTACAGGTCTCACTCCTCAAGTGACTGCTTTGGAGAGGGACTGTAATTACTTTGACCAAACGATCAGTCTTGTAGTTTGACAGTTTTCCAAGGAGAATAAACTGTACATTTCTCAAAAAATCCCTGTGAGAGTTTCCTCAGCAAAAAAATTGCAGAATTTCCATGTGGAAGATGAAATATTATCAGTTCATACTAGTGCGTTCATTTATCTCATTTTACTTTGCTAAGAAAGGAGTGACATTTGCATTAACATACTAAGCCACCTCAGCCTGCATTAAAGAAACTGGAGGAAACTGAGATTTTCAAGATCAGAAATTACCCCTAAGATACAATCTTACAATAATTTATGTTGGAAGACATCTATGAAGGTGATATGGTCCAGGCCCTTTTCATGACAGGGCTTACTTCAAAGTTACTTTAGGCTCAGGGTTTATCAGCAAGTACAGTAGTTACAGTCACTGCTTGAACAACAGAGTAAAAACTCAGTGGCTCAGTACTTGGTTCAAACTAACTAGGAGAAAGAAGAATAAATGGAATTTGGCTGTTTCACTCATTTCACTAATTGAAGAATAAAAATGTTAAAAACCTCAGAAAATCTGGTTTGTTTTAGTGTGATACCGAAAAGGGGGCTGAGTGTAATGTGACCTGGATCTACTAAAAAAATCTTGAAAATAATGTAAAGAGTAGCAAAAGCTAACTACAGTATAAAGTCAAAATTATCTGATGAAATTAAACAGAGAAACTAGACTGAACCCAGACAGCAGCTTAGGGAGAGTACCAGTTTCAAGAACTCTGACCAACTGAATAATTTTGTAGCTGAAAAAGAGGAGAACATATTCATCCTATAAAGAAAAATTCTCTAAATTAATGTGGTGTTGTCAACTGTCAGGTGTGCCTTACTGTGGGAAAACGGAAAAAAACATGGATCTCAGTGCTCCAACAAAATTACATTTTACAGGAGCCTTTCTTTTTGAAATAATCAGTCAGCTGCATTGGAAAGGAGTTGATTGTGCCCCACATTTACTTAAAGGTTTATGTCCTCACAGTTAGAAAGCTTTTCAGATCACTATTTTACTTTCATCTCAATGTCTTGCAGTCCAGTCACTGAGAACACATAAAGCTGGCATATATGACAGAAAGATGACAAACTGCCATAATGTATACAACTTCATTTTTTTAAAAGTAACCTTCACAAGTTGTTGTGTGTCTATGAAAGTCCATTTTCGTTTCCATATTACCATTGTGTGAGTCTGTAAAAACTAAATACTTGATAACAAAGTCAGAACTTCTTTTACAGCCAGTGCATTTTTTCTGGATCTGGTCACTTTTCAGACAGTTAAATGAACACAGAGAATACTACGTTGTAATCCTCATCCCATTTAACTTCTATATTTGGATTTACTGACAGCTGCAGTCACACACGCAAGTTTGATGAGAGACTGTAAGAGTCTCTCACTGTTGCCTTCCTAACACTGTCCAAATTCCTGAAATATTCAAAGTCTGGCCATTAGCTCCTAATCTTTAAAAGCTGCCTTGTCAAAGGGCCAGCTCCAACGAAGAAGGGTGTCTGTCTTGCTGCAGAGCTTCCCAGAGGTGTAGCAGAATGACCTATTTGAACGAAGAATGCAGAAGAGAAAAGCAAACAAACAGCAGGACCTGGCAGGCTCTGACACATCCATTTTTTCCCTGCTGCTTGTTCTGCCTCCTTCACGCTGAAAAGTTGCCTTGCTTCCCTCCTGCTGGATGTGGACAATTAACTTAAATGTTGGTTTCTGGGCCAGGCACTAACATATCCTATCTGATTTACCTGAACAGGATGATGGACCTTGGCCATTGTGACTGCAGACTTTCGTCACGTACGGCTCTCCAAGAATGTACATCTGCAGAATGACAGGCTTGGATTGACTTGCTGCTATAGGGTCTTTCTGGTTTAAATTTATCCTCGAAGACTGAGATACCATGTTCACAAACATATTTATTCCTTTTTAGGAACTCTTCGTTTAGGTCTGTCTGGTTCAGGTCTGTCCTGAACTCTCTTCAGCTCTGAATATACTGAGCCTTCAGAGCAGCACAAAGGATTTACACAGCTTCAGAAAAGCTGGAAAAAACAGCTCTCAAATTGAGTTTCTCCAAAGTGTTTTAAGGCCAAGAGGTTCTCCCCAGTTAATCCACAGTTTTCTACTGAGCATCTCTCTTTCCATATACTTGCTGCTGGTTTTGTAAATGTTGATCACTTGCAAGAGGGATTTCTATTTCTCTTCCAAGTTTCTTTTCCAGCTCCACCTTGTAGACAGCTCTTTCCTTTAAGGCTAGTTATGGAAAAGTCTACTTCCCAATCTTAATGTATTACTCAATGAATTTGTAGACATTTCGGGGACTCTGATAATTAATTTATTAAGCTGTGTTTAATTATCTTTCTTCCTCCTCTTTTCTGTCAGTTTTGTCTACAGGTCCATTTTCTTCAACTAGTGAGCAATCATATCCTGATAGACAGGGGACACATGACATTTCTTGCAGAACTGGTGCTATCCATGTGATGCCAGCTGTCTTAAGCACTTTCTTATTTTCCCTGAATTTAGTGTGCCAGAGAGCCTGAATTCAAATGGTAACAGTAGCTCTTTGTGCTTCTGCCAAAGCTCTCAAGGTGTCCTCAGAATTAGGAAATATGCATTTTGCTTGGGATGGGAGTTGAATTGAACAGAGCCACTCTGAGGATTTTATATCCTTACATCCAGTGAGACTTGAGGGACACGCGTCACTGTGATTTATATCAAAGGTTTTCGATTCTATGCAATGGCCTCCTGAATCCAGAAATACTTTCACTGTCTTTCCCTTTTGAGGCTGGGGAACATTAGCCACTCCCTCTCTAGAAAAAGTTATCCCTTTATTTCTTAAGTCAGCCTCCATCAGTCACTAGTGATTTCCTATCCAGCTCCTTGTAACAAAATCCACACTCCAAAAGACAGCTGTACTCCGTGGTCTTTGGTCTGCTCTTGCTTACCACAACCTGAAAAATCTTCTCACAGGGTTGACAGAATTGTAAATAATTAAAACTATCTTATCTGCCTCTGCACAGCTCCTGCCTTCCTTATGACCTTTCTGCCTACCTCCATTTTGCTTCCTTTCTGAATAAAGAGCAACCTAAAAAGCTTTTCTCTTACGGCCATCTGGACATTGCTCTCAGCATCAAGGGCTTTTCTTTGCTTCCATGTCTTTTCTACACTTAACCAAATCCATCCCAACTCTGCCACCATATGTGACACAAAGAGTTTGAGTGTGTAATAAAAGAGAATCTGCTTAATAACACAGAGTTCTTTTCAAAGATGCAACTGTATTATTTCGAAGCAGAACTGAAATGAAAACACAAGCAGCACAGGCAGCACCTACTGCCTTTCTTAGTCACTACTGCAGAAATACATTGTTTTGCTTGAGAAAAGCAATGCTTGGTGCCCAAGCCATATACCCTAATTGCCTCTTAATAAGACAGAACAACATCACTGCAGTTCACTCTTTCTACAACCACGTACCTTTAAGAAATAGCAGAGACATTCCAGAAGCAAAACACAGCAATTCTAGCCCATCTTATGAACCCATCTTTTGGAGTCTCTCAAAGAAGCTCTTTTGGGGTATCACAATTTCTCTTAACCTTTTATTTTTCCAATTCTTTTCCACTGCCCTCTACTTTCTGCAATAGTTCCTCATTTCTTCTCCCGGGAGCTGCTGGTCACAAGTACATGAGCTAAGAACCAACACCCCAGATTACACCAAACATAGCCTAAAAATAGAGGTTCAACATGGGTTCTTTGCAGAATTTTGTGCTGTGTTACCAATTTATGGATAATAATAGAAAAAAGGCAGTTTATCTGAAACAGAAACATCCGCTTACCAAAGCCAAACGGATAGTCTTACGGGAAAAACCCCATCGTGTCATTCATTAACTTTCTGGCACAATCAATAAACAATGCAACAAAAGGCAAGTGGTTTTCTTCCCTGCTTTGAATTTTACCACAAAAAGAAGATTTTTTTTTTTTTTGAGATATGGTATTTGAAGAATGATAATGCTTAATTTGACTAGTTGCTTGAGAGGCATGCAATCAGCTGCAATTCACTGACCCATTTGAAATTTGCCAGCTGTTTTCAGGCGCTATAAGAAAAAAACATATACAGGACAAATGTGTTTTTCCTCTCCATGGTCATTTCCTTATACTTGACTATTAGTCTTTCTGCTACAACAGGTCACTTCAGCAGTTTGTCCAGACCACAAATACTCTTGGAAATTTCCTAAAGATTCCTCTTATCTGTCTTATCTGTTAACTTAAAAGAAAGCAAAACCATTCCATCCTTTTTTTCCTATCAGCAGTAAAACCAATCAGGTCTTACATACACATGTATTTTCATTTGAAGTGGCACACAGATAACAGTCTAAGTTTGTTGCATTAACTTAAAAAATTATGTTATTTAATTACCTTGTGTCAGGTTTTAGGTTCTCCACAGTAGAATGGGTTTGATTTGTAGTGATAATTGATTTCTCCTTTTCACCATCACTTCCTCCATTTTCAGTTGACACAACCTCATACTCTGGAAAATTACAGTAAAGAAAAATTTGTTTAAGTAACATCTCTTACTAGAGCTTCTTGACTGTTCTCTCTTTTATCATCTGATTTCCACTCTTGCTGTCTAATAGTTTGTAAGAACAACTTGTGTGTACCTGCCTGGACATTATTATGCTAAAATTATAAGGAAAGATAGATTCAGTTCCAGATTGTTGTGTGCCCAGCCTCTCATTCTTTCTCATAATTCAGTTATGGGATAGAGGATACTCAAAATCTCATCTCTACCCAATGGTACACTCCTGACAAAATTCCAAACACAAGTAAGTATAAGCATTCTGCAGTTTGAATGAAACTGTATCAAAGTTCAAAGTGAAGTTTCTAAATTCTTAAACCTTATTACCTTAAAATAAGACGTATCTTTTTAAGATTTCCAAAGGAAACTGCCCAACTAACTTGGATTTGTGCACTTATGGAATCTGCTAGTTTAGAATGAAATAATTTTGCATAAATTTATTTCTGTATTTATATGATTTCTGTATTTAGATGCTTTCTTTTCATCTCAGTGAGATGTATCATTAGGCACAAACCATTCACTGAGCAGGGAATTAACAACAGATGTTTGGGAAGAAGATACCTTTTCAATCCCAGCTCAGTCCAAGACATAGTTTGTCTAGCAGAAAACTTCTGTCCCAATTTATAACAACCTCTTCTAAGAAAAACATTGAGTATAATGTTAATTTTCCTCTCTTTGAAAAGAAAGTCAAACCTCATCAGCCCCTTCCTTTTCCCTTTCTGAAACCTCTCTCTGATGTCACATGCAACTTTGCTATTTCTAAGCTACCAAAAGAGAATGTTTTCAAAGAACATTTGCAATGAGCATTTAGGTCTACAAAACAACGAATAAAATAGGTACTATACCATGGTGACAGAGGCCACCTATGAAAAGCTATAAAACCTCTAGAAAGCTACTTCCTTTCCCTTTTCTTTTAACTAACTATACTAATAATTTTCTTGTTTTTAACTAAATGCTAACAAGATGTATGTTTTTTTTTTATTTTATTAAATTTTTTCGTAATGCAAGGAGACCCATTTATTGTCATCACAGAAAGACAAAACACCTGCCGTAGGATTCAGTTTTTAAAAGGAAAGGCTGTCCTAATTGCTGCTGGACTTTCAGATCCTCACTCCTAATAAATGTAGAAGATGTATATATAAATGAGCATACACGCACAAATTGACCCAATTTTGAACTCAGTTGTGCAACCATGGTTTCCTTTGCATTCTTTTATGCAAAAATCAGCTATCAAACCCACTGCAGTAAATTACACTTAAGTGGAAGTGCACAGCAGCCCTAAAAAATTATGTTCTAAAATTCAAAGTTTCTAAACTCCAGCAATTCAATCTAAGCAATTATATACATGCATATATGTATGTATGTGTGAATTTTAGGTTTACTGCAGTTTCCAAAGGGACACCTCCTGAAAACAGAACACCTTTCTCTCTTTACCTTCCAATAGACTCAGTTCTTTAGAGCATAAACAGAGCAACATGCATGTCAGAAGGTCAGCCTGAAGAAAGGAATCAATGCCAATAACGAAGATTCCAAAATTTCCATTTCCAGAAGTCCTCTCCACTCCACCAATCACCCATGAACAGCAACAAACCAACCTCTGCCTTCTAAAATCAAACTTATGGAACTGCAGGAATGGGTGTCTCAGAAAAGAGAGGGGTGGGGAGAAGGTAAGAGGAGTACTTTTACTTTAGATCATTTGCTCAAGTGTGACCCCAATGCAATAATATTAGCATTGATAATTAGTATATATTGGTCTAAAGCATAACTGTTTCCTCTCTATCGTTTCCTCTTTGGAAACAAGACATTTTCCTATCTGGCCACCAAGGGCTGAGTGAACCATGGAGAAAAAACAAAACAAACATGCAAAAGCACTTATTTGTCCTGATTAAACCTCATTAGAGAAATTATATTTATCAGGAAGCGTGGGAGAGATGTTGGATATCCACTGCCTTAGATACATCCAGATAGTGAATGAATAAGTAACTTCTGCCAACCCCAAGTCAGTGTGTGATTTGGACTTTTTTAACTCATTTAAGTTAGAAAAGAAAATGCAGTGAAAATGGGAATGAGCACACACATAAAAAGAACTGCTGAGCACATCCAGTACCTGCTTGTTACTCAGTGCACAAGGCAACAAACCGCCCTACATTTCTGTGGTAACACAACAGGAGTAACAGAGAATGAGCAAAATGGTCTTGGTTCCTGACATTTACAGCCTTTACGAAAACAAGGAGGTGAGATTGATCACTGTTTTGGTTATTATTTGTCAGACCTTTCCATTACTGAAGCACAGTTTTGTTTTTAAGCATACTCAGTGAAACCCCTTGTACCCAGCTAAGGTTAAGCAAAGTAACCTTTTAAAAAGTTTTAAAAAAAGGCACAACAAATTATGTTTTCTGTTTTCACAGTTCTATCTGAAACAGTGTATTTCTTTAAAAAAAAAAAAAGTGATGCCCAAATTATATGATTGGAAAAACATGTATAATATACAAAAATAAAAAGAGATGACAGAAAAATTGATTTAAGTCTGTCTAAACAAGTAATGTCATACTGGTGCCAATATGAAGCAATCACTGTTTTCAGAAAATGGGACTCAATGCCTTCTTTTGAATTCAGAAAGTGTCCTTGGATGAGTTCATTAACTGAGTTATTAACTAACTTCAGTGCTCACTTTTTTGAATATTGAATACAAAAGACGACAGAAAAATTAGGAATGTCCATCTTGCATGTTTACCTGCCTACGCAGTGATTCCTGCATGACTCACATGCATTAATACTCAATACAAAACCCTTCCCTTAGAAATAAAAAAAGACCAGATTCTTTCAGCATAGAGAGCTTATTTACCCTGTGGTTGGTACTGCAAGTATTATGCTGACAAATTTCTACTGACTTATTAGATGGATGTAAGGTTTGATTGTGTCTGGCCCACTGTTAAACAACATCTGCCAGCCAAGCAAGATGTCTGCATTATGTGTGTGCATCTATATAATAGAGTGCTGTTGCATTGTTGGAACTTCTTGACTAGATCTTACCAGATCCTGTACAGAAAGCCAGAAGTTAGAGGAAATAGAGTCATACTTAAATATCTCTTTGTGTCATCACTGACACCAATGATCTAGTTTTGAAAATCTTGTTCTAATTTAGTAGCATTTTCTCATCCTGGAGTTCACAACAGCACAAAATAAAAGCATCGAGGTCCTTCAATCCTCTGGGATTAAAGTATTTTCTAAATGCCAAAAAAGTAAATTAAACTGGAAATACTGTACTATCATACAATGAAGGAAAGAAATCAAACCAACCAGTAACAGTGTCATTGTCTGGTTTTTCCCAGTCCAGTATGACAAAGGTTGGACAGCCCTCAACCGTCACCACCGTGAGATTGGTTGGAGGATTTTGTGGAGGACGAGTGGGTTCTTCCTTGCTTCCAGCTTCTTCTTGAGGAAAATGTTCAAGAGAGCTTGTGATAGAGCAAGGCACATCATCATCTTTCTTCATGTACTTGACATGGGGAGCTAAGAGCAGTAGGAAAGAGTTGTCATTCAAGAGTGTTTTTGCAAAATGTCAGCGCCATTTCACCTAGTTCACAACATCCACCTCAGGGCACCAAGTAAAAGTCTGCACAAGTCAAGCACGAATGTTTCAGAATAAAACCCATATATTCAATATTAAGCTGCATTTTGAAAAATGTTATTTATTGTTGTTAGATCTGCAGTCATTGCCTTCAGTCCCCTCTCATTGGCACCACTGAGGAAATACCACTTTGAAGGTATCAGCCAGTGATAATACCTTGATAATACTGCTTAGAAGAATTAAAATCACAAAATAGGACTATTAACTATATTTCTTCTATAGTGAAATGACACTGTAATTCCACCTGCAGCTTTTGTGAAGTATGTTAATACAAAAATGTACACTTTGTTTCACCAGAAGGATTAACAAGTTTAGTCCAAACTCATTAAACTCGCTTCATGAAACTTGGGAGTTTCTAAAGCGACTGTCAAAATCTTAACCATTTTCAGTGGTACAGCACCAAATTTTGGAACAAACTTTCTGACGCAAATGTCTTGTACTCTGCATCAAAATTAGAAAGATTACTGAAGAGAAACTCTCTAGTTCTAAGATTATAACATTTATTGCATGTAAACAATAAGCTCTCTCAAGAAAGAGGGTGTCTTCAGAAATTTAGTGTCTCTAACCAGAACAAGAGAAAAACCCTGAAAAATATTTTCATACAAAAGCACTTCTTCCTTTTATCTCACCCTGCTGAACTCTCTAGATTATTGCAACAGCACTAACTTGACTACAGACTGGAAAATAGGTGAGGGATATATGATGGATAGATATCCCATATGGCAAGGTGCACTGGTATTTGGAAAATACCTCTCCAAGCACACTTGTAAGCCCAAATGAAGAGCCACAGCAAGTTTGTGAACAAAATTGTAGGAGGTGGCAACAGGGAAGAAAGTGGAGTAAAATTTAGTCAAGAAAATGCTGATGGTTTGTGTTAAAGCTCTTTCATCTGCCACTGAAGTGACACGGAATCAAATAAAATTTTGGCCTTTGAATAACCAAACAAAATAATTTTGATGCAAGATAGGTCCATCTTCATATATTCCCCCAAATAAAAATATCACATCTATTAATATCCTACCTTGGTACCTTGGTTTTCCTGAAGAATCTGTTTCTGATGTAGGACTCGAGCTGAAGACAGTTGCATCAACTGTGGGAAACACAGTTATAATATAATTTGCAATTAATTCAAAGTTTCAGTGTTAGAACTGCAGCACTTCACAGTTCCTTTGGCATTTTAAATCACGATAAAGGTCTTCCATGGTAGACCTTTGCTGCCATGTTTCATTTTAGTGACTCCATTTTGGCTGTGGTGCCGAGTAAATCTCGTACTTACCTGCTACTATAAACACAGCCATAATCAAAATGACAGACTTCATGACTGCTGCTGGATTCAGTTCATGCAGTAAATGTAAAATGGTTTTTAGACCTTTTAAAAGGATTTTTTTTGCACTGTACTTGCTGTTTAGCTTGGAGCTTGTTTCATCTCCCTAGAATATATAGCACTATTACATTGGCACATTAACTTCTCTAAAAATAGTAACAAGGGAATCACAAACTCTGTCTCCAGAGTGTACAACTTCCACAAAATTTGAAGGAAATTGAAGGCAGATGCACTGGTGAATTAAAATGTGCTAAAGCAGTCAGGATTCCTGACAACAGTGTTGTATTAATTAGCCATTACACTGAACAGAATCTTCTTTTAGATGCAAATACTATAACGGGCCTCAGCGGACAAGGCACGATATGTTCACAATGAGCATTTATAAATAAATCAATCTAGCATCCAACTTGCTTTACTGAGCACTAAGGGTCACAGTGAGTTCATGATCATTATAAGGAGACAAGAATTTCAGTATTACTATAAATCCATAAACAGCATAATTCATGACAATACACTTAGAGCTGCATATTTGGACTCAAAAATTCTAACCATATCCTCCTCCAAATCCATTACTGGATGCCACTTTGAAGACACTTAGGTTTGGACTTGTAATCAACTCCCACTTTTACAAAGGGCAAATTTACCAATTAACCACTATGTTTGCCCTATTACCTTTTTTTTTCTATTTAAATGGTGGCAACTTAATCAGATACTTAGGAGGATATCACATCCATGATGAGCACAAATCAGTTACTGTCAAGTAATAGTTTGAATTTATCTCCTGTGCAAAAAGAAATTTTCAGGAAAAGAAGTGCCTTATCTACTCCCTGCACAGACTTAATTGCCACTGAATAGTATTTAAAGCCTACTAAGCATGTATGGATTTATAGGAAATGGAAGGGCTGTCATATTCTCAGTTACCAAAATGTGTATCAGAAAACAGCTAGATGAGCTCAGTCAAATTAAAAAAGTTGCTAAGTGGCATAAAAGGAATCAGAATTACCCCAGACTGAATGCTTCTTATATTAAATACCTAATGCATCAATATAATATAGGGAAGGGAAGCAAAAGAAAAATGGAAACCTTAATGTTAATTAAAAAAAAAAAAGGGGAAAAAAAAAGAAAAAAAGAAACCAGAACTGTTTGTAATATGCTTACCATAATACTCTGGAGTTGCAAAAGCTGTTGGTGTCCTATATGACGTTCCTGTCCTCACAGGCAGTGTTGGTCCAGCAGGCTTAGCTATAATGACAGATGGAGGGATTGGTTGCAACAAGGCATTCAATATTTAAAAGAGAGAAACAGTTTTATGATTTTCTAAGGGAACGGAGATTTGTGACAACTGCTTCATGCAACAAGTACTTTCGTTGAGACCTCAACATTTATACAACAGTTTCCAGTTGGATTTACGGAAGTTCCGAATTGTGCTTATTGCAGATATAACCTAATCCTGAAACCCAGTAACAAAATTCTTTGTTACTTTGAGATTATTTTAGAGGACTTCAGTCAGATAGAATATTACCTGGTTTAATGCACAGAACCACTCTACACAGACTGGTAAAAGGATGCAAAGTGACCAGCACTGACATTTCTTTTCTTAAATAAAAGAGCGCATTTCTTCATGAGTTGTGAGACATAACAACACCTGAAGTTAGCAACTGAAACTTGGATTCATCCCTCAAATGCGTGTAAGATCCTTTCATTTCTGCTCTCAATATAGTACATAAATTAGCAAGGCTGGAACATGAACAATAAACACCAAGTCCTTAACTGTGGTCTGCATTAAGAGTTTAACCACTGAGAGGTACTGGAGTTTCCACTAAATGAAATTAAGATGCATTTCAAATGAAAATAAGGAAAATGCAACCAAGTCGAACATTTTCAACATTTATAACACTATGTACCCAAAGGAAAAAGTTTTCTTTCTGAACTCATTTCTGGACTAGGGGTCATAAATCTGGGCAGAAACTAACTGACAGAAGCAATATTATCTCCCAGAATTATATAGTTCTTTCATTACTTTTACTCCTCAGTTGTTACCACCTGCTAAAGAAAATAGGTTTCTAAGAGGCAAACAATCAAGTAGAAGTTTACAAACAAGTAAAGGATGTCTTGATTTCTTTCAAAATAGCTGTAAAAGACAAGAACTAAATTCACAAAACATACAGATACTCCCAGATAACCATGACATGACTGGAAATCTCAACCCTGAAAAGTCAGGAACTACATAATGTGCATATATACCACAGAAGAACATGGTGACTGAAGCCAGAACTCTTCTTTAAACTCTGGTGAACGAAGTTTAAAATAACAAAAATCCCTACTTTCCACTAATTTCCTTAATAAAGTTGAATTTGAAATATTGTCACTGGAGTCCAGTTTCACAAAGGTTTCGGAACTCTCTTGTTTCCTTTTATTCCATTCAGGAGACTTTTAAGGTCTGTACAGAAACCTTTCCATAATATTTATCCACTGCTTGAGTTAGAAAGATGCAAGTAAGGAATTAATGACAATGTTAATGAGGACAGAATTCTGACAGGGAAAATCCGAGAAGAACATTGAGGCAAATTTTTCCTGTTACTACAGTGGAACTGTCTCTCCAGGGAACCAGGAGAAACTGAATTATAATGTTTAAAACTAAGCTGGATAAAACACTAGGAAACACAGAAGAAGGAAAATCTGCTACTGGCTCCACAAGGAAGAAGCAGATCATCTAACTGATTTATTCCATCTTGAAAGCCTATGAAGGCATGGTAACTGCTGACTACCGCATAGCCTGGCCTCCAGTGTAAGGAAAAAGGGTGAAATTTCATATCACTGGTAAATTAATTAGGTACTTAGTGGAGAAAATTAGTATAGACCCCCATTACAAGCAAAAGAAAACATATCAGGTCAACATTTTTTATGCTGCAGCTCAAGACTGAGAATGTCTTATATTTTGTTGTAGCTATTACTAAGGAAACACCATCAGATCAACAGCAAGGATAGACACAACATTTCAATCTTGTCTCTGCTTTTAGCTTGGAGATTCTTGTTACTCTGCTGCTGCACAAAATACTAAAGAATTATTTAGGTCTTTAGTGCCTTAATAGGACACAAAGTCCCAAATGAAACAAACCATAAAAGACAACAGTAAATACAGTACAGCCAAGACCTTTGTATTTCCAGGGAATGACAGAGACCAATATGAAGAGGAAAGCCCTTGTCATGATGCTAAGCATAAGGAGATGACAGTTTCTGACTACTCAGAAAAAAGTTAGCTTAAGGATGCTTACAAAGAATCCACAGAAAAACATGTATGTGGATACTGAATATCAGTTTCAGGGTGAAATGAAAATAAAATAGGAAACATGAACGTTTCTATGTGCTCTTATATGGGTACTGACAAGTTGGAATACTTTAGTACAATAATCAAACTAAACTCTGCACACATGAAATAACTCAGCTCGCTCTACCTCTCAGTACAGTTAGTTCTCTGGGTGACTATTAGCTCATTATTTGCAGTGGTTAATGGATATGCCATATATATGTGACAGAATTTCTTAACAAATAACCAGTTGGGTGTATAATATTCAATATCTCCCATCCAACATGCACATGAAGTAGCTACGAATGCTATTAGTAGACATGAAATACTCATAAGGTCGATCTTCTTAAAGGATAATTTGGACTGTGATATTTTGCTTTCAGCTCCCTTATTAAGGATGATTTTGACATAAGCAGGTTGGGAAAAAACCCACAAAAAAGTAGAATTTATGTCAGAATGCAAAAGACCTGTGTGTTCCAAAATACTAGTTTCTAGAGATCTCACAGATTAAAGAAATCTATACTGTAAAATTCTCCTGTACCTTGATAGTCAGTATTATCTTGCACACAATAAAATATTTATGTTGAAAAGGCTGAGATACCTGGAATCCCTGGTTTACCAGTCACGGTGTTTGGAGGCAGAGGTTTTCTTCTCATTTGTGTAGGCTTGGCAGGAGGTATAGGAGGGTGCTGAGGGCCAGGCGATGTAGTTACTGAATGACATTACAAGACAGTGTTATTAATTATTTAGCCTCAAATTCCATAAAATCAGGAACCTGTTACAAGTTACATTCTGACTTCTTAAAAAATGTTTCATTTATTATTTATTATCAAAAGTGGAGAGGTGATGTTAGGAGCTGAAATGAGTTGTCTTTTCAGTCTTAAATTCTTTGAGAAGTGTGTGCCATGAAATTTTAAACCAAGCTTATTCTAAAAATATGTAGCTCCTCTGGGATTTTGTACAAGTGTTTCAGTGTAGTTACTCATTTCTGTCAACAGTAATTTTTTGGCATCCAAAAGGATATGTCTTCACACAATAAACACCACCTCAGTGTACTTGGAAACACATTCAGTGTCCTACTCACAAAATTTGTGATCTCTTGTATTTTCTAATTGATAGAACTAGTCACCCTCAGCTTAAAGCAAAAGATGTAGTGAAAGGGAAATTATCATTGGGAAAACTTTATCCTGTGCTGTTCAAGTGAAAAATGAAAAACATCACTGTCATTTCATGCACAGACAGGTCTAAAAACAGTTACCATGGTAGAAATTTCTGAAGCACCCAAGTTGGTAATTTCAACGTGCAGTTCTAGCCAGTATCTATTAATTTTATCTGGTGAGATTGTTTGACAGTGAGGTGTAAAAAGAGAGCCTTTAGTTCATACTTACAAATCACTTTACTGTATTTTCCAGCCAATTATGAGGGATTTTATTATGCAAAGGAAAGGCAAAGGAAAAGATTTTTCTTCCACTATTCACCTTTGCCCTTCTTTCCTTAAGAAAAAAACAGGAGATATGTGCAACATATTCGTGTAACAAAAGACTTGTTGTACCTAAGAGGGGAAAATCCTCAAGAGTAATAAAATTCTTATAATGCTGCCAATGTCAATAAATATGCAAGTTGCCTGACACTGAATTACTGGCTACACAAAGTACCTCAGGCCCTATGTATGAAACCTTAGTTTAGCCTATAAATAGAGTGACTGTGGGCGAGAAGGGAGCAGATCCAAAGACTCATTTGGGAGGGCATTTTCAGAAATATTACAATATGCAAACAGGAATACCTCCATCTTTCTCTGTTCCCTTTTCCTTTTGCACTGTTGCAGCCACTTATAGAACATGTTTTTTCTTTTTTTTTTTGGTAATCCCTCAGATCAAGACAGGAAATAGTGCTCTGTCTAATTCAGGAAGATGTAATGGTTTTGAAAATAACATTTGTACGTTTCACATTTATTCCTAATCCCCAGATGGAGATGAAAAAATTATGCCTAAAGAACTGAAAAGAGATAAAGTTTTGCATGTGTAAGTCGTCATACCCTAGATACCACTACATGGTGGTATTCATCATTACTTTTCCTCCAGCCCGTATTTAGGGAATGGGATTGTCTGAGATATTTATGGGGTAAAAATGTGCAAGTATTGACTTGCCAAGTGGTTTCTATCATATTTTCTGAACAACACAACCACAACAGTTACATGCAAGCCAAACCATCACATTTGGTGTATGTGTCACAGTTGAATCTACAACACTGGTAATGATAATTTTTAGCATATGGAATAAGTTAGTGAATAAATAGTGACCATGAAATATTTTTATTTTTATCACTTTTAGTAACATCCTGAAACCATGAGGAGGTGTATTGATAAGGATGATTAAGGATTATTTGCTCTTCTTAGTGGAGGTGCTTTTTTGTATAGAAAAGGCAATGTTTTTATTTTTCATAACACTTACAATTTTCTATGTTTTCTACTTTCATTAACCTTACCAGAAATAGGCTTTTCCCAGGTATCAATATATTCCCAAGGTTTTTTTACATCCACAGCAACTTGCCCGGTAATATCCTCAGGTATGTACACATCATCTGTGAAACAAAGGAAATGGAATAAGTCTCTACAGTGCAGCACCAAGTCATGGAATACTTATATATTTTATATATTCAAACTCTAGTTAATGTTAAGTGCAAAACCAGGATGTACAGCCCACCTATATTTTTAGTGATAACTAAATGAAATCCATTATCTTCTTATTCAAGTAAGTAGGAAGTATTCTGTTTCTAGAAAGTCTGCAATTTAAAAAAGTGTATTTGGAAAGAGAGAATTAATAAGATGGAGAGGTAACAGATCAGTTAAACCAAGATGATATGTGAAATGATGAGTACCAAGAACATTCTAGCTTTTCAGTATATGGAATAAAAAGTCCATTGGTTCTTGCAAAGGGCAAAGTTCTTCTTCTCCCCATAGTAAGACCTTTGGTCATCCTCCATATCAAATGGTAGAGCAAACATGTACCATATTTGGAGTACAGGAGGCAAAGTATACATAGAATTCAGTTTGTATATAAGAGAAAGTCCTACTTAAAAGTTATATAAACACATTTAAAAAAAACTAAAGTAAGTGGCATTAAAAAGATCAACACAACTCCTGGTACAGAACAACTGTTTCACATGCTGGTATTTATAGTACAGCCAGACATGTTAAGTTAATATGCTTTCTCTATACAAAATAAGTATATTTGCTTTACAAAAACTGTATATATAGTACAGTGAGAAGATGCATTGCAACTTCACCGTGTTTGTGGGGACCCCCCCACAGTCTTACTCATGATGTAATGAAAAACCTGTGAAATTTAATATATTAAAAAATATCAGTCTTACATTAATTATCAAATTCCAACCCTACTCGAACAAAATTTAATGACTTCAACCAAAGATTTGATGGGTTTATAACATGGTTCTCAATTTGTTATGACATTACACTACTATTTTAATGTTATGAAGCAGATAATTTTTCAATTACTGAAAATATTTATGAGGTGTGGAAGTGTGGGAGACAACGTGAAACTAACCCCTGTGTCTTTAATAGCAGGAATACCGTCAGAGGAGTGGATCATTTTAAGAGAAGTGCTCTTGATAAAACAAAACTGAAAATACCTTTATACTGGAATTCCTCTAGAACTTGGTGATATACCAGTAGTTTAAAAAATAAAAAGAAAATAAAACACAAAAATAATGGGTATTATAAAGAAAAGCAAGTATCTGTCTGTTTCACAAGGAAAATGGAAATGCTGTTTAAAAGTTGTTTGCTGACATTTTTCAGGAAGTTCAATAGATCAGGAGCAGCTTTTGAAAGCTTAGGTATAAATTAAAAAACAACTCAGTAAACTAAGTTACGTACACTAAGATAAGTATGAAAAATCATCTGAATAAAATTATATTCTAGAGAAAACGGCTAAAATTTGGCAAAAACCCTGAAGTGAATGCTAGTCATGAGGAGGTAATCTCTGCCTCTTTTCCACAGTCAAGTTTACCACCTGGCACTACAGCTAGCCAGGAGACTGAAAGGCCTGCCAGGAAACCAGCCCCAATCCCGTGTGCTGATGCTGGAAAAACAAATTCCACTGCTTATCATCTGGAGCCTGCAGCTTCCAAGCAGACTCTCCATGGGGTGAAACATCTTTGCACTGAGGCTAATGAGCCCAGTCAGGAAGAAGGAATGGAGTACAGTCAACAGCAATGCCAGTCCAGCAAGGAATTAGAAGCTAAACTTAGTGTTTAAACAACAGAGTAACCATGGCTCTTCAGTAAATGTGCTCTTCTTCAGAGAAAGAATAAATGATGAAATGTCTAAAGGTAAACCTGAAAACATATTTTTCCTTACAATTAAGGAGGCTGATCAGCTTAGATCAAAAGTTAAGTATTTTGATAAACTAACCATAGAAAATAAGATTTTCATCATGAAGAAATTAACTTTCTCAGATCCAAAAATCCTCAGGATACCTTAAAATGTTATGACATCTTCAGGATATTTCTTTGACTTAGAGAAAAAAAGAGTTATGTAACTTGGCAATGGAAAATATTACTGGAAGTATCATTTTGCAGAAGAATTCTAAAAGAAGTATTTATTTTCCAGTGAGTACATATAGCATGCACAGTAAGGAGTAGTCTTATGATGACTTTTGACATCATCTACCACAAGGAAGCTATAGCCCTTCTACAATTGTGCAATGGGCACTACCACAAATACAAGGAAATGATGACAGCTGGTGGGCACACCAAGAAGAGCATTTAGAATAAGATTGCTTAAAAGAGTGCTTTAGCACCTAAACCAGCATTAAGCACAATAAACTACATGTAACAATTTAAATGCTCACTATTATATTTAGACTACTGATTTGCTCAGCATGCCTTCATTTTTTTGGTCTTTTTTTATAACCTACAAATACCCCTGCCAAGTTCACCACTATGCAGGAGAAGAGAAAAGCTTAATATACAGTTTAACATAATTGTATATTTGTGCATCATTTCATAGTGATCACTCCTGGAGACCTGTGTGTGCATTCTTTTTCAGAAATCAGACATCAGAAAGCTCATTTATAAGAAGATTTCCAACTCAAGGAAAGAACAAAGCTTTCTGACCCACAGCTACTGACATTGGTCATTTAATACTGTAACTGGCTCTGATGTCCTGGAATGTGATGGGCTCATTTCATTGCCCAGAAGGACTATGAAAGGTCAAAGAGCACATAAGTCTAATGAAAGCATTCACTCTGTGTGTAATACAGAAGAGTAGGCCACACTCTAAACAGGCTAAGTTTAATTCAATTTAAATATACAACCATCTCTTCTGAGTTTTTACCATTTCTGAAAATGTGGTGGGCTTCTCAAAATTATGTATGGGAAAGAGTAGTTAATGTCATTCTGTGGTCAGCAACAGGTATGAAATTGCCAAAGATACAGAGAGAAACATTAAATGGACAAAAGTGTTTAGAATAGATGGAATATCATTCAGGTTGTCCTAATCTAGCTAGCAAAAAACAATGGTATGGGACAGTAACACTGTCAGTAGTGGGTGAACAGCCAAAAGTTTACTCTAAATATGTGTATTATATTTATTTATTTATTGACTCATATTATGTAGTATTTTAAACTTTCTTTGTTGATGAATAATCCCAAAATTAACCAATGGTTGTATTAAAAAACCAACAGTGCTTGTATCGATGTAATAAATTAATGCTTTATTAAATAAAAAATTACGGATTCTTTATGAGTTAGCACTGACAACATTATTTTGATTGGATTGAAAAATCAGGTACAACTGAAAAAGGACAAACAATTTTTCCCCCAACCAAAAGCATATTTTTAATAAATCTTTATGGTTAGGGATGTATGTCATCTGTGTGTGTAAGGACACGTAAATTGAAGTTCTCCCCGTCCTCTATCATCCATCAGTTTGGAATTCTTTGATGCTGAAATATTCAATACTGAATACTCCACAGTTCAAATACTGCTTGGTCTGAGTATGAACTGGTCTGGTGTGAACACACCACAAGCATAGATAGCAGCTAGCAAGATATCTGGCTTTAAGGCTTTCCTACCAAGCCTCCTGATTTGGACTCAGACAGCTGGGTGACCCTTTTCAACAGTGTTTTCCAGTAATTATCCTGGACCTAACATCTAGAAAACATTAGTAAACAGTAGCCACATAATCTATCTGCAAGTTCACATAGACTGTCAATATTATTTCATGATGACTCTCAGGAATTCTATAACATGATCAGTAGCAGCAATTCCACATGGTACTCTGAGGAATTAAATTCTGTAATAAAACACAATGAAATGTTTTGCAGGGCTCAAGAGGATTTGAGGAGTTCACATTCATGTCTTTTCCTGATAAGTTAAACTCCAAAAAACACAGCTCTACCTGTTGTTGGCATAATCCACTGTGGCAGTCCAGGTGCTTTTGTTCTGGCTGGTGCTAGTGTGGTTTTACTAAAAACTGTGAGAGAGTTAAAAAAGAAAAAAGGGAAAGAAGAAAAAAAAGTTCTATGAGAAGAATACCCAACAGGCTTCTGTGTGATGCCAACAATTCCACACGAGAGAAGAAAAAGTAACACCTGCTGTGATGACACACGCAGTTTTGGTTTCTGATTTGGAGAGGCTTTACCTCTAGACTTATTAATTGATTAAAAAAATACCCTTTTTTTCTCCCAACAACACTTAAAATTCCACAGATAATATGTGAAATTAATTAATTAATTAATCTCCTCCCCATCCCAGATTGAATAAACAATTATTACCAGGTCTGGTCTGTGATTTATCCGATGGCTTTGGTCTTGCGGAAGTGAGACGTGTTTTATGAGGTGCTAAAAGAAATAAGGTTCTGCTTAAATGCTACGTGTAAAAGAACACTGATAGTGCAGTGCAGTTTGCCAGAAAAAAGGTCCATGCACCAACGTGATACAGCAAAATGGACATATGAGAGTTCTATGGGTTCCAATCCAAAATGCATGTTGAAAATGCTAGTTTCTTCAGTGGTCAGATGACTCTGTCATGCAGTCTGACCAGTTACATTCATGTTTAGGTTTAGGAAAAGATATAAAATATTTACAGCCAGTTACCCAACTGTATATGGATACAGAGTTAGCTCTGCAAGGTATCCATGGCCTTAAGACATTTAATTAGGTTCTGTAAAAAACAAACAAACAAAAATCCTCAAAATAAAACACCGCACTGGAATCACCCAAACCAAATACTTAGATTAAACCATGAAACAGTGAATTATTGCTGAGAAAACAACCAGAAGCATTCATTGCAGACGCTGTGTAAGGCAGCTGAAGCACAGTGTCATCATCAAGGTTGAAATCAGAAGCCTTCAACCTTTTCTTACTGTTGCCTTTCACTTGCAAAATAATTTTGATATGGTAGTTGTTATGGTATCTGTGTGAATCACACTGAAAGCTGAAAGCATAAGCAGGAGTCACTGTTGTCTTCTGCACAGTTGTCAACCTCTGTAAGTGATCTTTTTAAATAAATAGAGCTGGCTATTTGATATTCAAATCTAATAACCATTCTATCCATAACTCTTAATCCAGGCTCTCTGAAGCATCAGAGAAAATACTTATGCAGCACAGAACATATTACTCAGTTTTGACTTTTGGATTTGGGAAAAGCTTTACAGAGTTAGATTTTATAAGGTGGAAGTTAGTTACATCTATGTTCGCAGCACTATACATCATAGTGTCTAAAAGCTTCATATCATGTTTGATGCAATACTGATTAAACCCAATTTTCAAAGCAATAAAAATATTTGATAAGGGGGAAAATAAATTTTCATGTTATGTATTTGAAACGGTTTTAAAGGTAATAATGAACTGACCATTAAACAGTACTGATTTTACTTCAGATTTACTGAACATTTACAGATTTACAGACTCTCAATACAACAATTTAAGAAAATCTTAAAAATTACCTGTATCGAACCATGGAATTTCAGTTGCTTGAGCAATTTTGGGCTTGGGTGAAATGTGGTATGTTTCATTGGGAACTGAAAATGGAGATATTACTGCTTACCAAGTGCAAATTATTTCCTTTTAAACATAAGAAATCACAGGTGGAAAGGAAATTCAAACTATCTTTGTGCAGATCATAAACAAAAAGAGTCAGTGCTAGAAACATGACCGAAAATCATGCTTTTATATGGGAAAAAGACTTTTCAAGACTAGGAAGATACATATCATTAGTAAGTCAGACAAAAATCAGAAAAAGATAATCAGGCAATGCCTTTTTACATGACTCCTCAGTCTTGTACATGAAGTACTGTTTCTAGAAAAGATTTCATGAAGAAGAAAATGCCTGGAAAATTAAAACCAGCAATATTTTGTACATGCACTGGAATGTAACTAACAAATGAACAATGATATAAAATGAAATGAAATAAAAATGAAATAAATGAACAAATGATATAAAGATACATTGAGGTATTTCTGTTGATTAAAGTGTAAGTTTAGCTACATAGCAAAGGCAGAGAAAGTAAAGTTTTAAGAAAAATAAACTGACATAATATTCTCATTACCCAAAGGTATTTTGGACCCATCAAGAACATGAACTGTTACAAGGTTAATTGATCCCAGGTGTGTTGCCCTTGGAGCTATAAAAAATAAACCATTGTTCTGTGAGAAGGGAAATTAAAGAAGTTGGATTTCACAAAGGATCTGTCTCCATTGTTTCCTAAAAACCTATCGACACATCTGCTAAGACAATTTTAACAGATATGAGACAGAAACATGTTCTGATTAGTCTGGATGTATTTTCATGCTGACAACCAGACAGTGCAACTTTTCTGCTGGGCCCCCACTAACTTCAGAACAAATGCCCTAAAGGTGGAGTTCTGACAGTCTTTGGTCTTTTTTCTGCTTAGTATATTAACTTACACTTCCATAAAAAATTTCTAAAAGCTCGTAGTATCTTTCAGACCTCATTCAAATTTGATTGAATTTACTGAAAGATATCTAAATTACTGAATGAAAAGGACAGACTGGCAGGCAGAGACACGCACAACGTGTCTCTTTGTCTTTCAGAAATAAGGTTAAAATATGGAAGCTGGAAAATAACCTACTTACTAACATAAAGAACAGTGGCTAAATAGTGCCATTTTTGGTTAGCAGTAAACATTTTTATTGTTTTTCCTAACAGTAGTTTGTTTTGCACATACACAATTATAATGATTTAAACCTTAAAAGGCAAAAAATAAAACTCTAAATTCTGTCTTCTAAAATTCTTTCCCTAAAACTGACTTTGTAGTGGTCCCAAAAGATGGCACTTGTTAATTATGACATGATTGGAAATAGCTTTTATTCAACCGAGACTTGAAATCTGACTTGGTTACTTAATAGTCTTTCAAAATAAGGCATTTAGAAAACAAATTTTTTGTGAACTGTTCAGTTTGATGGTCACAGTAATATATATGTATATATAGTATATAGGCATATATATATATATATAGTTCTTGAATGAATAGGGTCTCTGCTTAAATTCTTTTTTGGTTATGAAAAAAAAAAGTATAAGTCTAAGGGGAAAAAGTCTGTGTGTGTGTAAAATTACAAAATAATTCATTACAGTGATTTGCCTTGAATTAAAATATTATCAGTTCAATTGTTAGACCAGAGATGAAGAAAGATTAGGAGCTGCTCTTTCTTATAACCGTGTTGTGACTCCTCCCCTAACTGCATTTTTCTCCTATAACCCTCCTACTTAGCAATTTTTATTGAAATACTTCACACCCAGGGTAAAGCTGAGGTATCACCATCCTTCACTGTAACTGTGCATCCCTGAATCTACTGAGGTTGCTGCAAGAAGTCAGTGTGCTGAAGAGACTTGTACTCTTAGCATCTAACTATCTTGGACTTAGTTGAGATTCTGCAACCCGACTTTCAAAAGCGATTGAGAAACTGAATCAAATGTATTTAGGGTACTAAAATCACCCAAAAGAAAAGAACTTTGTGAATGTAACCACAGAAGTATATTTTTATTAAAATTAATTGAATTCCTCGCATTTTTAATGGCTGCTAAGGCCATCCAGCTGCTCTCCATGGAAACTGATGCAATTCTTGGGCATTGAGTTTCATATAATTTATTAACATACTCTCAGATGAACTACGATACCAGTTTCTGTCTACTTCTTATGCATGTCCCATGACTGGACTACTCAAGGACAGCCGAAAATGTAACTAAGGCAGTGCCACAACAACACTTCTAAAGTTACAAACTGTAAATTACCAGGTTTAGTTTGTGGTACTTCTGGCCAGACAGATGTTTTGGGTTTGGAAGGAATGAGCAGTGTTTCTTTTGGAGCTGAAAGAAAAGGAAAAAGATTATTATTGTGTTCTTCAGGAGTCATGATCCAATGCCATATTTAGCCCACAGAAAATGCATGCCTCAAATGCCTGAAAAAAAGACAATAACAATTCCATGGCTTTCTGGAACCTGAAACAAAATGACTATCCAAAACACAGAAAAGTCCCAGCAGTGTGCTGTAGGATAAGTTGAGTTAGTGGCTAAAGTTCTTGGTCTAAAAGAAAAATTAGGCATTGAATTTAGTTGGAGATCTGAAAAATACAGATTTTTGACCAAACATAAGCTGTAGGCTATTTTTGCTTTATGTCTAAAATAGAAATGAGAATCCTCTATACTAAGGTACATGCATGTGGTAGCAGAATGAAGGATAGTGAAACTGTGTTATATAAATACCCATCTGTGTTCTCTCGATATTCCTCAATTGAAAAATTGAGAAATACCTGCATCTTAACTTTAAGAAAATTTATTTACCCATTGTTGCCTTTGAATGCCCAGTGGTAGTAGGAGATTTTGTAATAATTGGCTGTGGAGTTGTCTGATGTATTGCTGTTAAAGAGAGAATGTGAAGAATCTTAGAATATTTATCTGTAATAGAAACAAAGTAGCATTTACACTATTTCTAAAACTTGCAAAATGCCCTAAGCTAGGGAGTAACAGAATATCTTGAAAATCAACTGCTGACAGATATAGTTATCTTTCTATTAACTTCTACTATACATTCTCTTAACAACAAAAATGGGAAGCCACGTAGCCCCTTGTAACTAATTTTAAAGGTACTTTTGTTTCGTATAGAGCACAATGTAAGTTGCTAACTGTACAAGCATGTTACAAAGGAATTCTGTTGCATTTTATGAAAAGAAAAAAAGTGGTCACAGAGAAGCATCCCTGATTACCAGGAAATAATCAGAGAGAACTCAGTCTATCTAGACACTGAAAATTGTCAATACCCACATCACTACATTCTAGTCATCATTTGCTATGTGTAATAGAAAGGAGGGAAAACATTTTTTATTTTATATTTTATATTACATATCTTGCTATTATTTTTAGTGTAGTTTTGACATACTTTGGTTTGATTATCTTAAGTGTAATGCATCTGCTTCAGTAAAAAACTGGCTATGAATAATTCTGTTAAGAAGCACAAAGCCTGAGGCCAAGGGAAAGAATGATTAAACTCAAGCAGACAAAATTAAAAGAATGACTCCATTACCAGGTTTGGTGTGTGGCACTCTCGGTTTTTCAGTTGTTTTTGGTTTGGTATGAATGAACTGTTTTTCAGTTGGAACTGAAATAAAAACAAACAGCACCCAGAGCAACAATTGAAAAAACACACTGCTTTCAAAGCACACAAGGAACATAAATACAATCTGATCTGTAATAAGGCAAATTATGCAAGGGTAAAGCTGAAAATCAATCAGTTGGAATTCCTGCAAAGAAAGGAAAACAAGTTAAACGGCCACTTACGCAAGGACGCTTCTAAAAAATTATATATACTAATTTCTAGTTTTGCATCAAGAAGTGAAGAATATAGTCATGAACATCACACTGTAAAGTAATGGGACAAACCAGACAGTAGTAGTCTACCTCTTCCTCATCTCCCATACATGAGTATCTGAGGACAGGCTCTATTTTTCAGTGTGCCCTTTGTATCAAACTTGATTTATAAATTAACCTTTTTGCTCTTATGTGGGTATGATTTAATGTTGTTATCTTCACACTCTTCAGTTAAAAATTCTTGTAAAAAAAAAACAACGTAGGAATCATTTACTGAAAAAAGTCATCTTAGCCCTTGCTAGTCTATGATCCATGCTAACATTAGAGGTCCCAAATGCCTTAGCCTGTGGTTTCCTCATCCCCCTTGTTCTGAAGAATTGATTTTCTGCATACAAATAATGCACCAGGTAGCCCCAGATGTGTACAACAGGGCACATACTTCATACAGCTCTATAAAGAGATATTGACTGAATACTAACCTAAGTGTCAATGCACACAGGGAATATATATTAAACTAGAGACATGATGAAAAGCATTTCTACTTTCCCATTCCTCAAAAAGAAAAAAAACCCAGAATTTTAAGATTATTAAATAACTATTAATATTTCATTAATGGTATCATTTCATTTTCACAAAATCAGGGTCAATGTCTGCCTGAAACTGGAGACAGAGAACTGATTATTAGCAAAAATTGCTCAAGCAATACTACCACTGCCCAATACTGTTTGGATTAAGTGACCCTTAATTGGTCCACATATGAAATTCAGTTAAGAAGAAAGAATAGTCAGACAATGTTTCATATATTTAAGCAAGTTTTCCCAACATGGATTGACTAGAAGTTAGCAGAGACGGTGGTTTTAGAACTAGTATTGGATTTAGAGGGTCACATAGCTGGTCTGTATACTTTATGCTATAGTTGATAGCTTATAATTTTCTTCTGTAAAATTATACTATGAGGAGTTGTGCTGGTTTCAGCTGGGGAAGAGTTAATTTTCTTCACAGTGGTTGGTGTGGGGCTGTGTTTTGGATTTGTGCTGAACACGGGGTTGATAATATAGAGATGTTTTTGTTGCTGTTGAGCAGGGCTTCCACAGAGCCAAGGCATTTTCTCTCTGTATTGCCACACTGGCAAGGAGACTAGGGGTGCATGGGAGGTTGGGAGGGACACAGACAGGACAGGTGACCCAAACTGGCCAAGGGGATCCCAGAATCACAGAATATGCTCACAAGGGACTCCAAGGATCATCAAGTCCAACCCTTAGCCCCACACAGGAGAGTCACACCATGTGCCTGAGAGTATCACCCAAACAGTTCTTGATATTCCAGGCTCATATGACATCATGCTTAGTATCTAAAGCTGGGGGTATGAAGGAGGAAGGGGAAGTTTGGAATGATGGTGTTTGTCTTCCCAAGTAGCTCTTATATGTGATGAGGCCCTGCTCTCCTGGAGATGGCTGAACACCTGCCTACCCATGGGAAGCAGGGAATGAATTAATTCTTTGGTTTATTTTGCTTGTGTGTGTGGTTTTTGTTTCCCCTGTTAAACTGTCTTTATCTCAACCCACGAGTCTTCTAACTTTTATCTTTCCAGTTCTCTCCCTGATCCTGCTGTTGGAGGAATGAGCAGGTGGTTGGGGAGGTGCTTAGCTGCTGGCTGCGATTAAACAACAACAGAAGTGAAGAAGAAGAGTATTTTAGAACGACTATCCATATTTCAGATGAAGAAGTTAGAAGAGTTGCTACCTCCCTTTAAATAAAGTCCCCTTTTATTGGAAAATAGATAACATGTGGAGGAATTGAATCATCCTGACTAGAAGGGCTAGAAGATGAGGCAGAAAAACCTTTGAAAGTAAATGGGCTCATGGGTTATTACCCTTATCAAGACCCAAAAGCAAGTAAGCATCTAGAAGCAGAGCAAAATTTCATTATTAGTTTTTAATGAAATGTAATGAGTTCTCTTTAAGACGATCTGCTCTAGAAAGAATGAAAAATAATTATTTATGAAATACACAGTTACCCAATGTTGCCCTTGTTCTTTCAGGAATACGAGGAATCATAGTAGTATCTGGTTCATCAAAAGTTGGAAAGATTTCTGTTGGGAAAAATGTCAATAAATTATCTGAATAATGAAGAGAATCTCCCTTTGCCTCCCACCTCCCTAAAAAACCTTTCAGCACTATACTGTATACACCAGGAAAGGGAACAGCAATGGGCATTTACCCTTAGAAATTTATGGCTATTAAACAATAGTTTAATATTAAACAATTCACCCTTCAGTGAAATCACTGGTCATCATAGATCAGTCAGATGTATTGATAGGGAGTCACCTAATCAAAATATAACTGAAGGGTATCCTCAGTCTAATCTGGACAGAAATGTGTATATAAAGGAAAAGCAATGCAACAACATTAGAAGGTTTCTTTCATAAGAGCTTCAAAAATATGGTGCAAACTATTGAAGTGTGTTGCTCAGATAAAAGCTGTGGATAACTTTATCCTTGATTAAGGTATATATGTCACTGCTACTTCTTCTGGTAGTATCTGTATAAGATTAAAAAAACCCTTGAACTGCTGAAGTTGCCATCAGTGGTAGAACTTAATTGCACTGTAGAGGTTTCTTAAGCTAGAATGATGCCTAGATAACAGCAAATGCACTGATCACAACTCCCCCCACTGCCCACCCTCAAAGCAGTTGCTCAATTATCAACCTTGACAAAAGACCAGCTAATTTACCAGGCTTCCTGCGTGGAGCATCTGGGATGGGAGTTGCTCTAGGTTTAAAGGGAATATATTGTGGTGCTTTAGGAGCTGGAAAAAAAAAGTCTGTTTTAGGTATTTACACTTTTTAGAAATTAGACAGATTTCATTCACAGGTACTGCATGTGTCATGCTTGCTAACAAAAACAATCCCTGCATAAGAGACTGAAAAATCAAGTGCATATACATACAGGAATTTAAAGAGAAAAGAAAATCATGAATGAAAACATGGGTGGAAAATTGATCAAGTGAGCAAATCTGGTGTCAAGCAACAAAAACTGAAAGAGCACAGACAGCTACAGTGGAAATGTTTCCACCTGTATCTCAAAGCTCATAACTGCAATACCCATGGCATGCTTGTCTCCTACAAGCATCAAAGGAATTACAGTGTGTGTGACAGGGAAAGCAATTTTCAGTGAAGACAATAAAACAACAGCTAGAAATCTTTCAATAACTGGAACAGAGTAAAAGTTCAATAAGTACAAAAGAAAATAAAATCAAAACCACAAAGAGATGATGTGAAAAACAGACTAATGATGTGTAAACATTGGTCCAAGGAGCAGGGAAGAAATAATCATGACCAGCTTAATTTACCTGTTGTTGTCTTTTGTTGTTCAACTGTAAATATACTAGGTGCCAAAACTTCACAAAAAACAAGATGATACACAGAATAAAGGGAAAGTATGAGCAAAAGGGTAAAAATACTCCCTCTTACATGACTGATTTATTGTCAATTTGGAACACATTTTTTTTCTGATAAATTATTTGTTTGTGAAATTAGTGAATATACAGTCACTCAAAATAATATTTAACTGATACTATCAGAACCATTAGGAGTTACAGAGGTTTGGCTGTTCACGAGTATTTAAGTCTCTATTAAGTATATTTTAAGGGTCAAATTCTATTACCAGGTCACACAAACATATGAGTGGTTTGAGTTACAGATATTTTTAGGGTCATACATGAAGGCCCTTGAATATGTTTTTTCTCTAAGCACCTTTTGATGGGCACAAAAGAGATGCAACTTCTTCCAACTTTTTCTTATAACGTTTGTATGTTGTTCATCCTGCTACACAGATTATTCATCAGTGATAGCTGTCATGTGGCTGAAAAGCATAGACAACTCACCAAAACTCAGGCATTAAAAATTAGAAATCAGCTCTATCTTCCTTTAAACACCTATATAATAATCATTAGAAAATGTATTTGTAATATGAAGAGATGCTAATCAACACTTGATTCACTGAGGAAGGACAACCCAAAAGAAACCCTGAATATTTAAGCACAACAAAGCAACAATGTATTTACCAGCTTTTGTGTGTGGTACATCTGGGCTTGGTGATGCCCTGGGCTTGGAAGTGACTCGTCGACTTTCTTTTGGACCTGTGAAGGAGAGAAAAGTTTCGAATAAGTTATTGAGGATGACAATTCTTGGAGCTGTGAAGATGCGCAAAGTTTTGAACTTGTTGTTCATCATATGTCTTTGGATTTTTCCTGACAGGAGATTAATTTTCTACTAAGAAATTTTTAGAAATTACTTCTGTCATTTGAAAATAATCACAAAGAGATCTCCTGTCAATGCAATGAATATTTTGTCAGTGCAAAGACTAAAGTGAGTTTTATAGTGCAGTGTCAGATTCACTCTCCACTCCTCTCAGCAGTTTTGAACAGAAATTCCTGCAGAGAAAATTGCAGTAGTTCTAATACTTCCCCTAATTGTGCTTCTCAAGTGTTTCATATTCCAAAAATCTACTGCTCATTTAAATCAACTTTGCATCAAAAAAATTCTGCAGCAAAGCAATCAAAGCAGAAGAAACATGGAAACTTACCATTAATTTTCAGACAGACAGAACTATTTCCAAAGTTTTGGGAGTGGGAAAGTAATTTTACACTTGTAATTGAGTAACTACTATTGAGTAACGTATACTTCTGTCACGCTGTGAAAATTAGGATACAGATTTTTCTAAGGGCAAGGGTTCAAGGTGAATGTTGACCCACATGTATCTATCATTTTATGTTATTGACATGTATAAATATATAGCTGATTATCTTGTTCCACCACAGCTATATACATAAAATGTGATTATGACAGTGGAACACAGCCTATTCAGTAAGTACCCATGTACCCTCAGAGAACTCCTCAATTTTGAAAATTTTCAAACTGATGAAACTTTCATGCACTAAAGGGCAAAATATTGATAAGCTTACTTGCTCTAGTTGGAGGAATACGTGGACTGGGTGAAGTTTTAGGTCTGGAAGGCCCTGGACGTGTATCTTTAGGAGCTGAAAGAAAGAAACTGGGTTAAACATGATTGAAGTTTTCCAAGGTATCAGTGTCAACTACCACCCATAACAGTCAATAAAAACAAAACAAAGATTTCAACCAAAGGTGTTCTTATGAAAGTGGTGCAAAAGAGAGATTTTTTGAACAAAATCAGATTACAGAAAAAAGAAATAATCTTATGTGACAAAACATCAACTGAGCTTGTGATAGAATTCAGTTTAAGAGGACTTAAAAAATAAAAGAAGAAGAAAACAAAACAAGTAGCCTCAAATGCAAAGACATCACTGCTGTGTAATGGAGATTGTCCTGGAGTGATTCACAGTACCAGATTCAAGTGATAAAAATGCCTTAGTCAAATGGATCTGCCTCAAGCAACCATATGTCCCAAGATCACTGAAGCTGAGGTTCGAGTGAAACAGAATTATTTTTTTAAGTCCTCTATGACAGACTGAATTTCATTTCATACACTAGAGGGGAAAGGGAAGCAGAGAAAGCAAGCTTGCACCTTGCAGCTCTGCCTGCCCAAACCATATGACCAATGGAAACCATGCCTCATCTACAGTATGACTGAGGACATATAAGTTAGGGTCCTGTTCTTCTGCCTCTTATCATTAAATATTGAAGAAAATTGCCCTATGTTCTGTGCATAACTACTTGAAAGGAACAAGGGATTTCCTCAATTATTGTGCAGAAAATAAAAAAAGTGAGAGAGAACCTTGACTGCTAAATTATTAAGGAACATGCAAGGAAAGGTGACAAGTTTTTGTAGGTCTACTCTTAATGATTTGTGCTGAAGAAGAAAGAAAATATGACTACTCAGTCAAGAAAGTGTCATTACCTATTGTTGACTTCGGTTTCTCAGTTCTAAACTTAATTGGTTCCAGAACTGTATTAGCAAAATAAAACAACAAAAACAAGTATTACCAGGAACAATCAAACTGTTACAATCACTGCCTCCAAAATAACCATACCATCCCCGCTACAGCTGATGACAGATGGTCACTTCTCCCTCAAATTCAACACTTCAGAGCATTATGCTGCTCAGAATTGCCTCCAGTTCAAGGCAATAGCTCTACTACAGAACAGATTCCAAGTATAAATCTGAAGCTTTTGAAGAAGCCACAAAGAGATTGTGGGTGTTTTTTCACCTTCATCTTTGTACACTTTCCTAATTTATTTCAAGAGGGTTATTTTTTCCTAACAATAGCTGCAGACTTACTGGGGGAAAAGGAACCCAAGTTGTAATTTCTCTGCCCATTTTTTTCAGCAATACCATCTAATACTGCATATACTTCAGATACCCATAGTGGGTCTGGGTGGGATAGAGTCTATTTTCTTCACAGCAGCCCCTGTGGCACCCTGTTTTAGATTTGTGACCAAGAAAGTGTTCATAACGTACCAGTGTTTTAGCTATTGCTGATTATGGCTTGTTACAGCATCAAGGAGTTCTCTGTTTTTAACTCTGCCCCCAAGCAAGTAGGTTGGGGTGGGCAAGATGCCAGGAGGAAACACATCCAGGACTGCTGAACCAAACTGACCAAAGGGATGCTGCCCCTCCTATAATGTCATGCTTAGCAACAAAACTTTCCTAAGTTTCCTAAGGACCCACTGCTCCTATATTGGCACTGATCTCCTAGTGGGATGTGGTGGGTGGTTTCCACCAAGTTTTCACTTGGTTTCCGCTTCCCCCCTACCCCCAATTTTTTTATCCTTCGATTGTTAAACTGTCTTTATCTTGAGTTACAATTTTTTTTCTCACTTCTGCTCCTCTGATTCTCTCCCCCAAACCACTGTGAGGTGGAATGAGCGAGTGGCTAGTGTGTGCTTAGTTGCCAGCTAGAGTCAACCCTCTACAGTGCCTCATGCAACAGCTAGTACAAGCTGTATGACTTACTTTCTCCATCCTTAACTAAATAAAATGACACCCCTCCTTTTCACTTTCACCAAAATACAAGCAAATTCACACAGAAAAGACCTATTTTAACTGAGAATTGCACAGAAAATGCCCACTATTGCAGTGACTTTAAACGTAACAAAGAACTGTAGACAGAGATTTTAAACTTACTAGGTTTCTTATAAATTCCACAGTTTTATCACACAAGGAATATATGCCCAAGGGTTACATATAAATCTGAAGCTCCGCTGATCACAGTAGGTTTCATAAGACACACATATCAGTACAATAAGGTAAAGAAACAATGTACTTACCATCTTTTGTTTGTGACATCTCTGAGCTTGGTGATGTTCGGGCTTTGGAAGGAACATGCTGTGGTTCTTTGGGAACTGAAAAAAGAAATAATTTCAAGAACTGATACTGACAGAAGACATAATATTAAATAAGAATATAAGCCATTGGGACCCTCTGGAAACAAAAAAACTTGAGTAATGGAGAAATATGAAAGCTTGGTACATGAAAAAAGAGTGTTGATGGAGAACCTCTGTAACAGGATAACACAAAACAAGGCCACTATGGATGGACCAATACAAAAGGTGAAGCAGCACATGATAGGATCTGAGTACAGAGACAAGTAGTCAAAGGTAGATTGTGGTGCTTCTGTCCACTTTACAGAACACATCTGTGTGGGGAAAAAGCCCAGAAAAGATGATTATGAATTGTTAGTGTAAAATCATCAAAAAAGACCCTTACAGGATGAAATTTAATAGCAAAAAATTATGGCAGTGGAGTGCAATGAAGATACACTTGTGATGCTCAGCGTACACTGTGAGAAAAGCTGAATGTGATGGCTCCCAAGTGATTCACCCTCTGGGTAAAACTGTTACCTATTGTTGGTTTTAGTTGCTCAGTTCTAAATGTTATGGATTCCAGGACTGTATTGGAAACAAAACATAGAAGACATTTTGAAAATTAAAGACAATAACTCCGCTTCCAATTAGTATTACTTGACTAGTAACTGCTTTTGGAATGTTATACTACGTATACTGCCTCATACAGAAACAGTTACCTTTAAAGAAGTTTCTGAGAAAGCAGTGTAATCTGCAAGATAAGGCGAGCTTTGTTGCCCCATGGTCTTCAATGAGATATCAAAAAATCTTATCCAAAAAATGTTTTTCAAATACGGTTTTCTAGAGACATAAATCTCTTCCTTTTGAGGTGTATTTCAAATGCAGTTTATATATAGAGTTGGAACCACAGACTACTTGCTTGTTTACTGGATGCCATATTATTAAAGAGCACCATCGTGTATTGTGTTGCACAATCACATTATTCAGCTCTAAACTAGTGTGGATCTAAAATAAAACTGTGTGTTTAGGAGCCATAAGGATGTGAAATTGTTGGTATCCCTCTCTGTGTCAATTTTTCTTTATGGGTTACAATCAAACAAAGAAAATTCTTTTGATCTTTTAAGACAATCACAAGATAAGTGGATGATGGTGTAGAAAAGGTTCTACACATTACAGATTCTTGAAGAAACAGTAAGTTGTTGTGGTTTTTGTATTGTTTTGGTTTTTTAAACACAGAACAGTACAAGCTTGTAACGTTTGTATGACAAAACCATTAATCATATTTGAGAAGGCCAGACTACCATAATAATGAGAAATGGCCACAGAAGTAAAAGCTGAGTTCATAGAAGCTGCATTTTAAGTTATAATTTGGAAACAATGTTTTATAATCATCTGTCATGATTAAAAAATTATGAGAGGACAAGGATTTTGTTGCTTTTGTTTTCTACATGAGATAATCACATCTAATAGATAAAACCAGATTTAAAAAAATATTACCTCATGTCTACAATTTAAAGATCTTCATTGAATTCATTATCATTAAATTTTTCACATTTACCAAAAGATAACATATGTTAATATTTGATACCCTTGCAATTTTCTGCTGATGTTACAAACTGAATAGTAGGGGACAGAAAGTAATTTTTCCTTTCTACTACTGAATTCATCTGCACTCACATTTAATGACATAAAAATCCGGTATTTTGGAATACAGATTAAATGATCATTAATGCCAATACATATTTATAAACAAATACTAACTATGTACTGGGCCATTTACTCTCTCATGCAGAAAATAATAATGTCATGAAATTAAGTAATTGTTACTTTAAAAGAAAGCATAACATATTTATTCTAACAATGCAAAGTGGGTGTGGGAAATAATTGTACCACCCAAGTAGCCACAGTGCATACTGTAACTGCTTGGTATTTGCTTTGGTTAGCACAGTTAATCTGACTGTTGCAAAATTATTCTCATCCTCTTGCCCTGAAGTAACAGAGATTTATTCTTTTGCATGATGAAAAATACCTAGCAAATAAACTGCAAATAAATTGCTGAGTGCAGCAGAACAGAACCCCAGTATGTTTTAACTGGCTCAGGTAACTAAACAGCTGCTCAGAAATACATTTCAATCCAACATAAACTGAATTAGAAATAATCACAAAGCACTTTACCATCCTTGGCTTGTGGGATATGAGGTTTGGGTGAAGTTTTAGGTTTAGAAGGAACACGCTGAGTCTCCCTTGGAGCTGGAAGAGAAAATGTGGGTAATAAGTTGGTTAAATTGCACAGCAATTTAACAAATCTGATACCAGGTGAACGCACAAGCACAGAAACCTCACACCTGCAACTGAGAAGTCTCTTTGTAGGAAGTGGGAAAGTCAGGTAATACTCTCCATGTATTTACAACAATCTAAGCAGGAAAGCGTAATTTTAGTAATTTTTGAAGCTTAGTTGTTTGTTGGTTTTTTGTTTTGTTTTAATAAAAACTGGAACAAGCACAAACAAGCATAATTATGAGAAAGGTGGTTCAGAACTGCCAGAATAATTTTCTTAAAAACCAGGTGACATTCCAGCTGTGAAGAGAGCAATAAGTTGTGGATGCCAAGCAAGAGAATTCCCTTGAAGAAAAATGAAGTTAAATGAAACAATCCTAAGACACAAGGTGATTAACTTCAGTGATGCTTTCTGGGATGGAAAAAAGCAGACATGACAGCTGGCCAAGGAAACATCATTACCTATCGTTGGCCTTGGTGGTTCAATTCTAAGTGTAAAAGGATCCACGACTGCAACAGAAACAGTGTGACAAAGTAAGTGTGGAATATACTCCGAAAACCTAAAATTACTGCACCGGTAAGTATAAAAGCAGGTGCTAATACAACACCACAGTAATGTGGATCTTCAAACTAACTGTTATTTTTTAAAACCACGGAATATTAAAGTTCCTAATAATACAGGTTAAGTAAGAAATATATAATTGGGCAAACTTGACAGCAGCAGAAGCGAAAGCATGTGGATAGAAATCAGTAAATCTTACAACAAACAAGAGATGAGGTCACGGAGCTTAACCCAGAGAAGGACTCTTGATATACAAAAATGTCAGGAGTCTCCAAAGTAAAGCAATAAACAACAGGCACACACACATAAAGACAGAACCTTTCTTATAGCCCATACTCACTACATCTACTGATTTTAAAAATGGACTTCACAAGAAACAAAACTCTGATTGCAACTGGTGCTTTTGATACTACCTCTTAGAAGACATCTCCATGCTAGAAACATGGAGAAGTAATAAAGCACCAAGATTATACTTCCATTTGTTTGGGTTTGGACCACCTATGAATAAGCAGGAAGCCTACAGGGAATGGTGCTTTCATCTGCACATATTATTAGACCAGTGAAAAGAAGAACGACTAAAGATGACTCATAATCATTACCCTCTGCGGTCTTTGGACGTTCATATGTGTAGGGACTCCTAGTAGTGACTGACACTGGAATGGTTGCTGCTGGAATAAAGAGAATTTTCTTGAGAGAAATATAGGTGCATCTATATCTATTTTTCAGCTGCTGGCATGGCTCAGCTGCTCTTGCTTCCCAGTTAAAATTCCACCTCCTCCTAACTATTCAGAAACACTGAGTAAATTATAAATTTACCCAATGCTCGTAACTACCCTGTGTTGTTTTTGGGGCTTTTAAAAATTAAAAAGTTCATTTACACTAACAGGAACACAACAGCAGAGGAGCTCTCTATATCGTCATCTTCCTGTTTTACTGAGGTTTTTTTTCCCTCCTCTTTATGACTGTAGGCCACTAAAAAGAAACAGTGGCAGGGAAATCCTTTTTCTTTCATAAATATTTCTATTAATTTTCCTGATTGTCTTCCATAGTGATGCAAAGGTTAGATGTGGAAGACTTCAGATGAAAATAACTGTAAAGCCACAGAAGGCAAGGCTGAAGATCCCAATAGATTAACTAGTGCCACAGTACATTAGATAACCAAGTTAACAAGCTTCCTGTCTCTATCTGCAGTACTTAATTAGGTTTGAAAGGGATGAACTCCAAAGATTCTGAAAAATATAAAGATCTTTGAAGACAAAGTTGGTAGAATTGTTTAGTATTAGCATGGCTTTACAAATGGAGTCCATTTTCATTCCTAAATACATCTATGGTCATTAAGTAATCTCTGTGCTTATCCAAACCTTCAAACTTTGTTTACTCTGCTTTGACTCTTCTCAGCCCATCTTCTATTACCTATACCCAGCACATATTATAATTAGGAAAGAAAAAGTGATAGGTGAATATTTTACGATGTGCCTAAAACTATTTTGGACATACTGGTGATTTTATCATGACTTGTCATGATAAAATTCACAAGCATTTGAAGACTCAAAAGTACACTTATTTCAAGGAAATTACATTAAAATACAATAAAACCTGAGACCTAACAATTCCAGGACACTGTCAGTTTAATACAAAATTACTTAATTAATTTAAAATTCTCTATTTCACTTCATGAAGGTTTGTGGTGAGGGGATTATATCTGGGAGGACTGCGTTTAAATTTAAAAGAATGAATTATTTCAGAATTTTAATTTTTCCCTCATTTATTTGCTGACATTTTTGAATAGTTAATGGTTGATGTATTTGATACTATTACCACTACTCTAAGAAAGCAATATACTAAAATTTCTTCAGGACAAATAATTTAAGTAAAGTATTTGACCAGAGAGGTTGTGGAATCTCAATTCCTGGAGATACTGAAAAACTTTTCTGGAAGAAAAATGTTGCAGTGCAGTTGGGTGCATGGTAGAAAATTCATTATAATTTCCTGCTCTGAAAAATGGAGAAAATGGAGTGTTCATGCTAACAATAGTACAGGTGATAACAGTGGCTGGGCGTGATCACATTAGAAACAAAGCCTTTTTTTCATTCAGGTAATAAATTCAATTACCCAAATATAAAAAAAAAAAGAATGGAGCTGTGAACTTTCACTAGAATGTATAGTTTGTTGTTTGGAAGGATTGAAAATTGTTTCTGTGTTTGGGGGTTTTTAAATGAAGTCTTTTTCTCCACTGAAAATCACAAATTGCACAGAAGTCGTATCAACAATGAGAGTCAAAATTAACTTTCTGGATCTCTGTTTGACCCGAAGTGGGTCATTAGTAAATCCTATATCAAATATAAATTTGTCACATATTCTTCATTACTTTGATTCACTCTTAAGGAAAGGTGACAACCAGTGTCATGACACAAATTTCTAATTTAAGCTGAACTCTGAAGTGAGCTGGAACATCCTGCTCTTTGATCATTTTGCCACCCACCCAAAAGTCAGGTTCTCCCCATGCGTATTTATGCCTCAAATAATATTGTCTGAACAAGAATATAATCACTTGTCGCTTCAGAATACATGCCAATTTCACAAATACCTACTTACAGGAAAATTCTTACAAGTTTTATCATGATTAAAAAGTGTGCATTAGGATTCCACCTGACTGAAAGCACTAACAGGGAAAGGACAAGGAAGAGGCATGAGTACAAATGCAGAATCATGACACTTTTTTGGTAGTCATATAGAAACTTGCTCTATAGCTATTTAGTGTGGAAAGATCAGTATAAAATCTTGATCTTTTCAGCCCAAAGGTGTAAAACAATTTCATGCAACAGTTTCCAAATGAGTTGCTTTTTTTTCTCTTGCTGTTTCAAAAAACAACATGCCCGATTCAGATCTATATTCAGACACAGGCATCTGTAGCAGAGACAAAAGTAATTATTCTTGTAATACAATACTGGATTTCCTACACTAAAAATTATGTACCAGCTGTAATCAGCATGAAAAGCTAATTATGCACACTACTTTGAGACAGTTCCAAGTCATAAGTACCATTCAGTTAACAAGCTTCACAGGGAATAATTTGGTCTGAAGAGAGTAATTTCGTTTTATGAGAAAAAAATAATTTTCAGGGAATCTGGAAAGAATTTAATAAAATTGTCTGATCTCTTCCAGCATTAAGTAATACATTCTTACAATAAACAATTGTGCAATTTTAAGCTTTTTAACTTCATTATAAACCATGTAACACTAGAAATATTTTTGTAACTGTATTTACTTATTCTCCAGGTCCAGAAAATCCCAGGTGTATTTTATTCTCTGCCATACATCATAGACCAAATTCAATCCCAATGTGAAGGTGCTATTTGAGATCATAAAATATGCCTTCAGTGAATTCCAGAACAGAATTCCACTCTTATTTCCACAGTTTCAGTTAAGTCAACATATGCATTAATGATCACTGAATCAATACAAATCCTGCTATTCTATGTAAGATGCTACAACCATCAGCAAATTTGTATGTTCCAGACCCTATGTTGAACTAAGTTGGGAAAGTTGTGATTTTGAAATGAAAAGCAGGAAAATAACTTGTTTCAATGCCGGGCTGTGTGAGCTGGTGATTTGGGAGACAAAAGTTAAAAGTGTTCTTGCTTTGCTGTTTTTTTTTTTTTTAATCTTCTTGGATTCAATGATTAAGTGCCAAACTTCACAAAGAATAAATTTAAGCTAAAATGCAGTACTTAAGTGATAAACTATAACAAATGATGGCTATGGAAGTTAGTTACCAGGTTTAGTTCGTGGCTTTTTAGGTCTGCCAGATGGTCTAGGTTTAGATGCAGGTGTGAGTTTTGCTTCTTTAGGAGCTGAAAAAAATATACTGGATTATAAGTTTATCCTTCCCACTGTATCACATAAAAATGAGATGAGGCAACAAATGGCTACTGGGAAGAAGAGCAAATGGTAAAATCAGATAGACCAAGAAGGTTTCTCAAAAATCTTCCTAAGCCTTCACCACCCCAGCAAAATCCCTGCTTGTTCTTCACTGCAAAAGTAAGTAGTTAAATTTAAAACATGTAATTGTAGCTTGCAATCAGATTCTAATGTTCCTCTCATTTAGTTAGCAAATTCATTATTGCAAGATACCTAAGAGGTATAGTGCTGTTTATCCTTTTGAATTCCAGGTAAATTGAAAGCCCTCAGAAGACATAAATAAACAAAATATGCAAAAATGTCCTCAATTTTCAGCACTGTAAAAAAATTACTGGCAGGCATCTTGAACAACATGGAATCAATAATAAAAACTGGAATTTCTTCATAACTGTAGTCATTGAATTCTGTTAATAGAATAGAAGTAGCATGGTAAAAATTAAGAACAACCAGTCCTAGAGACCTTTTCCCCCCTGAAAATGCTTGGGCTGGAACTATAATTCGCTAATCTGACTGTTAGTCTGACCTTGGATGAACTTTAACGTCATTTTCGGGCAGTATAGGCAGTCATTTTGTCCATCTTCAAAACTCAGGGCTCTGAGACTGTTTCATAGCAATAGACACAGTGGAAAAGTGTTTGACATTTACAGTGAGACATGAAGTGACTGAGGGCTGGTTTTCAAGCCAAAATGACATTCAGAAGGATTTATAAAACAGCAGAATTAACATGTTCACCTAGTGCCACAGGAATCCTTCACTGAGTGTTCTAGGATTAGCACCCATGATATTACCCTTGCACTTGGCTTTTCTATTGTATTTTCAAGGGGTTCAGGATTATTTTCTGAGGGTAAAGAGTGTTGGTGTAGAAAAACTCCCAATAAAATGGAACACAATTTTGATTCCCAAAATTTTACTGTACCATAGAACTAGTGAAACTGTATGGGGAAAAAAAGGGTTTCTTTTTCTCCTGAGCTTAGAAAAACATTTCAGAATGTTTATCTCCTAATGTTTTCCTCTTTCAGAGAAATGGATTAAATACAGTACAAGCTATGAGATGAAGTAGTAGAGTAGATGCTGGCTTGGACTGCAAAGAAGGAGGACCAACAGCTACAGAAACATGTATTACCTAGTGTTGCTTTTGATTGTTCAACAGTCTGAGAAGTTTTAGGCTCCAAAAGTGGTGGTTTAGGAGCTAGAAAAGAAAAATTCGAGTGTAATGGAACCAATCAGTAGATGTATCAGCAGTAAGCCAAAAGGGTTATAATTCCAATAGTTCAGGGAAGTCGTTCTTTAAATAGTCTAGACAAGCCTTACTCTTATGCATAACACCATACATGCCTTTTAGTTTTGTTTCCTATGACGTTGCACACTCTATGCTTGTGGCTATGTGTGAGTCTGTTTCTAAGGTTCCTTCCCCATATTTATGTTCTCAGGACATTTTAATCTGTTATTTGATTCAATTAGCAAATAAATTTACATTACAGGAGAACAGTGAGAAAAGATGGATGAGGTATTTGACTGAAGAAAAGAATGTGGTCCATGACAAATACCAGAGAATCCACGTAAAAGAAGAAACTTCTAAATGCCAAATTCTTTCTGAAGTGTTAAATGAGTACCTGCAGTAAACTGTAAGACAGGTGTAAGACAACAAAGACAGCTCCTGCTTTTTACTGACTTGTCTGTTTATAAGACAGAACAGAAACATTTTAGGCCTCTAGTAATCCACACTGTAACATTTATTGGTCCAGTACCTGAATCACTAAAGGAGGCAAAATAATTTCCCTTAATCCCAAATAAGAAGAAAATTAGTAGATATCTGCTTTTTTGAACAAAAAGCATAAAAGGAAAAAGGACATGACACCATGACAATTATCCCATGGTCAAAGAATGAATTTCATGTATGTATGAAAGTTCTTCTTCTATTTTGAGAAAGATCTCCTGTTTCCACTAAAATGGCAATGCTTTCCATTGGGTTCTCTACAGAAGGATTACTGATCATATGAGCAGTACTTTACTTTCAAACTATTTGGACTAGCAAAGGTGTTGTCTTTGCCATAGTATGTCTGTGGGAGATGGGGATTAACAAGGGAGATTATAGAAATAATAATAACACATATTGCTCATACAAGGGATATTAAAACACCCTCGTGCCACCCAGAAGAATTTTTTTCATTCCAGTCCTCCAGAAAGGTTGCAGCACTAGAGAATTTGTTTATGTTTTTATCACTGGACCCAAATGCATAAAACTGATGAGTTTAACTCTCATTCCTTATGTTAGGTAACATCAAATGACCAATTTTAGAATGATGAGCTAATCAGGATGCTTATGTATTGCATAGCTCCTATCCTTTTTAGGAAGTTTTGCTTAGATATTTTTAGTGAATGTATCTCTCTGCATACCAACTTATAAAAACGGTGCACACAATTACCAGGTTTCACATGCTGTACTTCTGGGGTAGCAGATGGTTTCAGTTTAGAAGGAATAAGTGGTATTTCTTTTGGAGCTGAAAGAAAGAGCTCAGTTTGCAATCAAAAATTGTTTAAAGAGCATTTCCCATAACAAACAGCACATGTCATAAGTTTATATTGAAGAAAAGACAACTTAGTATGGAATGTCAAAGCCAGTTGATGAAACAGGATTTTAAAGTGTGGAATGGAGATGATACTGAAATGCTGTGCATTGATCAGAAATAAGATTATGTGACTCCAAAACAATTAAAATTTCCATTTTGAAAGCTTTACAATCAGACACAATCAGCACATGCGTGTGCAATGGAAGGAAAAGAGATAGAACACTCATGAGAGGATGATGGTGTTTTTGTCATGCAAGAGGCAAGTTTTACTTCTCTGAAACAGTAAAACCATCCAGAACTATGTTCTCATACACAGATATGTCAAGAATAATCAGTCTAATGAAAATGGAAGGACAAGACTCTCTAACCAGGAAAAAGAATGTTTATGCATGTGAGAGGATATGCTAGAAGAAGTGCATTCAAATGGGACGAAGTGCTCAAAACAAACACAGAGTTTTTCACTGGGTGAAAACAACATTACCTAATGTTACCCTTGGCCATTGAAAAGGACGAGAAGTTTTAGGTGTGAAAGATTCCAGAATGGATTCACTTGTTGCTGCTGGAAGAAATTATGACAGTCATAAGAGACCAAAGAGCTAATGGAAGAAACTCTTCTTTCATAAGCAAAAACAAATTTGTTTTTACAAGAGCAACAAATATTTAACTAATGCTTGGACAGTTAAGCATCCATTAGGGACAAATTCAGAGCTGCACAGAGTTTCAGTCACCATAAATTGGCACATTTTTGAAGTGCAGAAATTCTGGATGTTTATTTCCTCCTGCCTTCATTGCAACTGCTCTGGATCTCAGCCACTGCTGAGTAAGATTTTAAGTAGAGCTTTTGAACATTTTGAGGTTTGGTCCAATACTTAAGGGAGGTGATATTGTGTAAAATGCAGGAATTTACTGAAGAAGACATGTTAAACAATCAATTAGTCAGACATACAACATTTGGAGAAGAAAGCCAACAGCTGATCCAACCATGTTTTCAATCCAAAAGCACCAAGTGTCTATAACTGTTAACCAATTTCATCCTGTTAAGGATACACTATCCTTAATCTTTTAAACAAGGCTACAACAACAAAATGCAGCCTACAACTCACCTCACAGTGTTTTCATCAGAACTATATGCAAATGCTGTTTCTCAATTATCTACGTGGCATATTTTTCAAAATACTGAAAGAGACTCATGTGACTGTGAGTTGTCATATGCATTGTAATTGTGAGAAGGCACTAATTTAAAACATTAGCAGGAACATAAATTCAAAGTTTGGGTGTTAGGGACTGATCCAAATGTGCACCAAAAGTGGTATCAGTGTACTCATTTCAGTGAGTTTTAGAGCATGGTTTGAGCTGTTGAATTAAGAGCTAGGTGGAGATTGTACCTGGTCCAGGACCTGCTATTTCAGGCTTACTAGGTGTCACAGGGCTTGAAAGAACAGGCTGAATACCACCGAAAGCTATAAAAAAACAGGTCACAATAATCTCTGATTATTAATTCTACACATAGCTTTTTTTGTTACAGAAGAACAGCAAAAAATGTTATAGGCTATACCTAATTTGCAATGCAAAGGTCCACCCACCATAAACATGCATCACCTCAGCAATGGAGCAGTGCTGGTTCAGAGTGTGAGCTGAAGCTCGTTGTTAAAATGAGAGCTAAAACTAAAGTGTCAGTCAACTAAAGCTCATATTGCTTTAGATACTACGGCCCACGTATTTTAAAGCAGCCCAGAAAACATGAAGATAAAAGAACTTCTAACACCATAGTTATAAAGATAAAAAACTCCAAAAAAGGTAGAAAAAAAAATATAAACTACAAAAACTGAAAAGTGCTACAAACATATTTCTGTGGGAAAAAAAGGACTGCCTTAATCCTTTTCAGTGCTTTATTTTCTGGCAGTACTTTGTTAATGAATTTTAACGTCATATAATCTATGTACACATATGCACATGAAAAACAAGGGTAAGGTAAAGTTAAAAAAAGTCCCTGAACAGTAAAAAATAGTAAGAAAGAAGCTTCCCATGCTGGCAAAACAATATATAGTATATAAATGTGTGTTCTATCTAAGTGAATAACAATTAAGCTTGTGAGAAAAAAACAAGTAATTTAAAGATTCTTATTAAAATTTAGTCATTAGTAGTAGTAGTAATAGCAGTAGTATTAAGTCAAGATTACTTTGTGTAAGTATATCCCAAAATAGCCCTAGTAGCTTTTTGAGCAACAAATGTGAGATCACAAATACTATCAACTGAGTTCCTCGGCAGTAAAGGAGGAGCTGTCATGTGAAAAGGGGAACTTTGTCTGTCTACACTAACGATCATGACTCAAGCAGAAGACAATATGGAAAATGACCAAAATATCTAGGATTAATAACATTTCAGAAGCTAATGCATTACTGTTACCCGTAGTTGTTGTTAACACTTGAGGTGTTCTGGAAAGTGAAGGCATAGATTTTTCCAGGTCAGCTGAACTTGTAGCTGCAGAAAAATGTAAATAGTCCTGAGACAGATTCCCATGATGCAGACTTAGGAAGGCAGGGTGCAGAAATCAGAAAAAGTAAGATTGTTTTACGTTGCTTTGCAAGATGCCAACACTACTACAATATTTTCACAAGATTTCCAACTTGGAAAGAGAGGAACAAAACCTCAAAGTTTTGAAGATGTCACATGCATCTAAAAGACACACCCTGACAGAAACTGCAGTGCCCCCAAAAGCAGACATCAACAGGAGTCAATTGCATATGTAACAGAAAAAACCTGTGCTTTTGAATTCACCTGCACAAAGAGATCTGCATACTTTAAATAAAATCAAATACGAATTTCTGCAACCAGGTATTTCTATTGCCAAAGCTTTGCTTGTTTCTATATACCAGATGTCAGTATTTTGAGTTACAGATTTTAATATGTCATGCAATTTGTCATTTTATTGTGGTATTTTATCTAATTGACATAATATAAATTAACACAATTTTTTCTGACAGAGCCATACAGTGAAGCAGCAAATCCAAAACAATACTGCTGAAACACTGACTTCCAGGTTTAGGAGAATTCTCCTTCTCATCTCTTGCTATGAATACAAATTCAATCTTGAATACCCATGACCCCAGTAAGAAAAGTTCAAAGGTGAAATAACAATATAACTTGAAAAAAATGTTTAGAACCAGAGAAAACTGAAGAATAATCTGTACTATGCAGCTAACTGAAAATCCCTTGTAGTAAAATGCTGCAGGCAAGAATATATCTTTATAACTGATAATTGGTCCTTATATTCAACAGATTAAACCAACAGAAAACAATATTAATTGCTGTGGTTTACTTTTTATTTGATCCTATGCCACAGAATATCACTATGTAATTATAGAGCCTAACTATCAGACATTGTAGACAAAATTCCACTTCAGACAACACCAAGCAATCAGAGGGAACAGCCTCTAACTGTAACATCCTTGATGCAAAACCAAATAGCAAGTGATGGAAGTATCATAAATATGATTTACCAGTATCTTTTTTTGATATTTCTGCAGATGCAGATGTTTGGGACAGGAAAGTAATATGATTAGAGTCCAGTGAAGCTGGAAAGAAAAAATCACAACTAAACCAGAACATTCTTTTTGGCACCATCTGAAACATATAGACTGAACAGGTTTCAACATGTTACTAAGAAACTGGAGACTTGACACAGGAAAAAAATTTCAAAAGCACATGCAATGGATTTTCTAATGTAAATGTGTGAAGATGCACTGGTGATGCAAAAGATGAAGAAGCAGTTACAAGAAATATGAAGAACATATCAGTTTACAAGAAATGGAAAAGTGCCATATCCAGTGATTGAAGTAACGTATGGCTCTTTCATCCTACACTTCCACTTGACCCCAGTGTAGGCCCCAAGAGAAATAAGTTTGACTAAAAGCACAGTAAGATCCCTTGGGACAATTCCCATCTTGCATCATTAGCAGACCTACAAAAAATATCATTACCACCAAAGGCTGCTGGTGTCTTGAACCTTGAAGAAACGTGCCATGATTCACCAAAAGCTGAAAAGAGGCACTGAGCATAAACCTCTAACATGACCTCAAAAGCAGCAGCAGAGCAGAGCATTCCCATGCCCAGGTGATGGCAGTGTAAAGCCACAGGTAGAAGACAACGAGCCACTTTGAAACTCAGTGATGAAGCAGCAAACAGCTGCACCCTTGGACCAGGACTCCCTGGAGGGTGGCTGAACTGCTGTGCTGTCCTCTTGTGCCAGCCCCAAGGGGATTTGTCTCTGAAAAATGCTGTCAGATTGGAACAGAGAAGGCAAGACCAGCTCCCAAAACACAAAGAAGCAGGGGGATGGAGCTGAAGGCAAGGTGCATTCACGTGGTCTCTCTGCAAGACGTCACATGCTTCCTGCAGAAAATACTTGTCAGCAATGGAAAAAGCGTGGGATCAAACAACAGAATTGCAGAACCAGTGTGGCGAGTGCTTCAGCAAGCCAAGCTACACCAACAAGTCTTCTTGTTGTCCATGGAAGATGAGAAGGATGGCAGGTGGTGTGGGGTGAGAGGCGTGATGGGGAGCAAGGGAGATGGAAGACAATGAAAGAAGAGGGGTTTGCTAGTTACCCATCACAGTTTGCTTGGTTGCCAGGGAGGAAGGAGTGGTGGACTTCAGCCTTGGTCTTCGAGTAGCTAAGATCAAACACAAAAACCACCTTCAGTCCTCGGACAGGCTGCTGTTGCAGGGTCATATCAAGACAGAGCTACAGAAAAGGAGACATGGCCCTGCTTGGGCCAGGCTCCCATATCACAGCATCACTCTCTGCAGCAGCACGATGCTGTCTTTCAGTTGGCACAGGCAGCCCAAGGTGTCAGAATAAACCTAGAAGTGGAACCCCAAAAAAGGCCGCAGAAAGCTCACAAATGGAACAATTTGTAATATGGAGCCATGAAGGACCAAGCACAGCATTGACCCCACTTCTCAGGACATCAGCACATCTGAACAGGCTCATTGCTGCAAAGAAAAGCATTGCCAAAGGAAGGAAGGGAATAACTGGTTATTTACCCATCCTGGTGGCTACTGGTGAAGCAGACGAGGTCGGTTCCAGGTCTGGTCTCTTGGGTGCTACGGTCAGACATGGAAATGATCTTGAGAGATCCACTCAGCCTTGCCACAGCAGTACAAGCAGCATCAGTTCACAGGCCTCAGACATCTGTCTTTAGGGCCATACATGATTTTTCCTTGCATTACCTTGTGATTCGGTGATCAAACATGGAGTCATCTGTCTTGTGGTTGTGATATCACAAAACTTCTTGAACCTCAGTAACTAAATGGCCCTCCACCAGCATAAAATGCCTAAGTGCCTAATTCGCCAAATCACTTTTACATTTCCTTGAAACAACCATAATTGCAGAGAGAACAACGGAGCCACGACTCATCTTAGAATTAGAAATTCAACATGACATGTTCTGGACATGTCTCCAATGCAAGAAACTGCAAATACTAAATAATAATTAATAACTATTCTAGTACAAAGGGATAAACATCACATTATACTATCAATATTCAGTCATAACTCCATTCCTTCTGAAAAGTTCAATAATTTTTGAAAATGTGTATTTTCTGTTTTCACTACTATTACTCTTTTGACATACAACAGACTACAGAAGACCCCGCCATTCCCATGAAAGGTCTCTCCATTTCCCGTGATATATGATAATTCCCATTTTTCTTTACAGTTAGTACCTGAGCCAACAATTAACATGCCTATTCTTCAAACTTGAACTTGAGTGCTCATCGAAAAAAGAAAAAGTAATTTATGTAATCTAAGGAATCCATAAGGCACTTACACCACATCAGTAAGAGAAAGTAAAATTATGTTTCTGCCATATTGGAACATTTAGTTCTATAAAGAATTTTCAAGATAAAATCTTCACCTAGAGACACACAGGAATTTTATGACAAATTCTTTTTGTCACCAATCCCTTCAAAACTGATTTCTCAAGTCATGGAAAAAACCATAGGTTCAAAAATCATAATTATCATTAGTATGGCAAATGTTTTAAAGTGTTAACAAACCTAGGTATTGCTCAAAACAGATGAAAGTGATGTGATGATGGCACAGGAAAAGCAAACAAATGAAAATAAAATATTTACCCTCCACTGTTCCTTGGCTTGCAAAGTAAGGAGAAGTTGGTTTCAGCTTTGGTCTCTGAGTAACTAAGATTAAATCAGAAAACTGCCTTCAGAAAACAGAGACAAACATTTTTTTTCAAAGCAGTGCCAGTACAGAGTTTTAGGTGAGTCAAGTCTATATTCAGGGGTTTTTTTGGCATAACTATTTGCATTCATTACAGGATTATTTTAAATGTGGGTGGCTTAGTTGAGTTAGTCTGTAGAACACAGACAGTTCATCTTCTAGTGAACTAAGCCGAATTATGAAGAGTGATTGAAAAGATTAAAAATTAAGTACCTCCATATATATTATATAAATGACTGAGCATCTTGCTGACATATTTGGCATTGCCACTACCAGGAAAAATAATTGAAATGTTTTGACTGAATTCTAAAATACAGTTTTTCATGTTTAAGTATTGCTAAGTGAGAGCAATTACGATGGAATCACTGTTTACCCTTCACTGTCCTTGTGGTTTTCAGGAAAGGAAAAGATGTGGGCTCCAGGACTGGTCTTGGGAGAGCTAAGATTAGAGATGGAAACTATATTGAGATGTTATGGCAATCTCTCTATGCATATGAAAGCATTGCTTTAATCACATCCAAACAAATAATTATTAAAACTGTGGTTTTTCAGGTATACTCCTTCTACCAAATAAATCATACATCTGTTTTTTTGTCACCCTGTATTACCAAAAACAGACCCAACCACTAGCTAAACACTATTCCTATTGCACACTAATGGCAGTCATAATGCTCCAGAGCTGCCTTTTAACAGCAGTAATTGACAGACTCCAAAATCCATTTTCAGGCAGCAAACAAATATATTCAAACTATAAATTGAGAAGTAGTCAATGAACATGTAGCCAGAACTTGCATGGAAGATACTGTCAAGTTTTGGCAATGACCATCTTATATTTGACCTGAAAACGAATTAACTAGCCCTGTTCATTCATCACACTTAAAAATCTGAACTTTGAGTCCAAAAAAATATATGCCTGGAAAAAAAAAAAAAGGGGGGGGAACAGTAGCTTCTCTGCTGAAAAATGTATACAGGTGAACTTAATAAGAATTTCCTTCAAGAGTTAAGCCAACTGGTAGAAGAAAAAAAAAACTTATGCTTTCTTAACAAAAATCTGTAAGAATCTCTAATAGAAGAGCAGCTCCTCAATTTACAGGAGTTTACAAGTTTTCATCCTGAAGTGGTATGAAGTACTTCAAACAGAGAGAATTTCATATCTACACTGTAAGACAAGTATGAGCTAAAAGAAAAGTCACATTTATTTCCAGTTATTAGTGAATAGATATGTAAATAACAACAGTGATCATAATAAAAATCATAATAAAGATAATAATAAAATATCATAATAAAGATCATAATAAAAATCCCTTTTCTTGTATAAGAATATATTATTGAAAAATACAGAGTTTCTCATAAAAGAATACAGCAAATTCTTAACTGAAGCAGGTGATAGGTCAAACAGGTTACCTCAGAAAGCAGAATCAAAATTTTGAAATTGCCATCACACTTGCAAGACCTTACAGTAAAAGGACAAGAGTGGAAATTTGATGGAACAAAAAAAGAGAAAATTACAAACATGGAATTCTTGTTCTTATTAGACTCCTACAGCCTTAGCAAATTAAATCCTTCAAAAATGAATCCAAGGTTTGTAGGGTAGATTGGCAGGGGATGGATTGAAAGAGTTTCAGAAATTTCTCCCTTTCAAAGATGCATTTTAATACACTCTTCTCTGTGGCTCTGTGCTATTTACCATCCTCTCCCTCTTCGTTTTGTTTGCTGAAAAATGGGAATAACAAATATGTGTTCTGAATTACCTAGCCAAAGCTTGCACCTTTGCTAGCACTGATTTGAAGAAGTGTTTAACACAGTAGTTAAGATGGCAAACATAAAAAAGCAGTACTCAGCTGTCAGTGTTCAGGGGAATACTACAGAACCTTTACAAACATCTGTAGAGGTCTGCAGTAGAAAACAAGACTCAGACCTACAGAAGAAAATGAGAGTTCCTGTGTTCAGCACTAAATTTCTCCTACAGAGGAAAAAAATATTAAAGAAACTGGTTTGATTCTTTAGGAAACACGCAGAAAGCTGACAAACCTTTTATCTACCCAAATAAAAAAATGTATTTCTTTTTTCTCCTAGACATATCTGGACAATCAAGTCTCAAGGTATGTAAAAAATCCATAAACTTGGGTTTACAATTCTCGCTGTGCTATCTTTGATCTCCGTAATAAGATTCTTTTCACTACAGCATAGCTAGAAAGTCCTCCTCCACTAGAAATATACTTGAATATTCTACAAAACTTCAGAATTTACAACTTGAACAACTTTTAAGCTGTTTTAAAACCAAAACTGAACAGGAACAGTCAATAGAAGATAAATTTACAAAGAGAACTTCCTACACCATTGTAACTGATCAGGAAGATGTCACCAATAACCACAGAAATTCACTTCTTGTAATAACAAAAAGATAACATTAAAAATGGTATAACTTCAAACAATACAGTAGCTATCTGTATCAGGATACTCTGCACATAGTGGAGAAGTTGAAGTTTGATTATGAGCCTCACAGTGTTTCACTGTAAAATTCTATTACATCAAGTAATACATAGTTGGTCAATGGCAATTATGGGTAATACTACGAATTAGTACTGCAAAAGTGAACTAAGAATTTGGAAAAAAGTCATAATCCAGCATTTTAAACATCATATATATTGCCTTAAATTAAAGTACCTGATGCAAAATTTTTATCTTGCAATTGTTCTTATCCCCAAGGTAAAGGAAAGCAAACCAACATTTCACCAGAAGCACACTGGGGACTCTTGATAATTCAAGAACACTCAGTTCGCAAGAAATGTCAGTACCAGACTGGGCTGATGGTATTTCCGTGACTCCAGATGCTTTAGACCTGAATTGTGAAACTATCTGTGTTTTATTAAGAGCTGAAGAGAAAATCTGGATTTAAAATGTTGAGGAATCTGACTGCTGCTGGGATAGCAAACACACAAGTTGTGGTGTTCAAGATGACGTAATTGCAAACACAAACAAAATACTGGATGCTTAAAAGTCCTTTCTGTATTATGTGAATAAAAAGAAAGATATGTGGCCCCATATGGTCACAAGAGGATTCAATAGCTGATGGTAGACAGAACTTCTAAGGATCTTCTCCTTTTACACTTTCTGGAGTATAAATTACACCAGCAGAAAAATGAAATTCTTACAAGCTGGTGCAAAAGATCAGTCCTTTTACACTATGTACCAAAAACGGTTTCTAGCTGCTGATCAAGAAGTGATTGATACAAAACTTCTTTAACTGGCTTGCCATTTAGAGTTAGAAGCAAATGTGTTCACAGCAGAAAAAAGGAAGCAAGTGGCAATGTGATGAAAACTAAAACAGCTCAATCAGACATGAAAATTACCCTTAAACAGGCAGACTCTGCAAGAGTGGTAACATTGTGGTTTTAAAAGGAAAAAGTAAGTCTAGATTGAAAGTATTGTTCATTACCTGAATAACCACATTGGATTTTTGGGCTGTGTGGCTCCATAGAGCACAATAAACATGAAGTCATTAATCAGTCCTCAAGAAACAAAGTTGAGTCCAAAATGTCTTGAAGAACTTTGGCAAGTAAACATTTACTAAAAACAACTAATTAGCAAGTGACCAACTAAGCAATAGGTTTTTAAAAGAAAACATGAGGATAAGTAGGAGACTACTCCAGGGAATATAACATGTAAGCAAGTATTTCACTGCAGTAATCTCATAGTGTGGCTGGACTTCACTTTTTTAAATTGAAAGAACCTTCTATTCATCCTCTTCTCTTTCCCTTCCTCCCCTCCCCAACACAAACATGCAAAACTAAAGACCAGAATTCCTTACGTTATTCAAAGGAAGTGTTTAAGTACAAACAGCTGTACATGCTAGTGTTCCCCATCTCAAGGCTAGAATATGTTAATTAAGCATTATTTTCATATTTAGTCACATTTTTAACTGTTCTTCAAATCTGGGACTTAAACATGGAAATGTTTATGTTGAATTCCAGACTAGATTAGGCGTGATTTTTTCCCTTCTCTGAAACACTGTAATTGTTGAGAAATTGATCCCCCTAGTTTGAATAGAGTGCAGTATAACTTTCTTTATAGACAAAGGAAAGAGAATAAAGAATTGATCTTGAATTTGCTATTATATCAATATATGGAAAACCATTACTGAAACTTGCTGTTAAGGCACTTGATTATAAGTTATTGCTCAGTATGGAAGACACATTAATGATAAATACTGATTAATATTCCTGAAGAATAAATGTATAAAACCTAACACATCTCAATTTCTTGTTTTTAAGAATGTTTATTAACCTGAAATTACAGGCAGCTGGACAGCTACTAAAAATTTGCTGTCAAATACCCATTTAGTCCACTTTTTGCTGCAAGGGAGTTTTGGCAACAACTTGAAATAGGCTTTGGATGAAATTGTCATTATTGAAAGGAAATGAAATATTTCTTCTTGCAGGGACAGTAAACCAAACAGAACTTTGAGCATTGATAAAACTGCATTTGTTCAGTGTCATTTTGTAAGGCATCGGTAAGTTAGCTTATTTTATGAATCGAGGCAGTAGAAGAACCCTAAAGAACAAATGTTGGGAAGGAAGAAAAGGAAAACTATATACTTCGGATTATTATATATTTCTAGGTGTAAGTAATTTAAATGTCAGTAAAAAACCATCATCTAACAGTTTAATTTTACTGCAGTCTGGTACAACAGGTGTTTGAAAGCATCACATCTACCACAGAAGCATCATGTCAAGATTAATTTGTTGCAAATATTTTCTTTAATTACAGTGTTGTGCCATTTATTTCAAAAGCTGTATTTAAGCAATGTAGCAACACATCTCATTAGCATGCTTTTGTTTTTGTTAGTCTTGGGCCTACGCTGTCTCCCAGTACCTGCAGCAAAATGTCCAACTTAAATAACAGCTTTAAATATATTCAAGTGAAGTATTTAAGGGTCTATTCTCCACTATTTTGAACCCTATCTGTTCATTGCTATTGATTTTATTTCTATGGGACTTACTCAACACTTGCAACCACTAAAATCATTTCATTAGGAGGTTTAGACAATATTTTCATTAGCTTTCACTCTTACCCATCTATGGTATTGCAACTTAAAAAGCAAACACTACTGTATGTAATAAGACATGCCTATTACTTCAAGCACAGCAATACAGGTTTGTAAATATATCAGGAATGCAGACCAAAATTAGAGGAGAGTATTTACTGTTTTAAAGCATCACACAAAGTTTCCTAAATTTCCTAAGTCTGGTATTTGAGAGAACAAATTAATTATATTTGTTCTGAAGATATTTTCAATCACGCTTGACTGAATTACCAATATACCAAATGTTTGAAGAAATCTCTGTGGGAAGTTCTATTTAAAATCACATTTTTCAAGTATTACCAGGTACAGCCGATGGCATTTCTGGAATGCCTGATGTTTCAGATGTTGAAGAAATGTGCTGATTTTCATCCAAAGCTGAAAGAAAATCTGGAGTTAAAATGAGAACTGACTTCAGAGCTGCAGTATTTGGACAGTAGCTGGTGAGCAGTTCAAGATGACACTGATGTGAGATCAAGCAATTTGGAAGCAGCTGCAAAGATCAGCTGTGAAATGAGGTGTTACGTTAACACTGAAGCTGGTGTGAAATGAAGTAGGGCTAATTCCAAGTAGCTCATGCTAGGTATTCTTCTCACTGGCCTTTGTTTTAAAGTACCTATTCTTTGAAAGAAAATTGCAGCTACCAGAAGAAAATTAAAGGCAACATAAGCTATCAGAGGTTTTTTTGTAGACTGTTATTCAATTGGTGTGGTAAATTATTTTTCACCTTTGATTAAGCAGAAATGGCCGGGTTGAGCAGGGGTGGGAGTGGGGGTGGAGGGAAAGCCTAGCATCAAATAGTCTTCAAAGCAACATGTCTGAATGAATCTTAGCATTGTCCACAGCCAATGGAAGTGATGGCAAGGGCTAAAAAAGCTAATGGAATGATATGCTGTTTACCAATCATGCTTCCTCTGGTTTCCGTGGAGGGATGAGAAGTGAATTTCAGGCTTGGTCCCTGGGTAGCTAAGGTCAAATATGAAAACAATCTTGAAACAATAAGTGAAATCAGTCTTTAGATAAGGTGATTTTTGGCCCTTAGTATGTCTGATAGATCTAAATTTATTTTAGATTTCTTGAATACACACTTCTAATTGATATTTGTGGTAGCCTACGCCATTCTTTGTCTTATGGTTTGTTTTGGTTTTTTTTTTGATACATAACATCTAATTCTGACACATTTACTACAAGACCAGCTCTCTGCTTCTGATTTTAAAATTCTATCCAATAGCAACAGCTGACAGCAAGCCCCTTCTCCTTTACACTTTAGTTTGGGTGTTTCAGATAAGTCTTCTAAAGAAAGAGCTGCAAAAGCCCAATGTTATTTTGATACAGCATGCAGACCATTTTCACACAGGTGGTAACAAAACTCTTTCCTGAACACGGTCTACGAATTCGTATTTTGCCCAGAGATCACATTTTCCCTCCAACTGCCACAAAGATACTACTACAGAAACAGCATTATTGAAACAGATCATCCTTTGGCAGAAAATGGCTTAAAAATTATCTTTATGTTTTTGTGACTACATTTTAATGAAAAAACACACACAAAAAATCAGATTCTATTAGATCCCTAAGACCACCTTTTCCAATACAAACAGATACTATGCAGCCAGCACTAAAGAAACAAGCTCTATCTCTATAGTGTTATATGAAAAACTGAAGAGTGGGTGTTCTTGATGCTAAAAACACTCATGGGTGATTGAAGTTGAAGGTCAAGTAATAAGAAATCTAAGTAGCCCAATTCTTTACATCAAGAGAGAAATTCTGTAGTAGTTTGGCAAGAATAATACCACAGAGAACAGTAAAGTCATGCCTGACTAACTGCTAAAACTTTTCTATCTAATGAAGATAGTTTGGTTTGACTGAAATGACCTTGGATAAATGGAGTTCTCAACTTCAAAAGGAAACAAAAATATGGCATTCATGCAGAGGCAGGATAACTGTCAGCACCACCCATGGAGTATTAGCACAGCTGCATCGTGTTTGTGTTCACTGTGAATTCTGCAATAGATAAAAGCTAAGGTTTGCTACGTTCATCTGTAAAGAGAAACTAAAAGAACATGGACCAAATCTTAACTAATAAGACTAGAGAAAACATGAATAGTGTATGTGTATTGTAATAAACTGATCTCCAGATGACAAAATATGTTCATGCTCGTTTACCCAATTTCACTTGGTTGGTCCCTGGAAAGAGAATGATGTTTGATACACTGATATTATAAAATATCACTTGCTTAAATCATGCTAGCATGAGCAGAAACACAGATGAGAACCTCATAGCAACTGTCTACTATTTTTATTACTGTACTCTAAGAAAAATCTCATACCCTAATACAAATGTATATATTGTGCCTAAAACCCCATATTCTTCATAAATACATGGGCAGAAATGATAAATTATTAGCAGAAGTATCTGTAAAAATAACTTTTAACACCAAAATGCTGTACTGCAGCAGTCTTTTGAATATTAGAGACTACTTAAAAAAGTTATAATAGGAAACCAATGTTCAAACAACAAATCTCTTTAAAAAGTGCATACTAGCTAAAGAAAAACCATTCCCTCCTCAAAGGATAACTGTTATGCTGACAACCCAAAATTCATCAAAGCCTGACAGTTTCCTTTCAAGTGCTAAATTCTGCCCCACAGTCCCCATCACAACCCTTCAGTAACATGATACTGTCCTGAAATAGCCAGATGGAATCAGGATCACTTACTTGAGGCCAAAACTGCTGGACACTCACAGTTATTACAAATAACATGAAGCCTTAACGACCAAATGAAACACCACTGGAGGCAACATTAAAAATGGGACAAACAACAAACACCAGAATAGTAGCACTTGTACACCAAGAAAAATCAAGGATAGGAAATAAAATAAATGCAATTTACCAGTCTCTCGATCTGACATTTTTGCAGATGCAGAAGTTTGGGGAGTGGAAGTAACATGAAGAAAGTCATGGGAGGCTGGAAGAAAAATTGTGGCTATTATTTAAAAAATATATGAACCATCACACCATGGTATCACCTGCAACAGTGAACTTGATGGTTTAGAGTATGAATAATAAAATAAGGAACAGAAATAATAAATAAAGAACTGAAAAAACCATAAAAACGTATTCTGCAAAATGAGCAGAATTTTTAAAAGAAAGGTTAATATGCAAAGAAGTATAAAAACACATAAACATGATGCAAAAATTTCAATGGGATGACAAGTTAAATGGGAAAAAATTCCCATAAGGTTAGTAGGAATGCAAAAAAAAAAACCACAACCTGAAAAAGTGCAAAAAAATGGGCAAAGAGAAGAGGAAGCAAATTTATGAAATGAAGAAACAGAAAAAAATCCAATCAAAAAAATTAGCAAAAATAAAAGAACATAAAAAGTGACCAAGACATCACTAGGCATGGAAAGAGAAAGGAATATTCTCAGTCCAGCCAAATTTGTATGCTTTGTCAGAATTACAAGTATCTAATTTCTCCACTGTAAAAACAAGAAAGCTAAGAAAATTACTTTAAGTAAAGGAAGGTAATGAATGTAACTTCCCTGGAAAAGACCATGAAGTGCATGACATATCTCAGCTAAGCAAGACTGCTACAGACAAAAGTACCAAGGTACTTCATATTGTTCATTCCACTTTTAACTTGGACTCAGCTTCAGATTTTAGGTTTACCAGTCTGCTCATATAATGCTTTGTTACCTCATGGGGCACAAACTAATGCCAGGACACAGGACTCGTCTTGCACACATGCCAGTGTGAAGGAAACTGTCGCCAAAAGCATCTCCACCTATTGTTGCCAAGTGCTGTATCAAATGACTGAAGCAAATATGGTTTTTCATACATGTCCTTTACAACTCTACACTTCCACTTGACCCCAGTGTAGGCCCCAAGAGAAGTAAGTTTGACTAAAAGCACAGTAAGATCCCTTGGGACAATTCCCATCTTGTATCATTAGCAGACCTACAAGAAATATCATTACCATCAAAGGCTGCTGGTGTCTTGAACCTTGAAGAAACGTGCCATGATTCACCAAAAGCTGAAAAGAGGCACTGAGCATAAACCTCTAACATGACCTCAAAAGCAGCAGCAGAGCAGAGCATTCCCATGCCCAGGTGATGGCAGTGTAAAGCCACAGGTAGAAGACAACGAGCCACTTTGAAACTCAGTGATGAAGCAGCAAACAGCTGCACCCTTGGACCAGGACTCCCTGGAGGGTGGCTGAACTGTTGTGCTGTCCTCTTGTGCCAGCCCCAAGGGGATTTGTCTCTGAAAAACGCTGTCAGATTTGAACAGAGAAGGTAAGACCAGCTCCCAAAACACAAAGAAGCAGGGGGATGGAGCTGAAGGCAAGGTGCATTCACGTGGTCTCTCTGCAAGACGTCACATGCTTCCTGCAGAAAATACTTGTCAGCAATGGAAAAAGCGTGGGATCAAACAACAGAATTGCAGAACCAGTGTGGCGAGTGCTTCAGCAAGCCAAGCTGCACCAACAAGTCTTCTTGTTGTCCATGGAAGATGAGAAGGATGGCAGGTGGTGTGGGGTAAGAGGCGTGATGGGGAGCAAGGGAGATGGAAGACAATGAAAGAAGAGGGGGTTTGCTAGTTACCCATCACAGTTTGCTTGGTTGCCAGGGAGGAAGGAGTGGTGGACTTCAGCCTTGGTCTTCGAGTAGCTAAGATCAAACACAAAAACCACCTTCAGTCCTCGGACACGCTGCTGTTGCAGGGTCATATCAAGACAGAGCTACAGAAAAGGAGACATGGCCCTGCTTGGGCCAGGCTCCCATGTCACAGCATCACTCTCTGCAGCAGCACGATGCTGTCTTTCAGTTGGCACAGGTAGCCCAAGGTGTCAGAATAAACCTAGAAGTGGAACCCCAAAAAAGGCCGCAGAAAGCTCACAAATGGAACAATTTCTAATACGGAGCCATGAAGGACCAAGCACAGCATTGACCCCACTTCTCAGGACATCAGCACATCTGAACAGGCTCATCTCTGCAAAGAAAAGCATTGCCAAAGGGAAGGAAGGGAATAGCTGGCTATTTACCCATCCTGGTGGCTACTGGTGAAGCAGACGAGGTCGGTTCCAGGTCTGGTCTCTTGGGTGCTACGGTCAGACATGGAAATGATCTTGAGAGATCCACTCAGCCTTGCCACAGCAGTACAAGCAGCATCAGTTCACAGTCCCCAGATATCTGCATTTAGGGCCACACATGCTTTTTCCTGGCATTACCTTGTGACTTAGTGATTAAACATGGAGTCAACTGTCTTGTTGTGGTTGCAATATCACAAAATCCTTGAACCTCAGTAACTAAATGGCCCTCCACCAGCATAAAAATGCCTAAGTGCCTAATTTGCCAAACCACTCCTTACATTTCCTTGAAAGATGTAATTGCATGCATTTAATTGCTAATAGTAACTGCATCAGTAACATGGGAACTAAGAATCACATCTTTGTAGTTAGAATTCAAGATCTGATCTAACTTTTCCCAATAAGCAACAAAATCCTTCATTCCAATATTTTTTTTCAAATTTCTCGAACGTTGCAGCAGATACAACTGATTTCTCACTTCTGTTACACTTCCATACAGAACAAGACAGAATTTCTAAGACCTCCATTTGGCAAAGCAAATGTGTCTTTTGAGAGACTGCCTATATGTCAGGAGAACTACAATGAAGAGAGATGTCATTACCAGATGAGATTGGTGGCATTTCTGGTATGCCAAATGTTGTGAATCTTGAAGGAAGAGTCTTCCTTTCACCTAAATTTGAAAAGATAACCTTGTGTTAAAAGGCTTAAAATTGCCTCAGAGCTACTTGGACAGCACAGGACTCAGCAGACAAATGTTGCTTTGTTAAAATGGAAGCACAGAGAATATTGCGTGCAAATCAGCTCACATTACTCTGTCTCATGGACTGGTGGGCTGGTGTAGAAGTTGATGTGGAAACCAGGTCACCTAATTATTCATACTAATGAGAATTCTTATTACTGCTTAATAATCTTAGCACATTATGAATGGCAGGTAGTAAGAAAACACCTTTTAATCCAGAAAACAGTCAGTGGGCCCGCCAATATAAACCTGAACTGTACTGGTGTGCCAAGAACCAGTAGATTATTCAGCAGAGAATTTAGCAGACTATGGCTGCATTGGTTGAAGAAGACTTGGGCAACAAACTGCTTTCCTTCCCCCTTCACCTCTTTCTACTCCTTCCCCATTGCCCTCACCTCTTAACTTGTTCATGCTCAAGCAGTGCTTAAAAAACTTAGGCATCCTCACATACCAAAGACTACAGGAAAAACAACTATCTCCAAAGCTATAACTCAAAGTATAGCTCTGTTAGAAAATTCTGGCCTGAGTTGTCTCGACTTTCTTATTTTAAGACAATACATAGGAAAACTCACAGTAAAATGTTTATGGACATTGAAAAACTGACAGAAAGAAAGAGAGAGAAAGAGGGAAAGAGGAAAAGAAAGAAAGAGAGAAACAAAGAGAGAAAGAGAGAAAGAGAGAAAGAAAGAAAGAGAGAAAGAAAGAAAGAGAGAAAGAGAGAAAGAAAGAAAGAGAGAAAGAAAGAGAGAAAGAAAGAGAGAAAGAAAGAGGGAAACAGAGAAAGAGAGAAAGAGAGAAAGAAAGAAAGAGAGAAAGAAAGAAAGAAAGAAAGAAAGAAAGAAAGAAAGAAAGAAAGAAAGAAAGAAAGAAAGAAAGAGAAAGAAAGAGAGAAAGAAAGAAAGAAAGAGAGAAAGAAAGAGAGAAAGAAAGAAAGAAAGAAAGAAAGAAAGAAAGAAAGAAAGAAAGAAAGAAAGAAAGAAAGAAAGAAAGAAAGAAAGAAAGAAAGAAAAAGAAATCTTGTCCCTAAAAATTATCATATTTCATTTAACTTTAACAGTCTAAAGTCTTGCAAAATTTAAATCTTTTCTTAACACACCTATTTGATCAACACTGCATTATTCTTTAAGCTAGTTACAGTCTTTCTATAAACCTGTGTTTGTCTGGTCTCAGGAATGAGGATGCTGATACGGAATTTGAAAAAATAAAACATAGGGCGACACCCAAGGCAAGCAGTATGCAATAGCTGTCTGAAATCGTCAACATGGAAACAGTAATAAACTTTTCAGCACCAACCAATCAAATGGGTATGCTTCTGAAATAATATTAATATAATATACCAGTGCCTGGTATTTCTGAAGATGTAAAAGTTTGGGAAGTAGAAATAACATGAAGAAAGTCATGTGAACCTCGAAAATAAAAGCAAAAATCCTCCTGTATTGTTTTGAAGTGACAAGAAACATCCTGAAACAGGATGGTATTCTTTTATAAGTTGACAAAACCTCTGGGTAATATTTAAAGCATTATGTTCCACAGAAAGGTAGAGTCTGAAATGTACAATAACCAATTGTGACTTGAAAATTATTTCCAAGAATATGCATTATTGAACAGATACGTAACGCAATTAATGACCAAATTGTTCTCTGAATCACACAAAAAAGTTGAACTATAGAGTTAAAAAGGAGAAATACAAGACTACTCAAAATAGGAGAACAAATTATAAACAAAATGTAGCAAACTGGGACTGCATGAAATTTTTGTTTAGAGCTCCTAGGATCAGAAAAGAAGATATAGTGGTGCTGAAAGTTAAGAAGGAAAGAGGATGACAAAACAAGAACTGTACCAAATGAAACATGTAAACTGTCTTTTGTCAGACGTGTAACAGTGGAGAGTTGCAATCAGTTTGCCCCTCAGTAATGGATTTCCTTCAATGTTAATTTATTCAAAAAACATATGCATCAGGCATTACATTACTGGCATGCTAATGAAATGAAATCTTTCCAGCTAGCTCTCATCTTATTTTTGTCCTTCTTTTGGATAACTGTCAGTTGCCCCAAGTAAATAACATCTATAACCTAAGAAAAACAAATAATAGAAATTTTCTCAGTACCAAGACAGTGTCTGAATCTTCAATGATATGTTTTTATAGTGCTATTTTTGAAATCTGGGCTCTTAGAATTATGTCTGTGTTTACACAGAAAGGCTAAAAAAGAGCTACAGTTTCAAAATATGTTGGAACTTCTGCAGTTTCCATTCATCTCCTGCAACTCTGAATACTTCAACAAATCAGGATATTCCACTTATGAATCTCAGGTGCAGACATGCCTATTTAAACTTGGTATTTACTGTAAGTCCAATGTAATTTTGAAACTGAGAATTACATGCTGTTGCCAAATATGGAAAAACCTCTGAACTACTAGTTTAGTATTTCAAATAAAATTTCATTAAAGAATCTGCTATTTTGATGCAGTACTTTCATACCTACAGTTATTCTTCATTTATGTCAAACTGAACAAACTATTGAATGAGAGGCACTATGTCTCCTCTAAAAATTCCTAAGTGTCAGGAGGATTAACCTCATGAGAAACCATTACTGGATCTGGTTGATTGCACTTCTATGGTACCAGATGGTTTGGATGCTGAAGAAACAGGCTGTTTTTCCTCAAAAGCTGAAAAAAGAATCTGAGCTTAAAATGCTGAGACTTGATGGACTAGTTCTGAATAGCTTAGTGAAGGCTGTGCAATTCCAGATGATGCTAAAGCAAAGCTAAGCAAGGTGGCTGACGGCCTAAAACGAGACGTGAGACAACTGCCATGACAACAGGAGATGACTTCTGGCAATACAGTTTTCTGGCCATGAAATGCAAGTTCCACATGCCTGAGAGAACTCTTACCAGCAAGGAATTCTACCATATTAAATTTTCTTAGGTAAGAGCTGCAGCTCTACAGAAAGAAATAAGGTATTGACAAGATATGACAACACTTTCTTTAAGCAGTTTTGTAGCCAATAACAAATAAGTTTTTCAGCTGGTTACGCAGACACAGGAATAGTGAATAAGCAGCTCACTGTGAGTGTTGGTAGACAAGATTCTAAAGCAGATCTTAAGATTACCATTTGCAGATCTATGTGACACTAAGATAACGGGGGCAAAAAAAATCATAAAACTAATCTGCTCATTACCCATTTCCATCTCTCTGGCTTCTGCAGAAGGTGGAGTTATGGGTTTCAAGGCTGGACTCTGAGTAGCTAAGAGCAAACATGAAAAGAATTTTTATCATTCCAAGACAGACACTCCCCTTGCAGATGATACAAAATGTAATTTCACCCACTGTAACTAGCAAGGTTTTGTTTGGTTTGAAGGTCTCTTTATTCTATTTTTACCCCATTCATATTTTAGCATATATTATCTAATCAAGCTAAATCCCTATTACTTAAGTGGTTCTTATTCACAGCAAGGCAGCTACAACCCAAACACAATACCTTTAATATTCACAGCACTTGCAGGTCTGTACAAAGTGGTCACTATTACATTACGTACAACTTTTTTTAAAGGCCTTGTAATGAGAAAAGATAAGGAAAGAGTAGCACAATGAAGTTAGTGAAACAATTGTGAAACGTTAGTAAACAGCACCTTTTATCTGTTATTTGTAGTGAAGACTATTACAAAGAAGTTCTGTTTATTTAATTTTGAAGTATGGATAACCTGAAGTGTGCTTTAATCAAAATAGGGAATCAGAATGGAGTTGGGCATTCTTATCTAAAAGCCATTGTGAAGAGGTTTCCACCATGTGCAGGTTTTGCTCTACTGTCCTGCTTCTAAGAAACAGATCCTATTCAGTGTGTACTGGCCAGTAAGTATTACTCTTTCCAGTAAACTCATCTGCACCAGTCACTTATGCCCATTTAGGTTATAATGTATTTGAAAGAGAAAATTTCCAGCTTTATTTTTAAGTGGTTATCAAGTTGAGTTTTTTTGAAAAGAAGTCATACCTTAATTTAAAATTTAAACTTCTCTGAATTCTTGAGTTTGAAAAAACATTGAAATAAGTAGGTGTGTGGTCATTTCCAATGTAGGCCATAGGAATATATGCCAAGAAGTGAACAGAATTTTATTTAATATGTTGGATCTACTTTCCCATTTACATTAGCAATTGTAATTCCAGGTTACTATCCTGATATAGCTGGACTCAGCAGTTGGACCAGATGATCATTGTAGTTTTGCAACTGGAACCACTCTGTTCTACATTTCTGGTTAAGAAAATAATACCAAAAGCCATATGATTCACAGCTTTTGGCCAAAAGTTTCCATTGATCCATGTACATCTAGTAAGAACTATGAGAAATTTCTCAAAGGTATCAGAGTATTGAAGGCATGTTAACAAAGCTATCTTTTCAGAAACATTTGAACTCAAAATATGCTGACCACATGAAAAGTTTATAAAACAAAGGAGATGTCTCCCTCTAGCACAATCAAGATAGAAAAAATAAAGAAAAAAAAGTCTCCAGAGGAACTAGGGCAGAATATAGGTCACAGGCACTTGAACTTCATAAATTAAATTTTGCTTTCTTTGCTGATTTTATAACAGTAGGTGATCAAGGCTTACAGAGGCACAGTGCAGAGAAACCTCCTGTATAACCACCCCCTCACTCTCACAGAATATCTTTGAGTTCAGCACTCACTTCAGAGATACTCCAGCTGACCCAGTGACTGGGACCAGCCTCACAAAATGAACTCCCACTTTTGTTAAGTGAAACTAATGGAAGACATCAGAACAAAAACAGAATAAATACTTGAATGAAACATGTACTTTGCCTCTGTTGTTATTATTCTACCTTTACCACTGAGACAAACACAGGATTGGGTTATTATTCCCCAGTATAAAGCAAAGGTACTTCACATCCCATTTCAGGATCACCTTTTCAGGTTTTCAGCTATGTTTATAGCAAAGAGGTTATTAAATCATCGTGTTTCTCTCTTTCCAGTGCTGCCTCTAACTGGATTTAACCGAATGTCTTTCACTCCAGTAAAAATAAATGTCTATCCCCATCCCCTCAAACATATCTGGAAAAGAGCTGTCAAAAAAATCTGTCAAATTAAGAACAAATTGTGAAGATTGTATTCATGGTCTTGAGACTCTGTTTCAAATATGCATTTCAAGAACTAAGAGATGTTTCTGGAAAATACTTTTAAATTTGCCAGACCACAGTATGCAAAAGTATGTTATCTAAATAAGCCAGCGCTATTCTACAGTAACTTCTTGACTAATGCTTAGTGAAATATAAATTAATCTGATTAATTTGATTAAAGGACACTACAGGTAACTGGTGTAATAGCTGTTAATACAGAAAGCAACAACAAGCAACTGTTTGGGTAGATTTGGCTACACAAACCTGTTATGAAAACAGAGGTCTTGAGAAAGGAAGACACGGGTTATGATATAGAAGAGTAGAGGTTAAATAATAAGAGATGGGGACTAGGCTTGGCACTGGAGATCTCATGCCATAAACAGCTCAGCAATGGTCAGTTGTAAAAACTGCACACTTGGAGTTGGACAAAATTAACTTTAGGGGTAACAACAAGAACACAGAAATAGTATCTAACATACACAAATGGCTCCCTATATATGGTGAATTCAGATCTAAGATGTCTCTCAGCAGAAGAAAGAAAGAAAAAGAGACAGACCATTAAAATTTCCATTACACTAAAAATAAATTATTAGCGTTATACACATATATGTGATATTCATATATTTAAATATATATGTCTATACAAACATACCTGTAAAAGTGTGCATATATATAATATATAATATTAAAAAAAGAAAGGAATGGTGTGCTTCCTCTTTGCCCATAAGATTTTGACCACAATATTTTGACCCTAACACAGGTAAAACTATTTCGAAAATGTGAGTAGCACCATACTTTCTTAAATATCAGGCCTTCCAAAGCATCCTAAAGTTCATTACCAAACAACTAATGAATCTAATTTATGAATACTTAAACCAAAACAACAACATCTAAAATTATGGCAGTATTTTAATCAGGCATACAAGTATTTGCAAAATACATGGAAACCCACAGAACTGGTGTTGGCTGGAACAGCACTCCAACTGTTTAATACAGTCACTCTCAGAAGCTTATTGGGCTCTTTCAAGAAAATAACAAAACTAAGTGTAAGTTAGACAGTTTTACATAAGTTTTATCCTGTAGATAAAAGTTAGCCCATATATCCTCATGAGCTTCTCATTGTTTGTCTTAAATAAAACATTAATCTGTCACAGCAATAAAGCAAAACCAGGCTTAGAATGAAAGAAGGAATTTGTAAGTTTTGTGAAGATAATTTTTCACTAATGTTTAGTCATATCTACAAGGAAAGTAATTACCATGTTCTGTCAATGGAGTTTTTGGAGCATCAGAGATTCTGGATCCAGAAGGAAGTAGCTGTATTTCATTAGAAGCTATGATGAAAGAAATAACCAACATTTTATTTGATTAAGAATACTACAAGACCCAGCATGGATCTATACTTGGCTTATAAACCACCCACTCCTGAAAACAATGATATTCAATAAAAAAAGAAGTTGTTCCAACCTAGGAAAAAAACATATGAATTTGTCACTTAAAAAGGTATGTGGAATATGAAAGATACCACTTTTCCCCTAACTGTAATACAAAGATCCATCAATCACAGGCATTTGATAATGAACATGTATCAGTGATTATGACCACCTAGTTTGAAATTAATCAGTGATCCATCTTGATTAAGTTTCATATTTTGATCTTTTAAAGCATGGCAAAACCAAGGAAAGTTGAGTATGGTTAAGAAAAGCTGCTTAAAAGCTTAAATAAAAATTAGATTGAGGGTTTATTTTCAGTAAGTTCTGAAAACCTCCTTGCAACTGTAAATGGAAAAAGACAAAATTGAGAGTAGGACACTAACATGAATCAGCAGGATTACATAAAAATATATTTATTGAAAAGCATTAGCAGTCCTCTTCATGGGAAGATCTGTATTTCAGTCCTGCAAGTGTTCCTGATCCTTCTCTTTATAATACATCTTCCTGTATGTAGGTCACCTGTACTTTAGAAAAATCTAACCAAAGTTTAAAAAAAAAAATAAATAAATGCACTTCCAAGTTTAGATTTGTCTTCATAATTTTGCATGGGTTGGATTTTAAAGTACAAACAATAAAATCAACATTAAGGAATTTAGAATTCTGAATGCCAGAAATAAATAGATACTGCTCTAAATCACAAAACTAACAGTATAACATTGAGACAAAAAAATGAAAAAATCAGTAGAGTTTTTCCTTCCTTGAAGGCAAATACAATTATATCACATCACATGTAATATAAAACAGTCCTTATACATGTTGATGTTACCTAAAGAAACCTGTCACCAGAAGAAAATCAAAGAGGTAGTTATTTCAATTCTATCACTGAGGATAAATTTTACAGATGGAAGTTTTATGTTATGTTAACCGTGCATATCACATGGACAGAAAGCATTAATTTGAAAAATAGAATTGAATCACCCAGTAAAATCTGTGAAAGACACAGTTCAGCCAGAGCTAGACGTATCCTGCTTTATATTTTATTCCGGTGTGAATCACTGGAAACACAAAAGGAACCAGAATTTTTTAATTAGTACTTCCTTTGAAGCCCATCAATAGAGGATGCAGCAAGTAGTAGAAAAATTCTGCTGGAGGTAGAAAAAAAGCATCTAGTGAACAAAGAAGGTAAAAAGCAGCAAAATTAGTTACCCGGTATGTTTTGAGTTTGCACCAATTTGGGTTTAGGCGTTGATTTATATTCCTCAGGTCCATGTGTTTTCTCAGCCTGAGCTAGAAGAAAGAAGCTTCATTTAATTTAGAATCCCTCTACACTTTTCTTTATCTACTGCCCAAAACCCACTGCTTTCCTTACACCATTTTATGTCACCTGATTAAAGTAATTTCTACAGTTGCTCGATTCCATCATTATTAATATTTACTTTTGTTTTTAGTTGTGTCTGTATGATATTTTGAATTTATTTTGTTATAGTTTTATATAAACAAAGGAAAATGTGAATCACAAAGAGCGAAGTTAAGATCAGAAGCTCACACTGTACTTCTGTTACAGCCTCCCAAATTCATTATGATATACATTATAAATGAGATCCATCACATCACAAAGTACACTTACAAAAATTTCCCATTATTCTGATATTTTTTAATCCTCCTAATATAAAAATTATTAGGAAAAGAATAAATATTCACCTATAATACCCCATCTCTCTCATTTTTCTAGTAGTAATATAGTGAGTTTTGATTTCCATTCATTCTTCTAATTCTACAGCTTCAGAGTAAAGCATGGGCAGTTTATTAAACAGCCTAATGGACCTAAACTGAACCACTGGTCATGTTTTAATATATTAGTGCATAACTGTACTCTTCCAGAATTTCACATAATTAATTCCAATGGTAAGTAAGTCAAGATCACTTCTTTCCTTTCATCTTGCTGGGCATCCCATTGGCATTTAGTCAGTGATACAGTACACACAGCTGGTCATCTCAGATCACAAAATGACAAAGCTCGTGGATACAGAACACAGAATGGCAAGATCTCACCCCTGAATGTGACAAGAGCATTATTTCCTTCCACAGAGCAAATTGCACACTCTTTAGTACACGTTGGTTCTTAGAAGAGATCTTTAATATCGGTATCAGCATCAATAAAGCATTGGTTTTAGTATTCATTCAGTTTAATAAAAGATCACTTTCTTTTGAGGTACAGTAGAAGACAGTTGCTTTTGTTTATCCAGCATGGTCTCCATGCTTTTTCCATAATCTACTGAACATGCCTCCATGAAGGTTTATAAGTTTCTTATTTCATTTCCTTAAAAAACATGCTGTTTTCCACATTCTAAATACAGTTACAACAATTATACTATTTTCTAGTTTGGAGTACAGTAGTTTTCAGTGCCACAAAATCTGAAATCTTTACAGATGCTGCCTTATTAGGACCTCATTCCACTTCTAAAAGTCAGTTACAGTGCTATTACTGTCATCAGTGAAAGGAGGATTTCATTCTACAGAGAAGTTGAAGCAATTTATCTCTATGAAACCTGCGGGAGAAAATTCACCCATAAGAGACACTGAAGCAACAACTAACAAACCCATACCTCAGAAGTACTTCAGAAGTTAACATTTCTCATTGCTGAGGTGTAATCATGAAAAAAGCCCAAACAGTTCCACACCAAAAGAAAATACAGAACTTATGATGCTTTGGCTTTATTTTTGGAGGTCAGATGGTTTACGCTCATATGAACCATGTCTTGTCATCTAAATTATCTGAACAAGCTAAACAAGATAAAGCACGCCTAGAACTGGGACAGAAAAACCAAAGCTCTCCTCAGTTTTGCACAGAACACTGTAGGCATGACAAGAAACAAGAGCAGATATTTTTTGTGGAAAAAGATACAGGAAGTAGAGAGTTTAGGCTCTGAAAGCTAAGTTAGAGAAAAGAAAAATGCCTCTGACTTTTCCAGGGCACCAGGTAAACGAGGGTTAATGTACTGGTTCAAGAGTATCTACAAAGTAAAGTGTTAACACAATCAAGCAAGATAAGTTACCTTTCTATGACAACATAGAATACAGCAAGAATGCACTACAACAACGTTTCTTAAACTATATTTACTCTGACATCACTCCTTTTTTTTTTTTTTTTTAAACTAGTTCTTCCATATCCCTGACAAAAGTGCTTATAATTCTAAGTGTTGGTAGGCTCCAGTTTGCCCATGAACTTAATAAAAAGACTCACACTGCATTAAATGGGAAGAAAAAATGTAGCAGTTGTTTGAGACACATTAGACATTTCAAAGTTGAAGAAAAAAAAAAAGCACTATGAATTTGTGCTGCTGCATTAAGAATAAATTAATCCTGAGTGGAAAATATCATAGCAAGCCTGGCAAAAACAAGGAATGAAAGAGCTTACTAACAGTCTTTCCATGAAGTGCATGCCAAGGGAGGGGAGGCTTGAAATTAAGAAAATGACGGAATGCCTAGTTGACAAATACATTAAAAAAAATTACTAAAACTGTGTCACATCACAAAACACACCCTTTGCTAAAGACACAGGGCAATGCAAGAACAGCCTTCAGACAGCCTGATTGCTGAGATACTTCAAGCTCCCTTTCTTCCTTCTAGCATGGCTGATGACACAACAGCTGCTACAGCACTGAGTTCCTTTTAAATCAGTCTTCTGTTGCCACTTCTGGCATCAGTCCTTAAACCTTCCATAGCAAATAATTACTATGGCTTACTCAAAGAATCCAGTATGATTTTCAAATAATGATATGTGAATGTAATATAATTAGGTAGATCCTATTGCTAAACTCAATTAATTATGCTTATATATTACACTATCTCTCAAATGCAACTCTTGCAACAGTCTGGGGCTCAGATCTCTTGCTTAAGTTACTCATGAAAGTCTGGCTCAAATGGTTAAGTATTCAAGTTATTTTTGCATATGCCATAGCAAGACAGAATTATACTCAAAGAACATTTTTCTTTTAAAGGATTCATTTTCATTTCCCTGTTTCCTGACTTTTTTTTTTCCTCTTTAACTGAAATACTGTAACCATAATGAATACGTTCTTTAACGTTAGTAGTGTGACACACTCTTATTTTAACATGAGGCACTGGTACTGAGAACAACAAATAATAACTGGAAAGGAATGGTCATGGGAAAAAAAGACATGGAAACAAACCCACAAAGGAAGCATGAAATGGAAGATGAAAATTATTCTAAAGATTTTAGTAAATAACTATTGGTGTGACAGCAGTAAGAACGTGTTTAATTGTAATAAATAGTTACTAAATTCTTACAGAAAAAAAGACAGTACTTGCCAATTATTACCATGTATAATACAACACATCATCCAACTTCATAAACATACAATTCTAAATCTTGAGATGATAATGTTTATGGTTAGAATTAGTACATGCCAGTAGATAATATAGAACACAAAGGAAAGGAAATAGAATGAACTAATTCTCTCCTTCCCAGGTGCCACATTTCACACCGTTTAGCTGATTACCCACTACATTCTATGATAAGGAATTATATATTTTGATTAGATGAATGCAAGCTTGAGGGCTAGGATTCTGATGGAGAGCTAATTATATAAATTTATGCATTCAGTTCTCACTTTCACAAAATGGCAAAATTCTGGAAAATATACTTGAGGATTGACTGTTCTACAGTTACTTACACAAGGTAAATAATTTACTAAAATAAGGGCAAAATTTAATTCCATAAGAGACCTCAAAATGTAAACCAAACCAAACCAACCAACCTAGCAAACAAAGATTCCTTGAGGGTTTTAAAACGTTTTTAAAATTTTTCAGTCTTGCTACTGTTCAAGTGTTCTTTCTCCCTTTCAGCAAAGAAGTTGGTAGAAGCTGACTCTTTTCTGACAGCAGAATCAAGACTTCAGACTCAGTTATAGGACAAGAGCCAGACTACAGCAAATGAAGATAGGTCTATGCCTTCTTAAACAATTCTGAAATTTGGGTCCATCAAGTGGGTGTAAAGTTAATCTTCATTATTTGACTCTGACTAATTCTTTCCAATCTTTTTTTCCACTCAGACCGGAAATGTTAAAATATAATACTTTACTTGTCATATAAATTCATGAACTCGACTGTCTGTGTTACACTAGCTTGTTTCCTAAACAAATACAGGCAGTAAATCTTGCAATATTTATAATTTCACTTTATGTTTTTGAACAGTTAAAAGAATCTGCATCTGACTATGCCCTTTTAAATAAGTGACATTTTTTCAGCCATGAGTAGACAACAAATTTCAGTCTTACAAATATAAAAAATAATATATATTTCACAGATACATAATCTCGGACATGAGTCTAGGATCAAATGTTATATTCTTTTCCCTCATGTGTGAACAGGTCCCATTGACACCAATAGGACCAATAAGTCGAGAGAGAGTGTGTGGTTAAGATTAATGTGTTCAAAACTGAACTTAAATGGAACATCATGCTGTCCTCCTCTGCACCTTTGAAAAAAAGCTTGTTACTGTGACTGTTACATCTTAACCTCATACATCCATTTTGCACAATCACGTTCTTATCCCTGGTTTTCTTCTTCACATATTTCATTGAAGTCAGAATGTCAAGGTGCATCACAAGAAAACTCTTTTTGCCATTTTTCACAATTTCAGTGTGAAGCATCCCACAATTTTAATTCTAAGGGGTTTTGTAAACCTGATGATTGTATCATCTGAAACTTTCCTCCAAATTTAGATTCAGATTTTTGTCCAATTCAATAGCTCATTGTTACCAGTTCAGCTACACTATCCTCCTATTTTCCAACTACTGACTTTAACTGCAGATTAAGAAACACAAAGATGGATTTAATTTTAGTTTATGTATTTGCCAAAGATATTACACAGAGTTTCTAAAAGTAGAATTTTCATTACCTGGAAGGGACTGTGGGGAGATCTCTTGAAGTTCTGGTGTTTTGGATTCCGCAGGCCAAACTCCAGTTTCATTCTTAGCTAAAAGGACAAAAACATTAGAGAGTAAATGCAAACATGTATCTGCTATCTTCTACCACAGATTTATTTCTGTCCCACTTCAGTCTGACAAGGTAAGCTAACATAAATGTGGAAAGCTGAATATCTTTAGGAACCAATGAATGTCCACTGCACAACCAGTACAAGCATCTATCTAGTTATGGTAAGCACATGCATTTCTGGTTTTGCTTTGTTCATTAAAAAATACTCTAAAAATAAAATTCACAGAAAGGATTTAATGCCTTATGCACCTCTACTTTCAGAGTGCAAAATGGTTTCCAGTGTTTTTCATTTGTCTAGCATTTGGGCATTAACAGCAAAAATGTTTTTCAAAATTAAAAGATGCAATGTAGTTTTAAGTGCTATACAAGAACAGTCTAATACATTTTCAAATGAAATGGAATTGTCATACTATATAACCTTATTTTCCTTGATATTACCTCTAACAATTACAGTGGTATGACAATAGCCTTCTATTCCAACAGATATAAAGATATTTCAGTAGTGGATACAGGGAAAATTATTTAATCAAATTAATTAATTTTGATTTTATTTAAAAAAATATTTTTTCCTGGACTACTAATATTAAAACAAACAACAAAACAACCCAAACCCTCCAAACTGTAAGGTTTTTGACTAACTTAAAAGAAAGAAAAAACATTAGAGAATTCATTTTTTAAAAATTTTTTGATGCGTTATTTTGATTTTTCTAATTAATACAGAATTAAAATAGTTTCAGTAAGTCAGCAAATCAGAATTAGCCATGACTTCACACATAGCATAAGCTTTACAGCTTTTTATTGCAGACATACACCATTCTCGGGCACCACTGAAAGATACCCGTATAGATTAAGACAACACGACTTTTTGGCAGTTACTTTATATCTTTATATTATTTCTCAGAGTATTTTTTCCTTGGCTTTTTACAACGACTCTTCCCTGGTTTGCAGTCCTTTGAAATTCAGGAGTCCCTTGTGTGAACACCCATGTACTTCATGTTCTTTGGTAAGCAGAACATAACAAAGCATCGCTTGTCCGCCCTGGTTACTTTCGCAAAGGTGTTTGTGCAACCTGCTATGAAGAGTGGCTCCAAACTGGCATCAAACCAGCTAGAAATTTCAAACAGAGGGCATTCAAATTTAGAAGTCCAATTCTACACTCAGCCAGATGAGCAAGTCAGACGTCTCTAGGACAACTGAAGCTACCTCTGTCTTTTTCCTCAGCTTTTGCTCACAGTCACATTCTGCAATTTTTGACCTATCTGTAAAAAAAAGCATAAGTTTCCTGCAGAAATATACAATTTTACTGGTAGAAAATGAAAAAAAATGTAGAAGTTCTAGATACTGCAGTCCAAAACTGGTACCAGAGGTATTAAAACATGGTTTTCTAAAAGTGTTATGAAAAATGGATGAAATATGAAAATATGTTCTACTGAATTTGTTACCTGTACATTATCTACATGTTAACATCAAGGTAGTAATGATAAAGAGCTTGTTTTCCATGCTTGGTATTAAAAGAAAATATTAGTCATCAAGTTAATGTGTGATTGTTATTAGCATAATTAAAAACTCTTAATCCTCTATAATATAAATACTGTAATTATGTTTTCACACTTAGGTTGAATTTTCAGTAACCACGGATGATGCTAAAAATATTTGTGTGTCAAATGCTGATAACACTAATTTTAAAGCAATTCAGCCTCAATAGAAACATATTCTTACTCAAACACATTAAAATATTATTCTACTGTGCAGTTAAACCCTTACATGTGCTCAATATCTTAACAGAAACAAGCTCTGCTGTTTCCCCCTACAAATAAAGCCATGCTTACAATGTGCCATGGCCTACAATGGAGTGACAAAGTAAATTAAACAAGGCAGAAATAAGAGAGGAAAAAAATCTGATCCAGTTATTTGAAGTTCAAATTAAGTATTAAGACTCGTCAAGCCAAGAGTCATCAGCTCCAGAACTCTACTCAAGGGATCTGTAGAAGATGTACTTGGGCATTGTTAAGGTTTTTAAATATAGTTTTATTTTCCACAATTATGCTATTCATGGATGATAATGCTAAATGAAAACCCCAATTAATGTTCTTCCTCCGGGTTTCCAGCGTGTTCACAAGATACCCGTGAAACCTGTACTGAAGAGCTCTAATTTCTGGCTGTCATTTTTAATGGATTTCATTACAGATAATAGATAAGAATTTTTTCTTGAAATACCTTAAAAAAACCTGTGCACATATTTTAAATTAAGTGAATTTCTATGAATCCATTGAAGTCCAAGCTAATTATTAAACATAAAATAGATAAAAGAAAGCAAAATAGGAATAAAGGACTTTTCTGCTTACATGGACTTACATCACTACACTGTTCACATAGATAAAAAAATAAAAGTTTAGCTCATTTCTGCTTACCCAGATTTTTCCTGGATGCTGGAGATAAGCCATCTATTGTAAGGAGAGGAGTAAGTTTCTGCTGACTTTCATTGAGGCCTGGAACAATAAGGTGCACTACAAAGAAAGATGCATACCATTAATTCCAAAAGAGACAAAACCACACAGTCTGCCCTCTAAGATATGTGAGTAACTACTACTGAACCACTGGGAATCTAATCTGAGTATCTGGGAAACGAGTTGGTTCTATTCAGTAATTATCACGCCCATTTGGTGCTATTTTCCCTTTACATCTCTCACTGTATTATCACTATTTCATGATTAATCAGAGTTAAAAACAACTCAATACTCATACATACAACCCTGAAGTACACAGCATCACAACTGCTGGGACATTCTGTCTTGTGTGCCAAGAAGACTCAACACTAAACTGGATTAGTAAGTATGTTGGTTTCTTATCAATACATTGAAACACAAAGCAAACTTAAGGCAAAGTTATGCAGTTATAGAAAATATTCCCATATATAAAGGGTTAATAACCCTCCTGAATCCTGGAATAAATTGTTCCAAAGCTGCATGATGCAGTGAGACTTTCATGTCTACTTCAGGTAGACCAGTAGTTCACTACACTGAGCACTATATGATAGACTTTTCTCTTGCTTTTACATTCTAAACTCATATTGTGTATTCTCATAGGTCCAAAAGAAAATAAAACATGAAACTGAGTGGCTTGGAGGGTTATGCCCCAAGATCTGATATCAAGTTCTAATTGCAAGATCACTATAGTCTAATGCATCGGTACAGGTTTGCCTCTGTAGATGGTACATTATCATGCTACCTTAAAAGCCTAGTAAGAACAATCTCTCATCTCAACAAGATCTTTGCCACAGAATTTCACTTGAAGTATGAAAGAACTTGGCTTAAACAATAACACTGTTTTAAATACAATGACAATGCAATTATTCGATTTCATTTAAGCTATAACACTCTTGAACCATCTGTACCACCATTAAATGTAACAAATGATGTCTGAACCAGCTGCAAAATACCCTTTGGTATGCAAGGAAAGAACTATCAAGGTCAAGAAAATGAAAAGCATTTCAAACAAGTTCTAATTTTCAACCAGGCGTTAAGAAAAATAATAAAAATTCTTATAGTCACCTAATATTGCTCCTGGGAGAGAAGAACTATCTGGGGTTTTTGACTGCGTCCGATTTTGAATAACTGTGGAGACAACACAGGTATATGAAGCTAATTTTAAAAAACCCAAAACAAGAAACAAAACCACAACTGAAACAAGCCTCAGCATTCTTAAAACCTTCCATCAACTTAATATTTGCAGATGAAGACACCATCATAATCTTTTCTGTATTCATTTTCTGTTTAAGAGACTGCAAACTGTGTTTCTTCTACCCTGTCTCTTAATTGTGCACCTCTTTCCTTTGACATATCAATTTTGGTGAAAAATTCTATGCTTATGTTATTACAGGGCCAGCTGCAGACCATCTCATTACCCTGACATTCATCTCAAGTTAGTCTTGCAGAGTATACGAATAAATTAAAGAAAACTTACCTTGTTTGATTATTGTGACAGGGACCAACTTCTTATTATCACTCAGTATAAGCTGAGAGAAGAGAAAAAAAAAAAAGGAAAAAGAAAAAAAAAAAAGTCTTGGGATAACTGCCATGATAGTAATTGAACTTTCTGAGTAATAAAAACAGAGGGCTCTAATCCAATACCGCGCCTGTCCCAAGTTAACACTGGATATGGCTCTGGCCCTAGTCAGTGATGGTTACACTATTGCTTCAGTTCCCACAGGCTAGTGTGGTAATACTGCATTTTGATCTCCTTCTTTCAGCTTGAGATGTTTTGCTTTATAAAAACACAGTATTTGACAGCTTAGGAATCCCCAACCCTTTTTTCTCTTAAGAATCTCTTGAGCACTCACTGGGGAGTAGTCCAGAAAGCTAAGAAGAGCTGAAATTTAACTACAGCAAAACATCTGAAACAGATGCAATTACAAATTTGGTCACAGGATACGAATATATTCTCAAGAATACTCTGTTTGGAACAAAAACTATCCCAGAACCAGGTGCTCATTTGTAAACTATCAGCACTCTTGGGTGCATAGTCTGCTTAAAGTAGATTAATTCAGAGTAATTTTCTTTGGTGAAATTGTTTCCAAAGTACATGTGGTCAGTCACCCATGTGCTTCTTACTTTTTTTTTTTATTTGCTAAATACTTGGACTATTGTGCTGTTCACTTTTCTTTGACCCAGATTACCTCCTGCCAAAGTGTGAATACTTTCAATTATACTGATAGCACAAAAGTAAGGAACATGTGAATGGACCCCACATTTATTAAAAGAAAGAAAACCACCGATATTAAAGATTATAAATTAGTATTCATGATCATATGTAAGTACTAGGAACAACTTCTGAAAGCTTAATAATGTGATCAAGTGATGAGATGATGTAGACTGTAATGCCAGCAATATAAAAATGCTAAATACATTAAAGAAAATTTTTTCAGTTATATATGAGTTGCAAGAAAGAAAATAACTCAGACAATCACCTTTCCATGTTAAATGTATACTGCCTAAGTCAGAATCAGTAAATGTTCATTTTGCACTTTATGATATCTGGTCTACTTCATATGAAAGAATACTTTCATAAAAATTCAGCATTTGATGACAAATGTTAATTATTTACCTAAGGATAGCTATTTTTGTTCTGTTCTAAATAATTTTGAAAAGCTTTAAAAACAGTTGTTGGGTACACATTAAACACATACCAACGTCTAAGAAGCTGGAGGAAGGCCAATCTCCACAAGTAAGATGGGCCATTCCTTAGGGAAATGGATGGAGGTTACTTATTCTATAAAAACCATTACTTTCTGCTACCTAATACCAGTTTTGCATTGGCATGAACATGGTCTTAAATTAAGTGGAAGTTTCAATCATTATCATTAATGATGAGTGGAAGAGACTCTTCCTTTTTTATTGCTTATGTTTTTCCTTTTTTATTAATTATTTTTACATTTCTATTTTGTCTTCTAGTAAAAAAATTGTGTTGCAGATGAGCAGCTTCTGAAATAGCTCTGCTCATCATGTGACTAACAAATGGGATGAATGTATTTATCATAAGAAGGTGTTAGTTTGATTGTATTTCTCATCAGAAGCCTTACAATCAAATAAATGGTTTTGAATTTGTAGTGGGAACTAGTGTAACTCCACTGCGGAACTTCTAATCATAATTCTTATCACTAAAAGGTTCTTGTATCGACAAGAGCATTCTTTCTTTTTTGAATAATAATGAATGACTGTAATGACAGCAATATAAAAATGCCAAAGACATTTAAATACATTCAAAATTTAGTTTTGCACTCAAGAAGGAATCCTTGACATGAAATCCATGTTCCCCAGCTGCTATAGTTATACTGTTCACCTGCATGAATTGGTAAGTGCTGCACTTGAAATCTACCACCACATTGCCAAAGCTTTCTTCTCAGTCTTCAAGAGGTGACTAATTGAGATATTTATATGTCTAGCAAAATTTATTACTTGGACAAATTAATTTGGAAACATCAGCCCATCATCTGTAGGAATGGCACTATCAACCCTGTTTTTCAGACAGGGAATATAAAGCCTATCTGTATTAGGAACACTAGCTACTAAAATGATTGTTACCATCACGAAAGAAGATGGCAAATAAATTATTCCTAAGGCATTTCGGAGGACAATTAGACATGTAAATTATACTACAAGTCAGACATCTTAAGTTCTGACCATATACATGTGGCATATTGCATAAAGGACTGCAAATCTCAAATGTTCTGTGAAGTGACACATGGCAACATTATTTGAAGAGATACTTATTCTTTCTTTCTCTGTTACATTCCAGTACTTCAAAAAGCCACAACTAACTGGCATTCATGTAAGAGATTCCTCAGGGAAGGATCATGCTCAACACAGATTGAATAAGTTTTGGAAGAGTGGGAATATTTTCTTCTGCAGTTTAACAAATGGTAGAAGCTAGGAGTCCTTTTTGTCTGGAAAAATTGAGGAGGACCCCGCCTTTCAGACTGATATTATGAAACTACAGGAACCTAATCAGACAGAGGAGGAAATAAATTTTTACTGCGTTCTCTCTGCCCTACCACCACCCATTGTTTATGAAGGGAAGAAGAATGACCATCTCTAGAGCTCTCCTTTTCTTCTGCTCTCCCATTAGTTGTAGCTCACACAGCCCCAGGAGCTTAGACAAACTTCAAGAATGAAACTGCCAAAAGAAACACAAGCTGATGTGTGACCAATGTTGAAAGGGCAGAATGACTAGATGGATCAGTAATGTTACTTTAATAAACAGCCTTTAAAAATGTCCTCACAGAGAAGAGTTAGGACCATGCTGATATGAGTCAGTTGTGTCTTTGGAGCAAAATAAGGCACAAACAAAGCTTGGCCTAAATAACACCCATTCTGTCTTTTCACCACTGAAACATACCCCACCTAATGCTCTGGAAACTGAGGTAATAATACACACTTGAGAGCGGGCCACTCTCTGCTTCCCAGCCTTAGTTTTATGGCTTTTTCCACCACTACAGTGAGAATGATAGAAGACTTTTCAGAATAATCTATGGAATGTTTTCGTGATGTTTCTGTGGAGGGTGATAAAGCAGTTCTGCTCTGGAGCTAAGCCCTGTGAAACTGAGTAAAAAGACGAGATGTTGGCTCTAGTCCTCTGTTCTTGCTTAAGCTGTGCAAATATTTGGAAAACTGGTTTAGCTCACTTTCTCAAGACTTCTGCATAAATAGAATCCCTGCTTCCACAGAAGCAGGATAACAGTCAGGGTCCTGGCACAGAGAGTTTGCTAAGAGAAGCAAAGGAACTCAGCTTGCACTCCATATGCCAGATTCAATTACCTGGTCTTGGGCTGTCCTGTGTAACTTTAAAGACCCCTATGGGACCAACTGGAAGAGCAGTAAAGTTTTCTTCCATCGACATAATGAGATGTCACCTTCCTGAATATCTAACCATCTGCATCCATATTACTCAGAAATAAAACATTTTCTCTTGAACGCAAGACATGACTATATTTCCAATAACCTAAGCATTATGCTGCTCTAACTCCATATTTAATGCAGTAATTGAAGCATTACTGTCCTAAATGATTGTAAATGGCCCTCAAGTGGCATCAGGGAGGTTTAGATTAGACAGTAGGGAAATTCTTTTTCACAGAAAGGGTTGTCAAGCATTGGAACAGACTACACGGAGGAGTGGTGGAGTCATCATCACTGGAAGTGTTCAAAAAATGTGTGGATTTGGCACTTGAGGAGATGGTTTAATAGTAAAAATGGTGGTGGTGCTGGGTAGACAGTTGGAATTGAGAATCTTAAAGGTGTTTTCCAACTTTGATGATTCTGTGATTCTACTCATATCTAATTATTCATCGAAGAAACTGTGTATAATGAATTGTGGTTTAATTCCTGAAGGAATTCCATGTCTGAAAATCACAGACAATTTACGACATTGTAAAATATGAAGAATAGACAATGAGAAACCATATATTAACATTTCCTACCATGAAAACTCCTGGAAAATCTGAGAAAGAAGAGAATTGTGAAGAATGGAAACAAAACAAAGCAACCTCCAGAAAATTAGATGCTGAAACGTGCCCTTTGATGAAAAATTAAAGAAAGCAAATATGAAGAAACTATTTAATTTCATAGTAGAACAGGCAATACTCAAAAGTTATGAAAAAAAAGGCCAATTTTTCACTGTATTAAAAAAATAGTCTAGTAACAGGTTCAATCTAGAGAGCCTTCATTTCTCCTTCAGCTTTTGGAAGCAAAAAGTGTCTGTGTATGTGAATGCATGAACTTATGAATCCACCCAAGCTTGCTGGCTAGCATTTATGTCAAATGCCAGATTTTTTATTTATTTATGTATAAAAATCATCAAATGTTTTGATGAAACAGAAAAATTCTACCTTGCCACATGCAAAGATTTAATGAAGTGTCTAGCAATCTTGATAGGCAAATTAAATTGTACCTTCCAGCTTCCTCTAGTTCTGTAAACACTTTCCTCACATATGAGAACTACCAGTGAATTTAAAAGAATGAACAATGTTTTAGAAGATCTGAGAAAATACAAGATTACTCTATAAAACCACAGCACCAGGTTATCACAACAAATATCACAGGTTGACAAACCTGACTAGTACAAAGAGATAAGCAAATTTTAAGTTTAGAATCCACACACAGAAACCATCAGCTGTACCTTCGTTAATTTGGAATAAGTATATAATTATTAATAGATAATCATCTCAGCTACCATTCTCAGTCATTTTGTTAATCCACATATATAAACACTTCTCCATACAGTTATCAGGTCTTAGATTTACAGATTGCTTTTCTGTATTGGCAATTTGTGGCCTTGATAATGTGTTTCTTAATTTAACAGAGAAGAAAAAATTTTTGATCATACAAATCACAAATGTGGTATAAAAAATAAGACTGTTTTGCATACCTGTGTTTGGGAATTGGGTACCAACTTGTACATATTCTGGAATTGCCCATTTACTTTTTTATCTGTTTTGACACAAAGATAAATAAAGACACAGAATTACATTTTTTTTTTTTTGGTCCAAAGCAAAATAACCCAAGTTTATTCACCTGTTTCAATAGCTAGGAAAGTTAGGGAGCTTAACTACAAGCTCATATAAAAACACACCATAGAACAATTTCATTTTGTCCTGTTTCTTCAGATCAATTAATATAACTGCAAAGCCTTCTCTTCACATTTTGACAGCAAGGAAAGGAAATGTATTCTTCTTGTTCTACAAGAGAGCTGAAGTGGTCTTTGGGACTTACTACTCCTTAGTAAGCCAGAGGTGCTTAAGAGGATTCCTTATTAAAATTAACATAACCACAAGACTCATATGCAAGGAACAAACTTGAAAGAGGAATTTCTGCATCCCATCTGTCAGGTTAGTACTAGGACTTACTAAGAGCAGCTTGTTTTAAGGTCTCCAGTATCAAGTATGCTTTTAAGTGTGCTCTTCTAAAAAAATACACATTTAGCACTGGCAATAGAGAGCAGATATATCACTTTTCTTTGGATCTGACATGGTTTCGTTTATCTCAGCATATGAACAAAGTAACCCACAGATTTAAACCCTGAAAGTTTTCTCTTAGGCTTTTCCTCTTAGTTTCTTAGTATTAAAAGCTTCTTGTGATGTAGCTGTTAAGTACAGATGAAAAACAGTCCTGCTCAGCACCTCCTCTAATCTAGCACGATGCTTCAAATTTTGTCTATATCTTCGACATTTACATTTTTCTGCTCCCTTTGTAGCAACAGGTGTGCAAACAAGAGTAAAGCTACAGGTTGTCTGACATATTTGTTCACAATTCCATCCAAAACAGATAAGCAATAGAAAAAACAATTCAACTTTAAAGAAATATCAATTAAGATATATTTAAGTTGGAAAAAAAATCTTTCAAAGTAATCCATAGTTTAAAAGAACAGGACCTACTACTGGACTAAAGACAAAGGAAAACTGACAGAAGTTTCACACTGATGTCATGAGAAAATCACGTTAAGATGGTCAAAAATAAGCTACTTTCATCTCTTTTGAGAAATGTTGGTTAAACAAATACTGAATATTTGCCATGCCTTTTATGTCTTCTCAAATCATGAATTAAAAACAGATTTGCATCCCAGTTCCTCCCAACTTTTGGCCTGTGGATTCAACAAATACAAGAATATCTAAAAGAAGTTTCAGTTTATGATAATTTATATATTTCTTCAGTGAGGAAAGTAAATTTACAGTGAAGGATGTTTGGTTGAGGTTGAGATGCTTCTCCTATATGAGAAGACACTGAGTTACTGCAAGACAGGAGATTAAAAGAGAAAAGAAGTGGTCATTTGTGCTGATTGGTAAACTCCTATTCACATAGTTAGTTATAAATTTATAATAAATACATACTCTCTGTTCACTGCCCATATTTTGTGTATCTATCTACTATAAACTCACTAAGCCATGAAAGGCTTGAATCTGAAACGTGCTGACAACTTTCTGAATTGAAGATACTTTATCAGTAGACCAGAATGCAGACATGCAGGGTAATCACAGGCTCCCTGGATTTAGATGCTGCAGAAGCATCCACTGCATACACAAGTTTACATTCCAGGAAAAAGAAATCTCATCTAAATGGAATATGAACTCTTACAAGAAAGTATCTCTCAACCAAAATCAATCTGTCTCCATAAACCCAGAAGAATGGTTCTCCTGGCCTATTAAAAATTTAAAATTACTGTGATAAATAGCATTTAGAAATAGGTTATATACAAGGAGAAAATTTGGTGATTCCTGTGAATGTTTTCACCACTCTTGAACACAGTATTAAACTATAAACACTATGCACTCTTCATTTCTTCCTATTTTAAGTACTCAAACATATTTCAGTACTCACTCTATGGATGACTTTGAGATGTTTGAAATATAGAAAAACCAGCAGATTAGTAAGCCATTTTTAAGGCTGAGAAGCAGTTTCTTTTTGTAAGGCAAGTATAGGAAAAGGCTACCACCATTCTCCCCTTTAAGCTCATGGTATAACAATGGCATTATTCTGGACTGCTGAAATGACTCTATGGACACTGGGGAGGTACTTTAAAGTGAAGGCTTTGTACTTTATAATGAAGGCCAGTAAAGTTCTGTTTTAGGGAGTATGCAGTGTTATTAGACACCATACTGCTCACCTCCCTCATCCTCAAGTATATCAAGCTGTGTAACTTGAAACTGAGGTCCAAAAATAATATCAGCTGGAAATATTATATGAATAAGGCTCTTGTATGAGAATTCCTGCTCTTAACAGTTTGTGTTAGGCTAAAAATACTAAGCATAGGAGTTTGCAGCATCTTCTGACCAACACCATGTTAAGAAATATCTGTGCTTGTGGAAAATAAATTAAATTGGACAATAGCTGTTAAGTATTCTCTTCCTCTCATTAGAAGAGGAAGACTCTGCTGATGCCTATTTCCTCTAATGATATAAGTGATTCTTTGAACAATACATGTGCTTTTCAAGACTGAATTTGGTATCCCTTTGCCCACACTGTCTCGGGACTTTAGAGAAAAAGCTTCAAATATGACTGACAGAACAGCCAGTGATGTAACACACTGCCTCTGTGAAAACCCACACAAAAGCATACATGACAGTGCATGCTTCAAACACAGTTCACGTAATTCCATGACTAAAAATTAGCTTCAAATTTAATTTTCTAGCAGAGTCATAAAGGGCCCATTGTGATGCATGTTGGATAGGACAGGCCCTGTCTAGCTTTCTACCAGCTTCAACATAAATGCAGGCATAAAAGGAGATTCAAACAAGGATAACAATTTCAATCAACTCAGATTAGTTGATGGGAGAAATTAAGTGGATTAGTTGGATGATGATTGATGGATTAGCTGATTAGTTGATCATCTTATTATTCACAGCCCAAGGGAAAACCTTAGAATACAGTCAGAAGTATAAATACACATACTCAACACTTTATGTGTATCTGAACTAATCACTGTTAGAGTTCTACCAGCCTGAAGCAGATCCTCTATTTGCAATGATAAGAGAACACCTTTCAGAAAAGTAGGTGGCAGTTTTTCAAACAGAAAATATTTCTAGTTTCACCAATTCCTAAAATATTTTGTTAGGGGCATAAGGGATAGCATTTAAACAAGAGAAAACTGATCAGTAGTCTTACTCTAACTAATACTACAATAGAGGAAAAAATACTGTCAAACTGAGTAGCCATATGATTAATTATTGTCAAATACTTACTAGAGAGAACTGTCTTATGATTGAAAGTCTTGCTCCAAATGCTATCCTCTACGTTGTCTTTAACTCCGAATTCATACTGTGTGTTTGGTTTCAAATTGTCAATCACAGTCTCTGTAACTGGGCAGAGCTGAAAAACCCATTTCTTGTCTTTACCCTTTTCTCTGTAGCGAACTGTATAGAACCTGGTTGAGAAAAGAAAAAAAAGAAAAGAGAAAAATCTACACAAAGAAACTCACTACAACCATTTTTGTGAGGAGTTAATAAAACAACTTCCACACACCACTGTTCTATTGTTCTTGTTCTTTCTGGTCCTTTTTGGTCATCAAATATCAGAAAAGCCAGCATATATTTCATGTATATACAATCCAGCACACAGACCAGGACATTGCAAGAAGGGCAAAAGAACAGTCTCCTCTTCACAAACAGCCCTGTGACTGAGGTTCTAACCACAAACTGCAATCTCATTTTGCAAGTAGTTCCTGTAATTCTGACATATGCCAGAACTAGTCAGTAGAATCATGTGTCTACGACTCAACCAGCTTCTCAGAATCTTCTATATCAACCCAGTGAAAGGTGTTCCCTCAAAACTAGTCCAAAAACATTCTCAAGAGAATACTACTAATAGCTGGTATTTGTATAACACATTCCTCATTCAGTGATCCCATTATGCATTGCCCACACTTCAAACAAGAAAACAAACCAAGACATTAATTTTAACAGTTTAAATCAATAAGTGATGAATGCTAACAGACAATGAAATTAAAAACCATTTCTACAGAAATTGCCCAATTCTATCAAGCAGCACCACCCTGAAAAAGTATGACTGCAATGCTAAACAATATAAGAATGCAATGGAAACGGTGAGAGTTTCAGCACAAGAACTCCCTAGCCTACCATAGTCTCATTTTCAACATACATGCTGAATCACTACCAGAATGGATTGGAGATTTCTGGTTTTGTAAAATCAAATCTCAGAGATACTAGGCAACTTTCTAATCCAAGTATTACCAAAGATTGTTACACATAACATAAATAATGCACATCCACTGCTCATATCCATTTCACATTTACATCATCTTAAAAATAATGAATTTCACCCAATTGTGTTTTACCACACTTTAACAGAGCAACTTAAGATTGTGAGAAAGAAACCACCAAAAATGTTCTTTAATCAACTGAAAATGTATCAAAGGTCCAGAATAAAATTACTTGGTGGACCAAATATAATGCAGACAATGCACAAACCTGCCTTTGCCAAATTTACAGAAGAGCCCTTTCAAATTTAAAGAACACGTGAAATATGTTAAGTACAAAGAAATTCCTATTTCATAATTAAAACACAACCTAAGACAAGGCAAGTGTCAGTCATGGAAAATATTTGCATACACAATGATTCACTCTATTTATGTATTTTATCTTATAACTGTCAAATTTTTTTCTTGGCACCAAAAATATAGATTCTTGTGTACAATTCAGCCCATTCAGGTACTTTGCCAGGTTACAAAATCAGTATTTGTGTTGGCTCATGTAATTCTTCATTAGCTGTACTACTCTGTGCTCAAAGCAAGCAGAGTATAACCTAAAAACTTCAAAAGGAAAGGAAAAGAAAAAAAAAAAGACAAGTAGTGAATATTCTCTCTCATATAAATTCCTGGGCTACTAAGGAATAATCTGCTCCTTACTTCTGTGGGCTGTGATCTATGCAAATTTCATATGTCAAGCAACAGATCTAATTATCAGTTAAACTGGCAAAGAACATTTTTAGCAAGAAACTATTGACAACATTAAAATAAGAAAAATTTCTTCTCCTTTATCCTCTCACTCTATTCATGTGTAGTCACTCAGACATTTACAGATAGCAAAAGCTTACTTGAACTCCCTGTCAAGGATATAGCAATAATAAGCAAATCCAACCTTCAACATAAATGTATCTTGTTGGACCCCATACACTTTTATGGTAAGGGATTTGGAATAAATATAGATAGATCTATGATCAAAAGGTGAAACTCAAGAAATAGCCACCTTCTTCCCACCATACCTGAAAGAAGAATTTTCATTTGTTTTCTTCTTCTTCATCCGTATATTTTTAGCCTACCTGTTTCAGTTCCATGAGATACAAATAAAGTGATTGAATGTGATGGGAAAAAAAAAAAGAGTATGTCAATTCAGTTCAGTTATTGAACAGCCCAAATGAATAGCTGCATCAGAAATGATGACCAAAAAACCCACTAAAAACTTGTTCATAATCAACAGGATTTTAATTGGCTGTTCCCACTTGCTTCTAAGGAAGAAAACTTCTGAAAAGAAGATTTTCACAGTTGTGTCAAACTATGCCATTAGAAAGAGAAACATATAGCATAGAAGAAATAGTCTCACAACTCCAAGATTTCCCAGTCTGCCAGAACTTCACCAGGCATATAATTATTTCAGTGAAAACTTGCCATAGTGCGTACTAAAAACACTGACTGTGATGACAGAATTTCCTCAACCATTTCAATAAAAACAACAAAAGTGAAGTTCCATTTAACAACTTGCAAGTCACGATCATTTGACCATCAAAAATATCCAAATTGTATACAACATGCACTATTGGGAAATGCAATGATTTGTTTACAGAGTACAAATCCAGAAATGCCAAGTTTTGTCATAAAAGAACAACAACTTATTATTAAACCAGAGCAACAAACAGCCAAGTAAAACGCAATTTCAGTGCCTGCCTGAGAACACTTCACCCATTGAATTTCGTTATAGTTTTAATTTCTCCCTTTTTCAAGCCTTCATTTCGTAAGAAATACACTCAACACATATAACCAAAGACATGAGAAAGCAATGACACCCAGTCATCACTCGTATAGATCAGTATCTATCCCCTTGTGGCAGTGACATACATGCACAGCTGGCCTGTCAGAAGCTGCAAAACTTTCTCCTGAACTGCAAACACTCAGTAAGACATCTCCGTAGATTCTCCCCTCCAAAATGATAGAAGGCAGGCTGAATGTCACTGTCACATAGAAGGGGAAACACAGTACCTGTTTCTCAGACAGAACACTTCCTGTTATCTCTGTAGGGTAAGAATATGAAAACTGATTGCATACTGCAAGGTCCTAATAGCTAATATCAAAGTAACAGTCAATCTCAATAACAGCTAATATCAAACTAACTTTGGAACAGTCCTAGGAATGCTATTCACAGCTGTGAATACTAGTTAGATATTCCAGCTGGGAGGTGGCACACTCAGTTACACTTGGTAAGAATTTATTTTAATCTGGATTCTCAGCAGGTACAAAAACCTAACAACACATAATTTAATATTTAATGTTGATTCTTTGTTTGTTTGGGGATATGAAAAGGGTACATTTTATTGGAACAATGTTTATTGAATAACTCCTGCATTTCCATTTATAATAAATGCTAATCAAAAGATTGCAGGGTTCCCTTCATTTCTTTTCCAGCTAGCACTCTATAAAACATTAGAGCTCTTTTGTTCAGCTCCATAAAAATTAGCACCTATGCCTCTCCCCCTGACAGGCAATGCTTCACTTATTAGAAGATACCTCCCATCAAACCACCATGGGGACTGTAGAGAAATTTTACCTTCTCTGGTTTTACTAGACAACTGAAAGTATAATAAGCTCCAACAACTTAAAAGCTGTCCTAAGCAGGTGAGGTATACTGATCCACCCAGAATAATTCCTGTAATAATGGAAAAAAAAAAAACCCACCAACAACAAAACCAAACAACCCCAAACAAGAAATTGAACCCACCATAGTAAAGGAATAAAGAGGTTACATTTACCAAGACTGCCTCTCTCCATATGTACTTGTGCGACAACATGATATGTTTTATGTCTGCTTTCTTGAAACTCTGCCTACATTAACGAGCTATATCTTTTACTGACTTTATCTTTTCTGACTTTTCTTGTCTCCCCATAAGGTGCACATAAAATGTGATAGCAGAAATAAAGTAAGACCAATTTCATTATTTAAAGGAAGCCACAAATTACCATAATACTCCATAAGCCAACCACTGTAGTGATTACTCTGCCTGCAAAGCTGAGGTAAGACTCTCAGCCCAACACAGAAGGATGTTTCTCTTCTATGTTCAGCTCACATAGTTAGTTTTTTAAAACTCTACAATGCAAGGCAGTGCTCTGCTTAGAGATAGCTTCTTCATTACACAAGAAATCAAAATACAGTGAGAGCTTTAAAGAAGCAGCACACAGGACTTTTGCTTTTGAAACTAAGCAAATCTTGTTTGTTGCTAAAAGAAGTAAAATTCTAAGATGGACAGGCAAAACATTATTTTTTGTGCCTATCACTATGAATGACTCCCGTCTCACTGAGACTTCCAGTGCTATTTTTCCAATGTTTAACCAAATCTCTTTTCAGTCAGATTCCCAGAAAATGCTCGCACAATCAAGTATTCAGGCACAAACAATTAGATACTGGAAATCTTATAAGGCAGATGGTTTTATGAGATTTCCAGAGTAGGTCAGTTTGTATAAATATCATGGGTTTATTTGGAACTAGATCCCAACCAAAACTCCAAACAATTTAATCATGACTATTTTAGTCAAACGTAACACTAAACAAACAATTAAGCCTTGGAGATATAAGAACATTCCGGCTCTGTGATTTCATGTTGCCAGAGACAAAAGATTATAAGACTCATTTCATTTTTGTGCATAGCAATGTAATCAGACTTTTAAAAAGAAGATTAATAATAAAAATATATATTCATTTATTTGTTTATTGTTACACTTCATTACAAGCACAACATCCATTTAGTGCTAAAAGGTAATAAAAGAAATGGTTTGAACTATGATTTTTCAGATAGAGAGTGTTTCACAAATTGGCACATGGAGTTGATTATATTATTTCCTTTTTTATTGCCAAGTTTACTTTAAAGTAACAGACACAGACATATATAAAAAGATGGAAAAAATTACATTAAGTTTGCAAAGTACTTTCTAATTTAGTTTTCAATTTTACATGATCACTAACATTAATTTTCTTCATGTAAACTTTTTAGTAAAATGACTGAAAGAAACTGAAGAGTGAGAGCTCTGAAGAATGAGAGGCTGAAGAGTAATGAATCATTCCATGTGAAGACAAGCCTTTAGCTTATGCTCCCACAGCAGTAGCTGAAGAGCATCTGAAACTCAAGAAGTGCATTTGCTGCTGTATGTTTTCCTTAAGAAATTCTTTTAAGTTTAAAATACAGTTTGGGTGACACAAAGTATGATTAAGTTGGCAGCTGCACAGTGAGAGGCTTGTAGATAGAAACAGAAGGAGATAGGTACATACGTTTCTGAATTTAGGGTTTTAAAAACCCCACTTCTATGTACTATACAATGTATACTACACAGACTAACTATGGATTCTTCTTTGTTTTTTGCTCACTATTTTCCTTTCCTTTTTTTTAAAGCATCACATACAAACTAAATAAAACACAAAATATGCACCACTTGCAAGTACAACATTAGGACATTTAAATCAAGGGCAAACAAATTTAAACAATGTCTGTGTGAATTTGTTAAAGTTTTTAACTTAAATGATTTCAGGTTTTAAGTTTTTATTTTTCATATGCCTGAAAGCATGTTTGTTTTTCTATACAATCCACTCAATAGAATACTATATTTTGCTGTATCTATACATCTTGCTTTTGTCTAACAGGAAAAATAACATTTTCTGTTTCTTCCTCTGACTTTCCTTCCTAAACAACTGAAAGTCAAAGTCCATCTTTTTGACCCCCAGCTTCATTTTGAGATCTTCAGAGTTGTTCTAATCAGAGCAAATGCAAAAAAAGGAAGAATCTATGGAGTAGTCTCACTTTTTCAGACCTAAAAGGGCAGTGAAAGATAGCCCCAGTATATTTACAGTGACAGCTCTGTCCACCAATGTTTGTTTGGACATAGAGAGGCAGAGAGGAAACAAGTCTCTACTTTCTTGGAAACGATAAAAAGAGGAACTGAACATGGTTGTGCAGAAGGTTATCATGACTTTCCCATCCTCCCTCATCAACAGTTCCATGCTGGTGCAAGAAAACAGAGGATGTTGAGAAGGTAACTCCACATAGTGGAATCTTTCTGGTGTCCTGTACATTTCATCAGTTACACAGAGCTAATCACTTGAGTTTTTTGGTTTAGGTCTTTTTATTTGGTTTTATTTTTTTGTTCTAGTGCTAAGGCTCTGACCAGAGATAGTCACTTCATCAGGTTCTGATCAGAGATAAGAGTCACTTCAATGAGGCTTAAAAATGTTGACCTTTCAAAGAACTTTGGTCCACAAAAATGGCAGTGAATACGTTTGCTTCATCAAGGAATTAGCATTTGGTGGTTATCTTGAAGGAAATACGTAGCACTCTATTGGTTTATGACCTTAATCTCTAGAAAGTTAAGCAAGAATGGTTCGTTGAAAAATGTCACAAGAACCTTTTCTTCACTGGAGTTTCTTAAAAAGGACTTTGTAATTTCAGAAGACCACTATGTGCCTTCAAGAAGCAAGTAAGAATTTCACTGAAGCAGTAAAAGATACCAATGCTCTTTTAGAGCATTGCACTTCTTATTCAATACTCATTTGCTTACAAAACCAGATCTTCTAAGGAATATCCCACTGAGATCAGACTCGCACCAGAGAAAATCTTGGCCAGCAGATCTGTGCTATTCCATGTGGTTTTCATCTTCTGAGTCAGTAACACATTCAAATAACTTATATTATGCAACATTTGTACAAAAGCCTAATGTCCACCCAGGGGTGGTAAAATCTGAGGCCAAGAATAGTGATTCCGTTTCAAGACATACAGAGTTACAAACCTAAAACATGGTGGGATATTGACAGAATTGAGTTAGGAGGTCCTAACTTCCACACACTGCCAATGTCAAAGATTAGAGCTTAGTCACTAACAGCAATTTTGAGAATGATTAATACTACATAGAAACACGTCACAGTAAGAACACACCAGAAGAAAAAGGATCAAGTAAGTGAGTAGAATTCCCCTGCAATAGACAGAAATGTTGATGAATCCGTTACCCGCTCTTTAAGCCTTGTACTTTTAACACAATGCTAACTTGCTAAGTGTGGGCTACTTCCTATTTTTTCTTATCGTACATTATCAACTACCATTCAAATTATCATCATAAATTAATAGGTTTTCTTATATACGCTGACTGGAAATATGTATGGGTCTCCAGGAATTACAGATATCCACACCATGGTCACATGGAAAACTGTTAACATCATTTATACAAATCACAAGCAGTTTGGTCTGGTAAAGGTAAACAAAATAGGAGCACCACTTAAGTGACTTTTTTTTCTTCATTAAATTTATTGCTCTGTTTGATGGCAGAATAGGTATATACCCATACTTTGACATGATCGTTTGTAACTTGATTTCTGTGTTTTTAAACTAGCTACTCCTGAGGGTCAGTGTATCTTTAGAGTTGAAATGCAGGGAGATATTCAAACAAATGATACAACTCATATAGGGAAGTCATTTTATGTGGACAAAAGGGAAATACATACTGTACTTTAGTACAGCCTGACAATATTTCAACAACATGAAGGGCACATTAAAAGTAATTCCTGAGAGGAATCAGTTGACTGAACTAAGCAACACTTAACTAAAAAACAGCACACCATTTCTTGACATAAAGATATGACAAAAACCAGCTGTCTTAGACTCGAGTAGCAAACATACAGAATATATTCTAAACATAACAAGACATCATTAGCACACTGGACCAACTGAAAAACATTCCATACTGTGTTAAAGAGTTTGTTCAAACTTTGAGTCAATGAATGTCCAATAAGAAAATTCAGCTACTGAGGAGAAAACCCAAAGCTGATGAAGGCATTGTGGTGGATACCATATGCCTTTAATTTCCAGGTGGATTAGTACCGGATGGTGTTCTTCCTTCCCACTGCACAATGGGTGCTGTAACTTTGGTGCTGACACAGCACATAAAGAAGATAAATTCCCTGGTAAAATTGGTGTTAAAATCATTATGTGCACAGAAAACTTTAAAGGGTACTCCATGATCAGCTCATTTCTTCGATTTCTCACAGGAGGAAAATATTTGCTTCTTTCTTCAGTGAAAGAGCAAAATATAAGCCTAAACCAACTTTTACTTCTACTAAAAAAAAAAAAAAAAAGTCCAATCAAATTACATTCATGGAAATTTCCTAATAAACATTATTTTCTTCAAAAGTGTTTGAAATTCTGGTTGGTGATGAAGATTCTAATTTGTTCAGAAGAAATTTTTGAAGGTTGAAAAGGTTTATTCCAAAACTTTTGAGAATTAAGAAAAAGGTCATAGTGGTTACATGGGGTGGGGTTTTTTACATAATGTATGTTTGACATCCAGTTTAATGGCATCAATGGGAGTTCTATTACGAACACCAAAGTAAGCAGATTCAAATCTAAATTAGACAGCAAATTTCAAATCTAAATTAGAAAAATATTAGACAGGGAAAAAATATTCTGAATAATGAAAAAAAGTATGGTTTTACAAATGCATTGTTTTACAAAAATTGCTGAGTAACATGGAGCTTCACACTATGTAAATGAAGGCAAAAAACGTCTTCTGTCATAAAAGGAAGAGTACAAAGAGAACACCAAAATGACAAAGCAGGGAAAACATGTGCATTAACAATTTAAATAATTGCAAAGATGAATTTTATTAAGCTGCCAAGAGTTGCCTAAAATGTAAGGTTACACTTTATTGAGAAGCTCCCTCGCACTGTGACTTTTCTTGAAACTGCTACTTGGTGAGTCTTTCTAAGCTCCCCACCTACTGTATCACCCATTAAATAATTGCAGCAAACCAAATATGTTACAGGAGAAGAGATCTTATTTTACTTCCAACAGAATATTAACAAAAGGTTGTACTATATCAATATAAGGAAAGTAGTTTTAGTGATAAGATCAAATGTAGGAAACAAAAATCAAACAGCGTTAAAAAACAAGGCATCATTCCCCTATCATGGCACAACAAAAGAATTCTTTTACTTTTATTCAGCCAACTTAAAAAAATATTTTCTATGATTTAACAAAGTTTCTTTCAATTGACTAAGATACAGTTGAAGGTAGAGTCAAGGTAGTTGGTTTAAGAACAAAGGATGTACTGTGAAATAGCAAGATTTTTACTTCAGCATGTAGACTTCTCACTAAATTTTTGCTCAAGACAAATAAAGACTTTCAAAGCATCAAATGAGTAAGTGAGAAAACTTACTTCACATTCAGAACTATTGCTCCCAACATTTTAATTTCCACTTTAAAACTTATTTTAGGCACAGCAGAGAGCTACACTGAGTTAAATCAAGAGAGTAATAAATGAAAAGGTTTTTCTGTTATGTTACCTGTCACTAGCACAGTTACTTGTTGCTGTCCAGTCATGCTGAGGGTTGACTAGGATGCCCCAAGAGAGAAACACAGAGGTTGGGGTGAGAGTGCCAACTACCAGCTGCAGAGGCTTTTGTGTCTTGGTCCGACCTACATACGAAATATATGAAGTTAGTTCCTCTCTCCATTACATAAGGGGAAGGCTTTGCAGTTGGATAGTAAAGTAAATTAAGACCTACTTCCCTTCTAAGCTTGAGGTGCAACAGTTCTCTTTTTTTCACAGTCACCATTTCTAATGTATGATATACAAAATGGGCAGAGACAGTGTCTGATCTCTTTTTTCAGGCATACATTCATTCCACTTAAATCTAGTTTTTGAAAAGGAGCAATTGGTGATTTGGGTGTGCTTAGTATAAGAATAAGCTATATATAGATTAAATTCAAGGCTCTGGCTGTCTTGGCCTGTATCACAGAAGGTGTGACACAGAGTTCGGGATATCAGGAAGTCTCTCTTTGAATGTGGCAGAAATAGTAACTTCTTGGCGGATTTCTTAGTAACACTGCAAATATGTCCATGGATAATTGATACTTTCCACAGTGTTCTTCATCAAGAATAAAATAAAAGATATAAAAGTTCTTCTGCCTTTAGCTGTAGGCAACTCAGAGTCAGCATCTGCATCTGGGGAATTCTTCTCTTTTAACTACCCACTATATTGAAAATGTACAGCTATTTCATGATCCTTCAATTTAGCTTTGCTCCAAATGAAGGAACACGACTCTTGTGCAAAGGACAAACTTTATTTAAAGAAAGTTTGAAAGATAAAATATGGAAATGAACAAATGACCTGGAGGAACTCTTCTGAACCCATAGTTTATGGACTGCTATGAACCCAAGGAAAATCTCTGGTGTTTGGAAGATGATTAATTAAGAGAAATTGCTATATTATTTACATCACATTACATCAAAAATCTAAAGGATCTTTACCCCCTCAAAACGTAAGGGTGACAACACACTGTCTGAACGTTTGTAAGCCACTGATCTAATGGTGCTATTTCTCACTGTCGTGAAACAGATCTGATTAACTTTCTTCTCATGCCTTTTGAATCCTGTTATCAGGGTAGACTGTAGATACAAAAATTAATACTGAGCAAATGTGCATTGGACATTTTTTGGTTTTGTGGGTTTTAATACATATATATATGTATGTTGCATCTGAAAGGTAAATCACTACCCAAAATCTTTCCAGATATACAGTTTTATGTCTGCCCAAAACCAAGAAGAAATTAATCCCAAGCAGTTACCAGGAATTAGAAAACCAATCATATAAAGATCCGAGAATAGTTTAGGTTGGAAGTGACCTTTAAAGGCCCTTTTGTAAAGGTCCTTTTAAAAGTCCAAGTCCCCTGAAATGATCAGGGACATCTATAACTGGATCAGATTTCTCACAGCCTGACCTTGAGTGTTTCCAGAGACCGGGCATCAGTTTATTTTTTGCAACAGTCCAGTGATTCTGAAAGTCGTCTTCATATTAAAGTTAAATAAAGATTCTGCCTTCTTTCAAATACTTCAGAAAAAAAAAAAAAAAGATGCAGAAATGTTAAAATACCTGAACAAGATTTCTTGTTATTTGAAACACGTGCTGGTCTTACTGAAACCAAATACCGTGGCTCTGCATCTGTAAATGAAAACAAAAGCAATTAGTACAGATGTACTATTTATTTGAAACAGGGATTAATATATTAACCTATAATTAATAAGAAAAAGTCAAATATTCAGTGAATGCTTGACACATTATCCAATCCTTGTGATCTTTAGGCATGTTTTCTTTAAGATTTATGGAGTTTAAAAATAATAAATGATTTGATTAAAACAATTTTGAGGTGGTGAATTTAATTTGTGGGACTCCTCTTCAGAAATAAGATTTTCCCTTATTCTTCAAATGAGATGTCAGAGATTTCTGCCCTTCTTAATTGTTTAAAACCAAGCTCTATTCTCACCAAGCTGCAACATGAGAGAAGTTGTTACAGGAGCTTCCAGAGATGATATCCATGGGCTGAATTAGGTTCACCATATAAGAATCAAAATTATATTAGCTATATTTTTTATAGAAAGTATTACTCTATGTGAAATTCTTATTCTAGTTTAGATACATTAATCTAAATCTGTATCTATAAATGAGAGACTGAATTTCCTGCATATTTCAGTGTAACAGACTGCTTGAATTCTACCAATTAAACAGAACCACTCATTCAATTTTCTCTTACACCCAGATTTCTGTAAGGAGAGAGAAAAGAACAGCAGTACTGAAAAAACCAAAAGCCTGCTGTGCTACTGAAAAGCCTGTGCCAGCGTGGGGAAAACCACTCTAACTTAACTTCACTGACTCTATGGATCTAAATCACTGGAAACCCACATTATGAGTGAACTTTAATTGTTTAATTACCATTTTTAAATGGTTTCAACCACACTCAGTAATTAAGATAAGCATTGAAAACCGCTGCTCCAAGCAGTATGGGCAAAAAAGTTAGTTAAAAAAAGAGCAATGCCTAAGTACAAATACATCTTCATTTACAAAAAAAAAAGTTCTGGAATCTGTGTGATTATATCGATATTTTTTGTACTGAGACCTCAAACTTGAAATAAGTGACATTTAAAAATATTTCAATTTCCCCTTACTTTAATCACAGTTTTCTTCTGGGCGTTCATGACCACTTGTGATGCTGTTATAACTCTCACAAATATTCAACAAGTTTCAAGCATCACCTTGAAAGCTCATGAACTACAAAGTCAGTCTTCAAAGCTCTAAAAAATTGTAGTTTTTTCAGCAAAATTTCCAAAGATTGTGAAAGAAAGTTATCCAAGTGGTTTGGAAGAGTTAGTTTTGCCCTGCTCCATAACCGGAAAAATTAATTCTGGCTGAAATCTGAAATGACATGTGTAGCAGCATGGATATAGATTAACTGCTAGACAAAACATGGTAATAAACAAAGACTGAAAATGTCTCCCTGCACATCTCAAAGATACAAAACCTGGCTTTTTTTTTGGAATCATTAGTTCTAACAGGTGTTTTTGTTCTGTAACAAAGTGCTCTCTGTGGAAATATTTTGTGTTATGTGCTGCTCATTAAGCTTTTTATTTTTTTTTTGGTGGATTTAACAAAAGTTGTCATGATAAAAAATAAAACACACCCTTATTTCATAGAAAAATGGCTCTTCTAACTGTAATACAATCTATAAAAGGGATGATTTAGGAAAATGGACTAAGACTAGATGTTGAGAGAGTGCTGCTATAGAGCAGTGGCTCCTTGAATCCTAACACATTCTTAGAGGGTTGTTACTATAAGACTAACTTAATAAGTTTACTTGTTTGAACCAATTACTCTCTAGCTTTATTAAAGCTAGAATGACAAATATCTTGGCGAAGAGCTCCTTTCAGATCAGAAATAATGCCCAAAAAGTGACCACCTTCAATTCTTTAGCCATAAAGGACTATAGGAAAATGCCCAGATGTATCAGAGAAGTGCTAGCCAACAAGTCCAAGCCTAATTCTCAGTGATATATTTCCCCAAACACGGGTTGTTTCAACCATTCCATTCAGAGGCACCAGTACATCAGTAAAACTGTTCTTTCAAGTTTAAATGTCCACAGCAGAACAAAGCAATGCCAGTTTGAACCAAAGCACAGCACTCCTGCAGGCACATACACCTAACCAAATGATTTCTGAAGCAGAAGGGAAGAATACCTAAGAATACACCTAAGAGATTAGTATTTGTAAAGCAATAGTATTTCTATCCATAGCATTCAATACATACAGTAGAGACATGCATATGTGTTAGGTACATATTTTACAGCTTTTCCTCTCAATTCTCACAAATATTAGGCAGAAACGTTCAGTCACTTTGTTTTAACCTTTAAACATCAAGACTACTACAGCTTGATGAGCTGTCATCACTTAGTTAGATGAAATAGTTTTCTTAATTCCTTCAATTTCTCAGATCTCTTTTCATCCAGATGGTCCAAAAGACACGCACAATACATGTACAGGTAGGCCTATGATTTCCCACGGAAGAAACATTTCAAAGACTGCAAAGTTTCACAGAAGCAAACCAGCACCTTAGTGCCATTGTTAAAGAAAAAACTGACTAAGATTCTGTTATATTAATAAATAAAATTACTAAAAGAAAATAGCTTTTATTATCCACCTGAACAGGTTATGAAGACAACCATATTCTCACAAAAATATGTGCCAGTGACATAATCAGACTTATACAGGAGAACACTTCCTACCACATGCCATGAGCTAGGCTATCAAATCACTGGCAGCAGGCATGTAACAAGCACTACAAATTCTGGTTTTGTTCAGGCATATTATTCAGTTCAGGGTTCTGCCAATACAGAAATGCAGCTGGAGGCAAAACAGCATAAGAATGAACTGACTGGTGAATTCAAAATAAATTTTAAAATAAAATATTACAAATGTGTCATTAGAATTCATGGGCCAGGGAATTCAGAAATCAAAACAAAGTATTGTTTTAGCTTCAGGCTGCAATTCCTTAATATGCATTTAAGGATTGATAAAGATTTACTACAGGATGTTGTCAGAGGCAAAGACCAAAGGTGGACAAAGGGGAGGATTGAAAGTGTCGCAGTGTATCACGCATGGGAAAAGACAGAGAGGTGGGACAAAGAGGTTGGCATGAATGAACCTGCTTCTGGTCAATCCACTTGTTTAGAAGCAGGGCCAGCTGCTGACCTCCTCCAGATCCTCCATTGTACTAGGGTCAGCTAACATTAGCAATGAGAATTTGGTTTTTTGGGAAGTTGTCAGGAAGCAACATAATGTTGAATTAATTTTCACATGATTTGGCATTTTGGAAAGCGTGTTGCTAATACATGTGCACTTTTCTGGTAATTGATCAGATATAAGAAACTGCATAACAAGGTCTTATAGCTAAGGACTGCTCTAACACAGATCCCTGAATTATACTTTTTAAAATGTGTTCAAAGGGGTACTACCATTTTCTCCTATATACATATAGGCAAAATTCACACGTCACTTATTATGGCTGTTATAAAGCATGATTACCAATACATTCTCCTCTTACACTGCAAAATCTTGTTTAAAAAAGGAAAAGCCAAAGCACTGCCCAACTCTGAGTTGGTTTTAATTTTGTTCACTCTGTTAAGTAATTACTGTTCATTCTTACAAAATTTCAATATCTACACCCAATATTTGGGGTTACTTCAACAGTATCAGTTATGGCTAGAAGGTTGGCTTGCAATCTTTCTAGCCAAACTACAACAAATTAACACAAATTCCTCAGGTAAATACTCCTTCTTTATGAGTTAGGCAGACTGAACAAATTTAGATAAAGGTCTAAGTCAAGCCCAGAACTTTTGGATGGGTCTCTTTACCTTCTCATTAGCCTAGCTGAATTTACATTTGGATATCTTTTGACACTGTCTGAATAGCTTCCATGACTAATAATAATGTTGTTTACTGTGATGTAAGCTCATAAAGTACACACAGTGCAGAACACATCTGGTATCCTGATAAAAACACAAACTTCTTTGAAACAAACTTTGATGCTGCCTCATCATTGTCATTTACCCTTCACTTGTGATTCAAATTAAGCTATCTACCAATGCATGAAGCTGCTCAAGAGTTTGTTGCAGGCCAGTGTCAATTCATTAAAAGTTCAGGAAATCAAGTAGAATCCTTTTCTCTTTGTACACGCCCTCTGCAGGCAGATCCCAATACATGGATACTGTTACACAATTGTTGCCTTGTTTACCACATAACTGGCAAAAGAAAAACAAATATTTTAAGGTAAAAATCATTGTAGTGAGTGCTGAATGTTTTAATGGATGAAATGTAGGTGAATGTCACACTTTCTACAAAGCCACATAGCTCTCTTGAAAACACTCGGAAATATGACGGTCTTATTAATTTCTCTTAAAATATATGCACCTATATACATACATAACTTCATAAATTAATAAATCCTCTGACTTCAAGTTTCTTGTTAACAGGATCATAAGAGGTGTGTGACCCAGTAGAAAACCCGGCAATAAATTTTAGCTTAATCAAAATTGACTGGGTTGGAAATACAGAATTCTTGGGCCTTAGAAATAGGTATTAATGTGTATATTGTGTCATTATTTAAAAAAAAAAAAAAGTTATGCCTTGGTTCATCTCCCATATTCCAGTTCCAACTGAGGACAATTATTCCAAAGAGAATACCAATTATGTTGTTCTGTTAACAAAACCAGGGATGGAGAGCTAAATCAAGGAAATGTCTGTAAGTCACTTCTTTCTGCTGTGTAGATTTATACTCTTTCTTCAAAAGGAAAAATTATCATTTTCTTACAGGCTGTGTGCATTGTGGGGTTTCTCATTTTCTGTGTTCACTGTTTCAAGATTGTGAGTGCTTAATGATAGGCTTTAATGAATATGCACGTGGCTGGTGCTCTGATGTGCTGTAGAGCTAAAGAAAGGTGCCTCCAGTTTCCAGGTATTAGTTATTAATGTTAAGGTTATGAAATACCAAAATCCCTTAAGTTCCAGGTGATGCTGAGCTTTCTGCTTTCAGTTTTGCAAAACATGAGGTATTAAAGCTGCTAGTAGATAGGCAGTGCATGTGATGGTACATTCAGTCCTTTTTCCTCTTTCCAAAGATCTCAGAGTACCTAAAAAATATTAATCCTCACTACTCCTGCAATACAGTTACACAGGAATTATTATGCCTAATATATATATCTGTTTGTATATATATGTACATATATATATATACACACCTGTGTGTATATATATATATATATATATTTTTGTATACTACAGGAAATCCTGGACATCATTCTTAGTGAACTGATTCAAAACATGTGGGATAAATCAGATAAGACAGGCACAGTTTAAGTGATGGTTATGAAGTCAAACACTGGACTGGTGATAGAATTACAGAGAGATTCCAGGAGTAACAACTCATGAAAAGGAAAGTCAACCTTCGCCACAGTGGCCTAATCAAGGTGTCTAATAACTTCATTATTCTGTGTCTAGCATCTTATTTTTTTCATATTTTATTCTGCAGTTTTCAGCCTGGAGCAGACACCCTCAATGGCCTTAACTGACCTCATCAAAAAATGGCAATTATTACTTCTGTGCTTATGTGTCCCTTTTTCCCCCTTATTTGACACCAAGATCACCAGCATTACAATGATGGGAGTAACCCAGATTCAATTCAGGCTTAGAGAAAGCAACAGGAAAATCCTTAGAGATTAAACAGATTTCTCAAAAGGTCAAACCCTGGTGTGTCCATTTTTAAATTATTTATTCTTTCTCCCTGTTCCAGGAAACAGAATATAACATTCTTGACATGGTTTAATCTCTTCCATGAAACATCTCATGGAATTCCATCAGTAACTTCTGACATAGGAGCTACAGGTTATTCTATAACATGTAGAACTGGAGTAGATCCCTGCCAGAAAAGACGTAATTTTTATACAAATGTTTCTGTCAAAGGGAATCAACCACTCAGTTCTCAAGATTGTTTCACTACTTCTTGCATTATTTGTTAAAAATTTGCATATCTCCCTTGTATTCTACTTGTACCTGAAATTTTAGGCAAACCATTCCATTTGATCTGTGATGTGGTCAACTTAGTACAATCTCGTAGTACAACGAAAATCCTCAAAACAAATCCCAGTAGCAAACTTTCCCAAACAACAAAAAATATTTTTTCTCCTTGAAGTATCTCCTAATTCTACTTTCACCTGAAATTCTTCAAGGCAACCTTAAACAAACGCAAAGAAACCCAAGTAACAACGCAACAAAAGCAAAATTTAGGAAACCCAAAGTTTCATATTATCCTCACTCTTCCCATAATTCATGCATAATTCCCATAAAGCATGCAAACAAAATATGTCTTACCAAGTTCTGTTACATAGTTTTTTCCTTCTGAAGGCAAAGGAATGTACTGATTAGAAAAGAAGTTGCTTCCATAACCCAGGACAAAACCTTGTAGTTTGGTGTTTTGACTTGGTCGAAGATATCTCATGCAAACGGTGTCATCTGTTGCATTGATCTGAACCTTCAGACTCTGCCTTTTCACTGGGCAAAGAGTAAAAAAGAGGGGATCAGCATGTGTTATCTTACAATCATATATTGAGTAATGGAATATGACAATATAACAATATAGGGCTGTTTCATTTGCTAGCAGCAAGCAACTGAACAATTTCTTAAAGGTGAAGTCTCCTGGAAACCCAGCATATTTAAAAAATGTAGTCAGGGGAAATTGTGTTTGCCAACACGACTGTTTTTCCACTAGTTTAGCATTATCATTATTGTAACACCTACAACTGCAGTAGTAAAAAAGTGCATGAAGTAACTGGTATTTTTTCCTTTAAATGTGAGAGTTATAGTAGCATTGGCCATCTATAGGACCCACAGGAGAAAAACTACAAGTTTTTCTCTTTTTTTCCCCCACTTATTAGTAGAAAATACAAAATTTTAACATTAAGTTAATCAGTTAATCACACTGCACAATTAGGGTACAGGATAAATAGTAACTAGATTCAAATAAAACTATTGCAACTTTTTACTTTTTTTTTTTTTTTTTTTCCCGATGTTGGGCTGGAAATGTAATTTTCTATTTGGAATTACACCAGGACACCTAACTAACATATATGCTTTTCTCAAAATTACAAAGAAACTTGTTTTAAACATTCAGTTTTATTCTTTCCAGGGGAACAGCACATAGCACATAAAGTAAGAAACATCTTGTATATCCCTCTAAAAAGATTTGAATTGTAGCAACATGGAATGACTTCACAACAGAATAACTTTTTCAGCTATAAGTTGGTGTTTTGTCTTCTTCTTGGTGTGATGAGGCAGGATTGGCTTTTCCTTCCTTGGTACGTACAATTTTAGTATTCCCTTGTCACTGTTAGGCCTATCTTATTTCCAGAACTGTTGAACTGTTGGATTTTCCCCAGACTTATGACACCAGCACTAGACTAGTACACATTGGGTTATTATTTCTCTTCTCATTCTCAAAATGTAGACTTTTAATCCCAACATATTTTCAGGCATCTGTCCAATCACAAAGGCTGAAATTAACTTAGAAAAAACCAGAACTTTGCACACAATTACTCTACTTCAGGAACTAAATCCTGAAGTCACGTTATATATGAGATATAGAATATATTATGGAATGACAAGATAGAGCAATCCTAGACTAACTTACTTTCTTCCCTTCTTTCTTTCTCTCTCTCTTTCTTTCTCTCTCTTTTTTCTTTTTTTCTTTCTTTCCCTTCCTCCCTCCCTCCCTCTAACTCTCTTCCTTTCTTCCTTTTACTCCCCCTCTCAGTAATTGCAGACTGATATTTAAAGTTTCTCTAAACAAGCACATATATCACCCCAACCTACTGTCCTTTACTTTTTAGAGAAATTTTAATGACTAGAGTTGCCAGGAGGCCAAAATCCCCAATTCGTGAAGATGATTTAGTAGGTGATTTGAGCATCTGCAGTTGTCTGCACACAGAATGTAAAGCCTTAAGCCAAACACTTTATGCCTCTTCCCTTTATAGAAAGAAGCATACAAGTAAAACTGATGGGAACCATGTGCCTCCCTTCCTTTATCTAAAGACTCATCAAACAAAAGCATTCAGCCAGGAAACCGTCACAATTTTCCAGAGGCAGCTCTGCCAGGTTCCAGAAGACTGCAAGGCCTCTAGAAAACTCAGTCCTGTGACATTTTCAGTTGTACAATACCATCACAGGGAAAAGAGTGGCAGTTGCTTCCTTACCTAAATGATGTACTTCCTTGTTTTATTTTTCAGTACACAAAATTGCTGCGGGTGTGCAAGTCTGAATATCAACAAGGCTCCAAACAACACAAACCAGGAAGAAAAGCCAACTGACTTCAAACCCCTCTAATGAGCTTCATGAAGACACTTAGTAAAAAGTAGCAACAAAGTTTAAGATTATTACTTCTGACGGACAGTAAGCTACATGTGTTTAAATTATGTAGTCTGTAAAACTCTAATCTACCTTTGGAGATCTAAGTATGAATGAAAGGATGGCCTCCTGGCCTCTATGAAATATTCATGTCTAAGGACAAAGACTCACAGTGCTTGATTCAAATATGGTAATTTGATTACTATAATACAATATATTAAAGTTCTTAATCTGTCTCAAAATTAGATTTTAAAAAATGAAGATCTATTTTAGTTTTAAATTTACAGTAGTTTCAACTTTCTTTTTTTTTTTTTTTTTTTTTTAACACACAGTTGTATCTATGTATCTCTCAGTTATACTTTACATCAGTTTGAAGGCCTAATTCTAATTTAAGATTTAATTCAACTGGGTTTGATTCCGGTTTGATAGATACCATGGTTTATTCATAAGCAGTCAGTTATAGTGACAAGTGGTCTTGGTTTGGTTTAAGCCTTAAAACTCTCAGTGAGGTTTCCAAAACTAGAAAGTCTAAATAGGATCCCAAAACAACAATAGCTTTGAGATGCGATCCCTTAGATCTTTTCTGTATGGCTAGCATATCAAAACCACCAAGAGAGCTTTTAAACTCAAAGCCAGTTCTAGCAAAAAATAAACAGGAATAATGTATTTTGAAAAATAGAGAATAAGGCAGACCAGAATGAAAGGAGATGAACCTAAAATTTTAAAAAAATAAATCTTTGTCTTCAGCACCTTGTCTTGACAGGATAGGTCTTTTTCCCTTAGTTCACTTTTAAGTATAGGATCCTTTCAGTGATGGCCTGGATGGCAACACACACACTGCAGAGTCCCCATAGCATTTAGGAAAAAAAAAAAAAAAATCACATACTCATAAAATCATGTGGGCTGGAAAAGACCTTTAAGATTGAGTCCAACCCAAACCTAGCACTTTCAAGTCCACCACTGGTCCAGATCCCCAGGTGCCACATCTACATGCCTTCTGGAACCTACATATCTACATCTCCCTGGATGGTGACTCAACTCCTTTCCTGGGCAGTCAATTCCAATGACTGGTAACCCTTTTGGTGAAAATATTTTTCCTAATATCCAATTCAAACCTCCCCTGGCACAACTTGAGTCCATTTCTCTCTGTCCTATCACTTGTTACCTGGGAGAAGAGACAGACCACTGCCCCACTACACCCTCCTTTCAGGTATTTGAGAGCAATAAGGTTTGCCCTGAGCCTCCTTTTTTTCCAGGCTAAACAACTCCAGCTCCCTCAGCCTCTCCTCAAGAGAATTGTGCTCCAGACCCTTCACCAGCTTTGTGGCCCTTCTCTTGACACACTCCAGCATCTCTATGTCTTCCTTGCAGTGAGGTGCCCAAAACTTAATATAGAATTTGAAGTGTAGCCTCACTGGTGCTGAGTACAGGAGAATGATCCCTTCACTGGACCTACTGACCACACAATTTCTGATCCAAGTCAGGATGTTATTGGCCTTCTTGGCCACCTGGGCACAGCTCATGTCCAGCTGGTTGTTGCCCAGATCCCCAGCTCCTTTTCCACCAGGCAGCTTTGGATTGTTGTGACCCAAGCGCAGGGCACAGCATTTGGCCTTGTTGAAAGCTAGACAAATTCCACAGACTTTCCCTCCTCCAGGAAGTGAGTCACCTTATCATAAGAGGAGATCAAGTTAGTCAAGCAGGATGTGACCTTCATAAACCCTTGCTGACTGGGCTGAAAACCCTGGTTGTTCTGTACATGCTCCATGACCTTCCCCGGCACAGGAGGTCAGTCCTGTAGTTCCCCAGATTCTCCTTCCAGCCATTCTTGTAGATGGACACCACGTTTGCTAACTTTCAGTCAATTGAGATCTCCCCAGTTTGTCAGGACTGCTGGTAAAGGACTGAAAGTGGTTCAGTGTGTACCCCTGCCAGCTCCCTTGGGTAGATCCCATCCAGCCCCACAGACCTGTGTGTGTCTAAGTGATGTAACATGTCACTTAACATTCCCCCTTGGATTAGAGGAGCTTCGTTATGTTCCCCATTCCTGACTTCCACTTTAGGGGACTGGGTACTCCAAGAACTATGAAAAAGCGAGGCAAAGAAGGCCCTGAGTACTTTACCCTTTTCCTCAGCCTCTGTCACAATGTTTCCCCCTGCAGTAAAAAATGCTAATGTTCTCAGGAGCACATTAGCAAAATAGATTTCACTTGTGTTGATCTCACAGCATTTTGAACAACTAACAGGGAAAGCATTCTCCTTCTGCATAATATGCCTGTCTTAGCCACCACTCAGGTAAACATCCATTAAACATGATTAACTGGACAAAGGAAGTCACAGGAATTTGAAAGTTATGATACTATGAAAGGAATGTCCTTGATTTTGAGAAAAATAACTGTCGTACTATGATTTCAGAATACATTTCTTCTCCACCTCTTCTTGATGAAAGAGGTGAATGATAAACAAGATGCTCTCTAATTCCATTCATTTGTATCAGCTTTTGGCATCTGGTCTTAAATACTTGCATTTGTAGTATAATTCTTTTACATTTAGGCCATCTCCAAATGGAATATTCTAGGACCCATATTTACCTCTGCAAAACACTCTTTCCCTCTGTGTTTGCCAGCAGAAATTCCACATTGATCTGCAAGCGTTCTCTTCAACAAAAGTTAGTTGACTGCCAAAATCACTCTAAGGAAAGGACTCTTTGCCTGTAACTGTTAAAGACAGCTTGATAAATCAGCTGCATCATAAAGGAACCAGCCACCAACAACTCTTCAGAAAGAAGAGAACAGCTACAACTAGTCTGAGGAATCCAGCTGCGAGCACCATAGTTTGGCTAGTTGGAATGCATAGACAACAAGAGCCAAAAGCAAACAAATATTGAAACTTAAAAAAAAATTAACTCTCAGTTACCTAATTAAAATTCACTTCTTTAAAATGTGAGAGCAGCTACAGAAATTAATATGCAAAACATAGAGCTGGACAATTGCTGTTCAAGCTTTGAACCTACCATTGATTACATCAACTATCTTCTTTTCTGTTACCACCACTTTAATTAATCATGGAATAGTAAAGGAAGAGAAGGAAGAATTCCTAAGCACTTGCTACCATCTCTTATTCCTACCGGCTAGTTCATGTTTAGCTACAAG